TTGATACCAAAAGTATGTATTACAAACATGAGCTACAAGCTGCAAAGACATATGCATCATAATTGTCAGGACCCTTTCTCCATGATTACCTTGGACATAATTATAATGCAGTCCCCATTAATTTCAGTTAGAGTCGGCATGTTTGCTAACTTTGCAAGAATGTGAGATGGACTGCAGTAAATGTTTCAAATGGCGACTGCCATGTTTTGCACACTGCAATAAAACGGTGTTGTTTTTCTTTCTAGCTTGCTATTCACTAAGTTTAATTCCCTCTGTTCTCGGTTTTACTTCCATTGCTCCATCGTTCTCTGTGCTGGCGTGCTATGAGCCGAAAATAGAGAGAAAAAGCAGCAGATCCTGCTACAACTTTGTGTGAATTTTTCAAGTTGAGTTTTATTCAATTCAATTCAGCTTTTGTTTAATGTTTCCACACGTCAAAATTTCACTCCCTGCTGTCTATTGGTTGGTTTATAGATTTGGTTTCTGATACATATCAGGCTCTGAACCTCTCGCTATCTGAAGTAGGACGTTTTCAACAGTGACTAAAGATATACCAACCTCTTTTTTTTCTAGTTGGGCATCTATATTTCTGGAAAGCCGATGATAAAGCACACTGCGCTTTACAAACCTGGATGTTTTAGACTGCTTACAAAAAGAAAAAAAAAGGATTTTAGGTGTATTTGGACAGGTAATCTTCTAAAATAAATTAGAAATACTGCTCTATGTATTTGTTTCCTTCCTTAAGCCTTGATTCAATAGTATATCCCATTTTGTGTTAATTTATTTCAGTGGTTTTCTTTAATTTGAATGAAGTGTTTATTAAAACCGATCCCCTGGATGGTAAATAGATTACACATGTAGCACAAATCATGTCCACCCCTTCACTTTCAAACTCTTATAGTGCCTTAAAGGACACATGGCCAGAATGTACAATTAAAACACATTCATAAAAAAGTATTAATGCTTTATTAGTTTTTCCTAATTTTCTTAATAGCAAGTCCACACTATAAAACTGTAAATAAAAAACACAAATCTGCCTTTCAGTGCCAATACCGGGCCTTTGTTGGCTTAAAAAGTGTCTATTAAAAGTCTGCTTGTATTGGAGAAAAAGCTATTATTCTCAGCTTGGGTTCGTGATGCTGAATGGGGAATATCTTTTTCCAATGGAAAAAGCACTCAAATGGATATAGGAACTTATAAAAGCTATCTGGCAAGAGGTGGTTCTGAAAACTCTCTCTGTGGGTATTAGAAGCCCATCCAGGAGGTTCAGCTACTCTTGCAGACAGCCTGTTGTCCGACATTTTTCTGACAAGCTCTGCAAGTTAAACAGGACAACAGGAAACATGGGATGTTTCCTCTTTCCGTTTTGGCCAGTGTTATGGATGCATGGGTTGCATTTACACACTCACGCTCCATCTCGTGCTGTGTGAAATCATAATCAGGGGTATGGTTTGATGTTCACAAGGCTGCACGAGCATGAGCTGATGTTAATGCGCAAGAGAACTCCCTTTCATGTGCCTGCTGTCTTCTCCATCTTGCCCCTTTTTTTTACTTTCACCTTTTTAAACACTGCTACATGTGAAGTGGTTTCCAAAACTAAGTTTCGGACTTTATTTTTCTTTTAGACACAGTATGTAGCCCGACAGTTGTCGCAGTCGCTGGACAGTCGCTATGTGACAGGAAGTCCGCTCTGACAGTTAGATTGATGATAGACTCACGGACTGTTGACATCGTAGAACAGCAGCTCTGCTTCGTGTTTGCAAATGCACAACGCAGTGATGTTTCACTTTCGAATAAACCACCCCAAGGGCAAACTCGACGTGGCCGTTTTCCGCTCTGCAAAACTGCGCTCTGTTTGTTTTAACCTTCGTTTTCAGAGTTGTGTGTGTGTTATACTCTCAACTGTCCAGACTCTTGCTTTCCTGGCTTCTTAAAGAGGGGTCACACTGAGTGCTGTGGCCCTCGGAGCACGTGTAAACTACACAAATGCACACACAACAAAACAAGTCAAAACCACTTGACCGAGCATAACATAAACTGTGCAAAGAGTTTAGCGGCTGTGGCAAATGTATTAAATGATTTATTCTTTATACTTACAAAAACAACTTTGGATTTCGACAATCCACTCAACACTTTGGGTTTCCAAGCCGACCCATCCATTTTTAAATACTTTATAACCAATGCAATACCTCAGTTCAAGAGGTGTTGCTTATGGATCCCCGCAGGGATCCCCCGGGTGATCCATACACTGTGCACATATAGTGTGTGTAGACGCAGAGAAAATCTTAATTTGTGTGTCAGCTGAGCAGTTTCAGCTAAACAATAAAGTCTTTACATGTTTCTGCACTGCTTTCAAAATGAACTAAATTCGAGACCTTTGCAAACCAGCTCCTCGATGTTGTATCCATCGTCTTTGTTTCGGCTCTACAAGCCCGACAAGAAATAAAAAGTCCACATTTATGTGCTCAATACGGCAGAGAGAATATACAGAGAGCGATTGTTCAAATAGCTTTTCGGCAAGCTCAGCAGAGGGTTTCTTTCTCATTTTACATACAGGAATGTTAGAATTTAGACTTTTGCACAGACATTTTTTTTATAGGTGTGGATGTTTAATAATGCCTGACTAAAGAAGACCGGAGTCTCAGGCATCTGAGAAGCAGCTCTACCTCGCTTCACTTAATCAAAAAGTTAGAGAGAGTAAACTCATGAGTGGCTCCAGTTTTTCATTATGTAAAGTGTTTTCTTGCTCCAGATAACCGCAAGACGTTTGCCCTCACCTCAAGCTATGTTTTAGTTTTCTTCTTCTTCTTCTTCTTATTCAGGAATCCAGTGTAATCAAACATAGCCTGTGGTGTCATATAATTCTCTTGCAGGTATTTGTTCCAAAGCACTGTAGCATCAACAGTGTCTCACAGTGTCTCATTGATCTGTGGATTTAGAGGCGGGAATGGTTCTCCGTTACACACTGTGCTGCTCGTGCTCTTCTGTTTTTTGACCGACTGCCAATTTTGATGGATGCCCTTGTCATGGTTTTGAATTCCCATGGATATTTAACAGCTGGTATCAAGACGCATTAGTCATTTTCTACGTATACTGCAAACAAATTCTGAAAGCTGACATATCATTCAGTCTCTGAAAGGTGGATTGCTTTTCAACTTTAGAGTGCTTAGTTAGAAGGTCCAGCTCAACAACACATTTGTTCTGAAAGATTTGTGGATATTATGTCAAAAGCCTTTAATTGGTTATCAGGTACACTAACAACCATCTATTATGGCCACAGATACAACCAACACACGTATGGAGTAACGAATTGGCAAATTTCTCCCTGATTTTTCCCATATGATTTCAATTTTCTTTTAATTGCCTTCATATAGGAACATGTATTTGCTTTCTTTTGGCTTTTGTCTATTAAATGGATAAAGCATGACTAATATTTTAAAAAAGTGATTCCCCTTCTGTCATATTTTTGATTCTGTAAATTCTGAAGAACTCAAGCCACATTTTGATAGTGTTGCCAGGAGGAATTATTTGTCTGTTTCTGTAATCCAAGGTGATAAGAGAGTGAGAGTTGGTTAATAAAAACTGATTTTTCAGGCCACCTATTAGAGAATGTGGAGGTGAAACTGATATAGAGGGAGGAAAAGAAACAAAGTGCAAATATAGCTTTCATTTGGGACAATGACAATTGAAAAATAACTGTTGAATAATAGTTTTGATTATGAATGTAAAAAGATTGTCTCATCAAAGTTGCAAATCTTTCCATCTAACAGTTTTTTAAACCATATTTTTTTAAAACAATAATAAGATTAATAGAGCAGTCATTCAAAATGATAAATCCAATTTAGTAGTTCTAAAATTAGTCCATTTTTTGTTGCGCTAATTGTATTGGCATTGTTGAAACCTTGTCTCATACAATGACATTTGAATTAGCAAAAATTAAGAAAAAAGTGTGTTCTGTGTTGAAGAAAAAGAAAGCCCCGGGATCATGGTAGTAATTATTATCAATTAAAGTAATTTAACCTCCTCCAATCTTCTCCAAACAGCCAGAAACATATTCCATCAATACAGCTGATAAGGCACAGAAAACCCGAGGTCATCCACTTATTCACACACTACATAATGATGTTGTCTATGGAGAGGATTTTTGTATTTTCGACTCTTCTTAAAGGCAACATTCTTCATAATTATGTGCCTGATGTTTATACTTCCTTGTGGCAAAACGCCAGCAGAATGGATGACCTGCTAAAGGAAAGGGGAACAGCACACATTTTTCAGTATTTCATGGAGAACAAGTTATTTTTTTCTCATCTTGCCAGAAGGATGGCCTGAAAATGTAGGAAACAGATATGCGTGCATTCATTACACTTTATTTTTGGTTTCACTTTCCCAACTTAAGCTTTGAATGCAGATGCAACTATGTAATTATCCTCAATAGAAGTAATACCCACAGAAAGCTGCTCCGAATTAACAATAAACGGTTTATGGAGTTTCGATTGCCTGCTTTGGCTGTTCAAGTGCAAATATTTCAAAAGCGTGCAACGTTAGTATGTGTCCTTCATGCACTGGCTGTTTATCCAGGCAACACTTTTAAAATGTCTAGGGAGTGGGTTTTCTCAGGCATTCTCAACAAAGAAGAAAAAATTTGTGACTTTCAGCATTGGCATCAGCCTGCTGATCAGATTTTGACCTGCATAGTGGACGGAATCTGGGCACAGCTTTTGGAGCACCACTTAATGAGAAGTGCACTGTATTATAGAGTATGCATTTATAAAGTGCCCATTTAATAGCTGTCCCATTTGAAAATGTCTGCCATGAAGGTTAATAAACAGCTTGAGATTGTATTTAGTTGAAAAAAGCTCCAAAACTGGCATCCAGATGCAAAAGTGGTGCAGAGACACAGTGTCCACATGGACAGGTTGAATAGGTTGGAGACTTCCAGGGTACTTTTAGTCCTTTAGGTCTCGGTTGACCTCTGTTAAACTCAAGTGTTTCTCTTCCAGGACTGGCTGAGTAAGTTTGGCTACCTCCCCCCTCCTGACCCGGTGACTGGCCAGCTTCAGACCAAGGAGGCCCTGACCAAAGCCATCAAAGCCATGCAGAAATTTGGAGGGCTGAGGGAGACCGGAGTATTAGGTGTGTGGCTGTGTTGCATGCAAGACTTAGGATGAATGTAGCACTGTGACTGCATCTCTTTTTGTTTACCATGTTTCTTTAGAGTTTGTCAGACTAAGTACCTGGGGAAGAAAAAGCGTAAGTCTTAAAACATAATGCCATCTCCCCAATGAAAACACAAAGACTGGCATTGAAAAGAGCTGAATCAATATCCCTGAGACACCACTCTGAAAGTTAATATTTATTTCTGTTTAATATATTGGGTAGCATTACATCGCACAGCTGTCTACACACCGCCAGACACCTTGCAAACATAAATCATACTTGTTGTCACACAGGGAGCGAGAGAGTGGAATGACAATGCTGCCGTGTGCCTACTGTACATGACTGATGATGCTTGTATATGTGAAACAGAGCAGTATATTGATTAGTGTGCATTTCATTCTCTCTCACAAACTCATAATTTCCTGCAGAGCTCACTGGCAGTCCCACTCGCTCATTCACACTATAGTTCTCAGCAGCCCTTCACTCACATACGCTAGAAAAACATAAAACGGCACACCATGTTTTGATGTGAGTTATTTTCTCTGTCCTTTTTTAAGTGGTGTATGTGTCAGAGTATATTACTTTTTGCCTCAGCATCAGCATTTGTGAGAATATCATTGTGCATGTAAGGGAGGTACCTTACAGAGCATGTATATTTTATGATGTACATATTTTATGACTCAAATAGTTTTTCAAAAACCCCTCTGGATGTGAATATAGTATCCGTGCATATGAGTCATGAGTTATACCCACTGGAGCAGATGTTTCTAAACAGATGTGTAACATGGATGATGTGATCCATGCGTAAAATGTGATAATATGCTTGCTAATTTTGACTCTGTTGAAAGAAATGTTTAATTTCGCGGCATGATTTTATTTGTTGTCATGGCAGTCATCGCTCCTCGTTTCTATTGTCCCTCAGACCAAGCCACGCTGGGTTTAATGAAAACACCCAGATGCTCTCTGCCGGATATGTCTGACAGCGAAGTGATAACGGGACGCAGGAAACGAAGCGCCAACCCGCAGAACAAATGGAACAAGCGGCATCTGTCCTGGAGGTAAGGAGAGATTAAGACACACTCAAAAATGATCGCCACGTCTTGATAAATCCAGATACTGATTATGCTGAACCGAGACCAGTTACATCTGCAATGAGGCAGAAAGGAGGCAGAAAGGCTGCTGTTCCTTTATATCAGTTAGCTGTCGGTCACTTCCTGTACCTGTTAATTATGACCAACCTCCAAAAGACACAAGATGCATCTTCAGTCTTTTAAATGTAAATGTCCCTTTAAATTATTCTAAACCACTTACCTACCACAGCTCCACATATGAAGCTCTTAATTCAGAGTGTGGTGAATCTTAAAGTAATGCCTTGCAACTGTCTGTTTTCAGACAAGCCTGTCACATCAAACTGAGCATCCTCATCCTCAACAACAAACCATGTTTTCATTTTCTCCTTCTCCATATTCTCCTTTAATTAACTAAATGAGTTTTAGTCTTTCCGCTGTCGAAATATTTTGTTCTCATGATTCATTTTGGCTGACAGTAGGAGTAATCATGTTTAAACGACCTGCTGCTGGAGCGAACAGAACGCTAGCAGCAAAAAGTTCAAATGCCATCTGAGAATTCTTTGGGAAACCTGCAGAAGGAATAACAAATGTTGAGGTTCTTTGTTTTTATTACAAAGGCCCAGGAGTTTCCTAGTTTGCTATTTATGTGTGTAATTATGCGCATGATGCAACTAATTGTGTATTCAAGGGTGTCCTCTGAATGAAAGCATATCTCTGAGTGTGAGGAAAGGAGCAGGTTGACATACAGTATGGATGGTGTGTGCCGTTAATCGCACACCATCAGGAGTGATTCAGTGAGGAGATAATCTGCTGTTAGGTGGAATGTCGGTCACTTTGTGTAAATTGTGTCTAACCATGCAGCTGAATCAATGCCAACGAAAGAAACTCGCAGGCGCTCAGATGCAAACACAAACAGTGAACAGAAAACTGTTCACGTTTGCACACATACGCAGAGCACAACGCTCCAACACAAATACACCCACACGCTTCCGTCCACGCTCGGTTTGATTTCTCTTTGTGCTCTTTTTCATTCTTCTGGAAAGGATTCTTTGTGAAGGGTCAATCCTTCTCAAGAGGCTTCGGCTTTTGATGCATTTTATAGGTTGTGAAGATATACGGAGTGTGTTCAGTGTGCAGTATATGATGCTGAGATGTCGTTTCCAAAGATGGATGAGCGGTTAGGGATGGGATGGTGGGATGGGAAGTTTGCGGGTTTGAGCCTTCAGGTGACACTGAAGATAGGGATGAGGGTTGTGTGAAAGACAGTCAGCGGGGAGGAGTGACAAAAACAACTTCCTTAAAAAGAATTGGGACAAGATTGTTTTAGGAAGAAAGAGTTAATAATGTAGTTTCTTCACATGGAAAAAACAGGGGAAGCCCACATGCCCAAGTGAATTAGACTAAAAGTTGGATATTGCCATTACAATATCATCCTATAGCTTGTGGACTTGGGTTTTAACCCTTACAAACGTGCAATGTGGCCATCACTACCTTGCTTTCTGGTTTTAGACTCATACAGAAGAGGAGGATCTAAAAAAAAAAGCAAACATTTTATCTTTCCGAATGAAATCCTGAGTTTAATTCAGCTGGATCGGCATGTCAAAGTGGAACACAAACAGGTGACTGAATGTTGGAAACAACAGATCCGATACAGAGGCTAATAGAGCTGACGGGTTTGATGAACGGAAAGTAAATAAAATGAGATGAAGCGGCAGAGCCAGACATTATTGCCCGGTAGGATTACAGAAAGGGGTTAAAGAGCAGAAGACCTTATCTGAAGTGAATGGCTGCTGCAGTGAAGGGGCCTCTGGTGGGCAACAGCTCAACAAAAAATAAATTAAACCAATAGAAAACATAACTGGCACTGATACATTTTTTATGGGCAAATTAAGTTTGTCATTATAACTTTTTTGTTTTTAATTATATTAGTTTGTTTTTCTCTCTATTAAAGCTTCATCCCAACTTTGTCCCTTCAGACTTACTGTAGTCCCAACAGGCAGGGGGAGGCTGTTCTTTGTGGGTTTGGAATAATTGGTTCATTAACGGGATGAATGGTTAAAAACTCGTCCTTTAAATTTCCACCTGTGTAAAAAATATTACTCCATCTGGAGTGTATCAGTGGGGCAAATGGTGAAAGTCACTCCGGCGTCCAGGGCCCAAACGTCCCACTCAGCGACTTTATAGCTAGACCACTCCTGAATGTCAGCCGCGGACTTAAATTGAGGGGAGATCATCCACCCCTTGGTTCCCAAGGAAACAAATCTGACTCATCCAGCCGAGATCAGCTGAGCAGAGTAAGTGTTTTCAGCAGCTGCTTGAACCGTGAGAGTGATGAGTTCAGGGGGATGACTCAGATGTCACCGGGGGGGGGCAGAGTGGTGACAGCTTATTGAAAACAAATTACATGGGGACTTTGTCCCCGTGGCACTGCCTTGTTGAAATAATCCCTCACATCACAGGAGGCTCTCAGTCAGAAGTTCAAACATTTTCCGAGGGGCTTTGGGATGTGAATGCAGGAGGGGCTATCATATGGTTTTGGCTGACCTGAAAAAAAAAAAGGTGGCAGGCAGCCAGCTTTGCAAACTGTACAATGTCAAAATGTGCTGAAAGGGACCAGTGTGCACTCAGCTATCAGGGTCTTCCATTCAATAGCTGCGACACTTAGCCTTTTATTTTCTTATAACGAACTCTGCTTTTCTCCCTCTTACACCTGCCGCACAACTTCTGCCCACCTTATAATCTCCAGCACCCTCAGTTTGGCTTGATAAAAAAAAGGCTTTTTCTTCCATCACAGGGATGTCACGTTTCTGCTTTCACGTCGTAAAAAACAGTAATAATCAGGCCTCGAGATCTTTTTCTAAAGAGGAAAAAATGCTTTCAGCTACCGCGGAGAAAACTGTCTGTTTACATTGGTTTTTATCACAAAGACTTAATATCAGAGCCATTCTGATGCAACGGTGACACAAAAATACACAGGACAGAAAGATAGCGTGACAGTAAAAAGGAGTGCTGTATGTTTGGTTAGAGTTCTGTTGATGCATTGATTTTGTCAGTATAACCTGTGTTGAAAGAGATCATAAAATTGTTAAACACTTTTTGTTTATCAGCACTATTCTATACAGATATGCTTTTACCAAGCGAGCCATTTCTTGTGGGTACTTTTCATCCTGCCAATTTGTTGAAAATTGATCTCATCGCCAACATCTTTGTCGAACACTGATTACTTGTTATTTGACAGATATTTTGTATTTCTTTAATCATGTTTCACAGCCCTTTGAACATTTCTCTTTGAGCCTTAAACATATTCTAACTTTTTTTCGGACCGATAAGATTCAGAGCTGCCTAATGAGAACGCAGGGAAAAGATTATACCTCTTCCCAAGCTGGTTATTTACATTGTAACTAAAATGTCTGTCACAGTAAATTGCAATAATTTCACTGTTCATCCTCCTTTCGGTGTATCCACTATTTCAACTGATGACAAATCTATTATGGAGCAGGGGACATGCAGCCTATTACAAAAACACAATACATTTACACACAGCACAATACTTATCCTTCTTTATGCTCGTTTCACATAACACAAAACACATTACAATCATTCATTATTTCTCCTCAGCTGAACCCTTACTAAGGCAGATGCTTGGTCTTGTAGATTTTTGTTTGTACTCCTAGATTTAGGAGACATACTTCATCATCAAACCAAGCAGAGTCTGAGTAGGAGTCATCTAGATGTTAATTGAACGGTTCAAAGTTAGGTTTCACTTTTGATCTTTTTTTCAGTCCGCACTTTGAATGTACTCATTAGTAAATTAATAGAAACTGCAATATTCAAAAAATCAGCAGATGCCCCTGCTTTGTTTATTGCAACGTAACACATATCACACTGTTGGCGTTAATCAGTTTAATTTATTCTCCATCAAGCAGCGAATGGAAATCCGCCTGATGCATATTTCAAGTTAAAGAAACAGAAAACCTGCCATAAAACAACATATATACTGTTTAATGCAGAATTGATTGTGTTTTCATAATAATCCTGGGTTCCTATGACAATATCATTTTAAAACGTACATTTGAAACAGGTTTCAGAATCAACATGTTAGCATCCCAGCATACATATTCAAATGACTCTCTGACGTATTGTAATTCATATCATGTAAACATAAAGCAGAACACGGAGTCTCCCCGGACTAGACAGAACTCTTTACATCAGATCTGGTCAGATAGTACAAAGAGTAGATAAATGATTTACTTGTGCATGCGACCTTCCTCGACTGTTGTGACGGGCTGAGGACTCAGAATGAAGTGTCTCTGATTTCCTCGTCTCGCATTTCAAATGAACACAAATAACACGTCCAATATATCTAACGGAAATAGAATAAGACACAGACTCCTCTTTGAACAATTCATACTCCAGCAGACAATGAAGACTTTAACCAGTCTTTGAGTGTGTATTTATTTTTATTCTTATATCTTAAATGTGAAGAGATTCAAGGATTTGTGCATACTGTTCAACACCTGTGTGACACACTGACTTGGAATCAGCCTCGAACAATATCCATTTCTCTCTCCTCCTCCTCCTCCTCCTCCTATTTCTTCCTCCTCTGTCCTCAGTTTGCTAGTTAATCTCGGAAACATAACTCTGGCTAGGAGAGCCTGCTCAGAAGCGTCAGGGTGTTCTTTGATGTAAGCAGTTCTTTATGTAGGTATTATATTTGATTGATGCCGAGGTGTCCGACAGCACACTCTGTTCTCAGATGTTTATTTGTAAGTCAATGATGCGCACTTTGAAACTGGGCTGCTGCTAAACAGCCCTCCAGCCGCTGACTTGCTGATGACTCCTGCTTTATGCCACTGCCAAAATCTACTACATCTGCACTTTTTCTGTTGACCAAACTTAGCTGGCTAATGCATTCTTCACCCTCTAACTGGTTGCGAGTCACGCACGTAAAAACTTCAAAGAAAATTGACATTTATGGCTGTGATCATGCAGCTTGATCCGCTGCATGTTTATTCTTTGTGGGCTGATGGGGAAAAAAAATCTGCAGCTATAAAAAAAAAAAAAAAAAAAAATGAAATGAAACTAATTTTTGCTGTCGTCAATCAGTCAGGGTTTTTGTTTTAAAATGTCCTTCTGCTTGACGCTGAAACTGTTTAATTGAATGAAAGTTCAAACTCTTTTTTTTTGCCTCCTCAGCTTAGACCTTGTCTGTCCCCATGCTGTTAGCTTAAGGGATGATAATAACTCCTTCTTAGAATAAGTGGACACTTAACAGTGGGATGTGAGAATTGAAGTGGGGTTTAATTTGCTGCTGGTAAGTGTTGCTGTGGCTCTGAGGCCATGCTTGGAACCATGTAGCAGAGGGCACGCAAAAAAGCAAAGCAAACCACAAACTGCCTAAAGGGACAGATATTTGGATATTTCTGAGGTTTCCGCATAACGAAAACACAGAGTTACGATTGTGTCTGCTCAGATCATGCTGAGGTCTGGACAGGAGATCCACAGTCAAAAACACTGAGACCTCAAGCCCCTTCAAAGCTGACGCATCACATGTGTCCGTGTGTTTATTTTGCATGAAAGAGGTGTTAAAACCACTAAAATGTGATTTTTTTTCAGTGAACCGTGCACTGAGGCAGTTTTTTCTCTGCCAGATGCGTTGCCTTCCTGGAGAGCTACCATTACCTTGGGGTTGTTTGGCACGTCGTGGAAGTCGAGTAGGCAAGAAAGCACAAAATGCATATTACCCAAAATGTCAAACTATTTCCAGCCTTTGCCGGGAATCCATTGGGCAGAGCCTGCAGTGAGAGGAGTGAGCGAGCCTACCGGCAGACTCGAGCCGAGTTGACTTAATTGCTTGTGGATTTTACCTGCGTTAAAAAAAATAAATGAAAAGGGAAAATGAAGAACATTTATAGAAATATTTCAAATAGAGAGATAAAAAAAAGGGGTGAATTTGAGCTTATTTCTTATTATAGTGAAACACATGCCAAAGTTAATCTGTCAGACAATCACAGCAGCGGTTGGTTGATGGCTGTTTTAAAGCCTTGAAGTCAGCAATTACCCCTCTCCTTTTTTGGCCCTTTTGTAGTCAAAAGTGACTTCCAGAAAATGGTTTTGAAAAAGTAACTTCTCTTCACTAATCTGCGGGGGACTTCTTGAATTATTTTGAAAAGTGAATCACATGGAAATTCATTCTCAAAACGAGGGAAATTGCTATAGAGGCCAAAACTACTGTCCAGGCTTTATGCGAGGAGGCGTTTTGCTTGACAGGTATTTGGAAATGAGCTTCCACCAGGATTGATTTGTATGTGAAGGTAGCCTCCGGTATTTGAACAAAAAAAAAAGAACAAAGACTAGCCGCTCATCACCTATAGCTGATAAATAAATGATAGATGATAAAAAATAGATATGCGTGTTTGTGTGTGCGAGTTTACCTGCTGAATGGAGAACAGGGAACAGACATACCTTCTGTTGTATCTTTTTTTTCGGATTGACATAGGCACTGTGAAACGTTAATGGTATATTGGCTCGGTATCGATGCTCCACAGAAAAAACATATGAGTAAAATTCTAACGATCAAGCAGTGGTATGTTTTGATTTATTCCTGTCATTTGAATAGAACGAGATGATGTTTGATATCGTCATGAAAGCTGACAGGAAAACAACTAGATCATAAAACAGCCAATAGTGCCGTTGGCTTAATGAAGACAAGCTGTTTCATAAACACCAGATCTGACTGCATTTGGGTATTTGATTAAAACACAAGCGGTGAGGCAGATAGATTGACAGTGTTTGACTGGCATACTATAAGGTTCCATGCCATGGTCTGTAAAAAGATAATCAGATCTTTGGGAGGCAGCATGGGGGACATGATGCCTTCTTTACTTTTCATGCACCTATTGTCCCTGCGTGGGAATGCCAGCAGTTTACAGAGAATCCTGAGTTCATATGAGATGCAGGGCAGGAATCATCTGACCTTGGCGGGCTTGCCTCCAATTACACACACGCGCTCCCTGCACGCACGCACACACTCGCACTCACAAGGTGATGCTCACAACATTTAGATGCAGATACATGCTCGCAGCTGACAAAACCGTGCGCGCTGCCTCTCCATCTTCCCCTCTCAAACACGCTACCCAACACAGACGTACACAATCGCCCACCCTCGTCTGTTTGAATTAGGACTAATCAGCAGGTGAATTGTCTGTGGAGGCTGAGCCATTTGTGGTGACCTTGTCTAACTGTGGTTCCCAAACGACGGTCAGATACTCGGGCGGCATGAATAAATGGGATGCGCAGTCACATTTTTTGCAAACAAATCGAAGCAAGGAAAATTTGCTCTCACTGTACGCCGCAGATTTCCCTGCAAAATAGATGGTGTGTTCAATTTTGAAGTGGCTTGCCGCATTCATTTGCATATTAATGACTAAAACCCAATTTTCATACGATCGTCGCTTTAAGCTAACGTTGCGTCTAAGCTAATGCTGTCCATCTGTTTTGTGACATATTGATATGGACGTGTTTTCTAATTAAAGCATTAATAGGCCACGCTAATGAACTCATTTGCATACCTAGATGTTTTGAAGACATTGCAATATGAGCAGAATGCAACTCTTTTGTAAAGTGAAACTGTGGATGTTGACGAGCAATCAAGATTGCGAAGGCATTCTCATTAAAGGGTTGGGATGAGAGGCAGCCATTTTCTTTTTTATGTTAAAGTAGGAGATCAGGTTCGATAGAGCAGGCAGATTGGTGATTGCTGAATGTTTGAAAACTTCAAATATCTGCAATGGCTTTTTAACAGATGCCATTAGAATATTGGACAATCCTTGATGTGATAAGCATGACTGTAAGCATAAGTGTTGTTAGATGATTAGTCACTTTCTCAGCGAGCAGTCAGTCGATGTTTCTCAGATGCTTACAAATTACACAATCAACAGCAGATTTCATATTTTCATCTGTTAATGCCGAATCTCAGTCATCCAGAAAGTCTAAGACCTTAAGTGAAGGCAGCAGGACCTCCTGTATCTAGAAGACACTTCACGCCTCATCCAAACTAAAGAACCTCTTAGGTTGAATAGATCGAAGGGTTGGGGTATATATAACATTTGATATATAAATATATTAATTATATATTAATTGAATTAATTAAATTATTTGAGTAATTCAAATATCAAACTTTCAACTTATTCAAAATCTAGGATTGTTGCTGTTTATAGACTGCTTATAGACTGCTGTATTGCCGTGAACATACTCACCCTCCATTACACCACTGTTCCATTTTCAAAGGGACTTTCTGTTAAGGTGAAAGGAAACAAAAAAAAACATAAGACAGAAACATTTAATCAGTGTAAGTGTATTTCTGCACATACAAATGATGCATTTGATTCCCTGTTTAGAAGGGAAATCATAAAGAAATGTAAGGTCACTGCATGCATACTTCCAAAGGAGTTAACTGAGTCTACTAACTTGGATTCCACATTTATTCCTCATATTAAATACATTGATTAAACCTATGAGGTTAGGTGGAAACTTTTTAAAGTTGCAGCTGAGCTCGCACTAAAGCTCAGACTGAATGATTTCTCTTTATTTATTATTACTCCACAGTCCCTTTATGTGCCTTGTTAAAATGTCCTCCAAAGCCACAATGATTTTTTTTTTTGTCGTGTACCTTGAAAATGCCAGTTGGAAAGTTGAAAGGAGCAGGATTTCATTTACAAATCATGTTTTTACTTCAAGCTTTTCAGTAACAATTTCAAAATCTGAGGCAAAGGAATGGGTTTAACCATAGGCGTATGTCTGTAGATAATCTACTCCGTACATCATCATAACCTCTCTAACCCATTGTATTCAGTGTATGATCGTTTTCTTTTACAGAGTGAGGACTTTTCCAAAAGATTCGGCCTTGCTGGGCAGGGACACTGTCAGAGCCCTCATGTATTACGCCTTGAAGGTCTGGAGCGATATCGCGCCGCTGAACTTCCACGAGGTGGCCGGCAGCGACGCCGACATCCAGATCGACTTCACCAAAGCCGACCACAACGATGGATACCCCTTTGACGGGCCGGGGGGGCACAGTGGCCCATGCTTTTTTCCCTGGTGAGAGATTCACAGCTGGGGATACGCACTTCGACGATGACGAAGCCTGGACCTTCAGGTCACCAGGTGAGAAAAATAGCCTCATAGTGAAGTAATTTAAATGTTCAAGGCAACTGTATGTGTGAGTCAAAAGACAAGGATGATATTGAGTGGCATTCTGGTGAGAAAATGTGTGAGCTTCTGAAAGGAGTCAGTTAGAAAGAATAATTAAAAGCGTTAGAAAGCACACTCTATGTGGGAGACGGTCTGTGCTGCTCTCCCTGTTTGTCCATGCTCCACATTTTCTCATCAGTATCTCATTTTGTTAGAGTAATAGTGTAACATACAATGGCCTTTAGTGAAGTGACTAAAGGAACACTGATTACTATCACAAGTTTATTCAGAGTCATAAAGAACATCCTTTCATTTCCTGATGCTGTCACAAACAAACAACCCATTCTTAAATGCACATTGATAGCCATTAAATCCGTTTTTTTTAGCCAAAAGCAAAAAGAACTGAATTTCACTGTCGACTTCTATCGATCCCACTCTGTCATGCCATGGGCTTTTCACTAGAATAGGGTCTTTACTATTGGAATTATCTGAAAGAGAAGAGGCCACTTCCAAAGTGATTAAAGTGGATATCAGAAGCTGAAAGGCATGTGTCTCTACCGGGCCCTGAAACAGCACCAGGATTTGTGAAACCACCTAAAATCTCAACCAGCTTGGGATGATCAATAACAGACTGATTGGGATGCAGTGAAACAGGGACGTTTGTGAGGTTGTGAAAACTGTTTTATTGTCTGGTGGGGAAAAGTCAGTCTAGTGGGGAAAAGCAGCTCTGAAATACCTCATGCCAGCTTATTTTACAAATTATATTTTTTAACTGACACCTAGATATCCAGTCATTTTATATACACCATATGCACATATGTATTGGCTTGTTGCATGAAAATGATTTAGAGGCACAGAGAAGATTCAACAAATAAGTAAATTCAAGTGAATTCTAACAATCAATGTGCTTGTTCTCTGTATTACACCATATGAAATTTCTCTTTGGGATAAAAAAAAGACTTGTGCTATGTGAAGAACAGACCACTCTAAGCATCCCCAAGATGCTTCATGAGATTGAGGTCAAGGACAAGTGGAGATTTAATCCATACTTTGAATTCCCTGTGATATTCTTTAAGATGACCTACTCGGAGGGAAAGCTACAGGCACGATAGCATCGGTCAACAACATTGCCCTGAGCATTTCGGCTTGCTTTACACACCCCCCGTCACAGTACATGACTGGTCAAACTGGACCACGCAATGTCACCATGTTCCGATGCTTAGCGGACAAGGGTGGACACGAGATCTCCAGTCAGTCTGTGGTGGCAGCTTGGTGTAATAACCAGCATTTACATTTCCAGCAGTAGCTCTTCAGTCAGATTAAGTCATGCAGGCCAAACTTTGCTCCCTGGGAGCATCATTAAGCTTCGGCCGCCGCTGACACGGTCTCCGGTTCACTGTTTGTGCACTTTTGGTTGGCAGTAATCCCTGCGTGTCAGGGGCCCCTCACCAGACCCTTACACGCCGACCCATGTAGAAGTCAGTACGTGGTCTTCGTCACAGTTGTTCAGATCCTTACGCTCGTCCAGTGTCCCTTCTTCCGTCAACTGGCTACCTAATATCTCCCCTCCTTAATCTTGTCAATGTTGTGGTTTATAACCATTGCAAATTTCCACAAGATTGAGACAGAGACTGAGTTAAAATGTCCATATTGAGTTTTCAGGAATAGTAATAATGGTGTATTTTTAGATTGTAGTTCTCCACAGGAGGAGTTTTGATTAAAAAAGAAAAGCTTAAAAAATCTTACCGTAAATTTTTACATTGAAGAGTGAAAATATTCTCCCTGGCTGTTGAAAAAAAAAGGTTTCATATAGTTTTTTAATACTTTAAAATTGGTGCGAATACCATCTTTTATACATCTGTGTGAACTTTTTACCTCCGTCTGGTCTATATGCGAAGGTGTAAATCCACACTTCCAGTAAAGGCATTAGAGCGGTAATAGTTTGCTAATGTCTGCAAAAGTATTCTAAAATTCAAAGCCTTTTTTATTTTAAAGTATCAGAATATGACACTACTGGTGAGTTATTACCTAATAATAAACGGGATGCAGCACTTTTTACATTTTCATAGTTTCTTCATCAGGGGAAAAAAAAACTTGTTTATGTGTGCAAATACAAAGATGATTGCTCAGTTTGGATGGAAATACAATTCTTCTTCAGACACTCCTCACGTTTATGACTCTAACCTGACAGATGAACCTCTGCTGGCTCACGAGAATGTTATGCTGCAGCTCCTAAGAGATAAAGCTGAAAACTTAAAGTCAGGGCCGAGATGATGTTCAGTGTTCATTTCAATCCTTCGCTTTTGCCCTATTACAGCTGAGACACACATTATATTATGGCTCTGTTTGCCTCAGTGATACCTCCCAGCAGACTGCAAAGTGTGCCCTGACATGATGGCATGATGATATTGTAGTTTACAGCAGCGTTTGTGTAGCCTGGCTTTGATTAATAGCAGTAGAGCAGTAAAGTCAGCAGGTACATTCCTGTCATCGTGATCCCAAAGCGTTTATCTTTTCGAGCTATGCAATTATCTTATGATATATAGAAAACATCCATAACACTGAATGAGTTTCTCTGTGAAAAGAATTACGTCTGTATCCAGAGATAACTTGGCAGTGGCGAGAGGTTGATGGAATCCAGCTTTGACGTTAAAAACGAAGACTCTGAACAAGATGCTAGGTGTGAATCATCTTACCTTGTCATGTAAACTTGCTTTCAAAGGCTATATTTTCCCTTTGTGCAATAAGGGCTCATGTTTACATAATAAAATACTTCGTCATTTGTTTCTAGGCCATACGTCTCATGTCATCTGTCAGTGTCTATATTGGGGCTGAAAATAGTTCTGCACAGTAGGTCACTACCAGTAAAAATATGCTTCTTTGCTGCTGTTTTTATGGTTTTATAGCATTAGGGTTTTTTAAGATCTAGATGGTAGACTATTATTTTTTGTTATTTGTATGCTATAAAAGAAAATTGAACTACTTTCCTTGAATGTCTTATTCCTGCAGTTTTAGACTGTCTAATCAAATGCCATTTGTAATGTGGGACTTACCTCCAGGTCAGGACTCTTTCTAAATATAGCATTTAAAATCATCTCCGCCCTCCTAATGCACTAAAATGAATAATAGCCTCCCAATTAACTGTGTAACTCCTGAGCAATGTGGTATTCAGACGTTTCAGCCTGACATTTAGCTCACTTTAGAGCACTAAAGATGCAAAAAGCAGTAATTGACCAGTTTCACTTATTCCCTTTCCAATCCTTGACTGAGTTTGCCGTCTTCTCAACAAAGAGATCAGCCTGTTGTTTCTAATTTTCTTTATCTTTTCACTTTCTCGTTGACATGGAGCAAAGCTAGCATTTCACAAGTGGCAGTGTTTGTGGTCGCACAGCAAAAAGTCCAAAACTCTGTCTTAATTTACTGATCCTGAGTGCTCAGATAGCCAGTCTCACTAATTTCATCCCTTGACTGTTTGGTGCTGAGCAGATGTAAAATATTGGTTTTAACAGCAACTCCACTGGTGACGGAAGATCAAGCTGATGAAAGGGCCGAGAGCAAAGCTGCAACACATAAACCCAAAGCGAAAAATTAAAGAAAAAAAAAAACTGAAATAAGTCTTCTGATATCTCTGTGGATCCATGGAGTTGGATAAGATTTAAAAACGTATTAAAAGAGCTTTTTTCACGGCAGACATTTTGACACGTCGCGAGAGAGAATATATCTAGGGATACTCATTATGGCTGTATTCCACTTGGGGAAAGGTGCTGCTCTGCTTCACGCTGGGTCATTGTGAAGTTTTTCTCAGGTGTTGAAAGATATGTTGTTATCATTTATGTAATTCTATCATTCATTATACCTCTGCTTTTCCTCCTGTGATGAGTGAAAATGTCTCGTGTAGCTTAACTCATTGATCTGCTGACACCTATGGTATTGAACCACCAGGAACTCTTAACAGGTTTTCCCCGAAGTTGTTTACACGCGACTTTCTTTACCTTTGCTTAGTTTGCAAATGCCGGACAGCTCCAGATTCTCTGACTTATCAGTTAGAACTTGACCCTCGTGATGCACAAAATGCTCCAAAAAATCAGGACATACACTGAGCATGGAATATGAGACAACTGACTGATCTCTCATAAAGATTATTTTTTGGTTGAGAAACATTCACATTTAACTGACAAGTAAGTGGCAAATAAGCAGAGAACAACAAAGCCAGTTACTCAAATGATTTTAAACATCATGAAAACCTTTCAGCTCTCATCAAAAAGTATTTTTTATCCTAAAAATGAGTTATATTTGTCCTGGAGTCAGATCCCAAACAGGTTATCCGAGTTGCTGCATAGGAACACACTGTGCTTGTGTCCGACTCCATTCCAAGTTTCTAATACCAAATTCAGAAAAAAAATATATATAGAGCGCAGCATTACTGCAGAGTCCAAATAATTTACTGCCTATATGAGGGCTGTTGACCGACCTAACCATCTGGCCAGTAATGACACACACATAAATCAAGTCATAATAAGTTTAGAATTTCTTAACAGCACTGAAATTGGCCACTGAGCTTCTATATATACTCTACCCTAGCCGGGAACATTAAGAATATTCATGATCAGTAGGTTAAATAGTTTCTTCATGTTCCTTTACTTGTAAATATTTGATGGTTTTGAGTCAGATTAATTAGCATTTTTACATTTACATCATTACTGAGTTTCAAAAACAGAAACTGTACACAAAATCACTACATTGATGCTAATATAGTTAAAGTTATAGCTTTTTATCACGTGCTTTTATGATATGCAGAGGGGAGAAATAAAGGCTGACATTTAGTGGAGGAAGTCTGATTTGAAGCACAGAGATCTCAGATTTCTGATTATGTTTATTTGAGACGATGTCATGATTATACGTGGTTGCCTAGAAGAGAAATAACACCCCACTGCACAGTCATATCATTCATAAGATTTGCTTTATTTTATAGAAGAGAGTTCATAAACCTGGCTCATACCTTTAGGCTTTACGTTTTAGAAGCCCTGTGGAGTTCAGTAAAATGGCTATTAATATCTCTTCTCCTTTCACTGTAAACTTTTGACAGAATTCAAATTATTTCTCCAAAGAACAAAAATCAATATAGATTTTAGCATGAAATGGAGAGAAAAGAATAAATCACAAAAATACACACCATCCGAGGTTGATTTAAAAACAGAAAAATATGCGGGTCAACTGTGGCTGCACACATTATTACAACGCATTAGAAAGACTACATTAAAAACACATTTGAAGAATCTATTTTTTAACTGTTTGAACTTTGTAATAAGAAAAAGAAGATCCTTCGTTCGGAAACATTTGCAATCAACCTCTGAAACACGTAGCAGGATCAATAGTGGATAAATGTTTTAAGACTTGCATTTGACGGTTCAAATTTTAGGGAGGAAAAAAGCTAGAAAAATCACAATCATTTCACATTCATTAGCTTGAGGAATGATCAGATGTCAATTTTGTGATTAATTGTGAAGTATTCCAACGCAATTCTTAATTTTAATGTGTGAAGTCTGAATTTCTTCCATGAGGGATATTAGGATTTTTAAGCAATGTTTAGATTTCAATTAAAGAGTCCCGTTATATAGGTGATTTCCCTTCTCCCTCATTTTCTCAGTATGTTAGAAAGCTATTTGTGCAGTGTCTAATTTTCTCTTTAGAAATAGCCGTTCTCTCCTGCAGAAAGCGTTGCACTGGATCACCTCACTTGTTGTCCAAGCTTCTCTTCTCTGACTTATTGACATCACCTCCACACACTCTTGCGTCATGACTGCCTTGCAGCTGGTGTGGCCACCTTAGACTTTTTTGTATTCCACCATTGTAGGCTGAAAAAGCACTCAAAGGATAATACACGTGCACGCACACACACATAAAAAAAGAATACCTATATATACATAGTTTTAAATTAAGCTTGTTCAGAATCTGACATTTTTCCTGATATGTCAAACAAACTTGAATAAAACAAGGCTGGAGATGTGCACATTCTTTAATCACGTAAAAAAAAAAAATCAAAAAAGGTAAATTTGCTCTCACATTCGTATGAAAAAATGAAACCTCCATTGCACCAGGTAATGCAAGGTCACAATAGTGCACGATGGCTGTCTCTGTAAGTGAAGCATCCATTTACCATACGGGGCAGCACCCTCATTAAGATTAAAACACACGTTGCAGCCTTTGCTTGTCACACTATGTTTACATCATGTAATACCGAGCAGGGGGTCGTCTGTAATATGCAGTATTACTTTACCCTCCCTCCATTCATCTGTGTTTCTTCCTTCAACCTTGTGCTCCAGTGGATTAGAGTTTGCACATGGCCCTAAATTAAGAAATATCACCCCTCCACTTGTCCTTTTGTCTTTTGAAGAGGCACAGCACTGAAATGTTTGGAAGTCAAAGCCGACATGCAGTTCACTGAATGTAGACTTGATCCGAGTCGCTGAGGAGCTCTAAGCTAGCTTGGCCCGACAGGCTCGCAGTCAAATGTTTGCAAATCTAAATCTCAGCACCCCAGGTTTTGTCTCGCTTAGCAGAGCTAGACAAGGAGTTTTTGGAAGCTTTGCCTTTTTTTTCTCTTTAGCCGAACATCCAGGGAAATTTGCTCTAATAGCCTGCAGCCTCTTTAGGTGCCTTTCCACACTCAGGTTTTGATTGGCAGCCCAGGGGCTCAGGTGGTATTACCATAGTTATCTCGCAGCACCACATCCCAAACAGCTCTTACAGCTAGCAGGGGTGTCTGTCCTGCCTCTTAACTTCCAGCATATAGACTTAAGTCAAAAGGGAGAAGAACACAGACAGACAAAAATCCCAAGCTTTTCAACGGATTTGTGATATTCGCCAAAGCTGCAGATGACTCAATTAAGGTGAACTTATTTAGGCTTCATGAAAAGCAATAACACCATTTCATGTTTTGTTTTTGTTTTTTCTGTCCCCTTAAGAGTCTCATGGGATGGATCTGTTCGCGGTTGCAGTCCATGAGTTCGGTCATGCCATCGGCCTGGTCCACACCTCAGCCATGGAGTCCATCATGAGACCCTATTACCAGGGGCCAGTGGGAGACCCCCTGAAATATGATCTTCCCTATGAGGACAAAGTCCGCGTCTGGCAGCTCTACGGTACAAGGACACATCTGTGCACTCTGTGTGTGTGTGTGTGTGTGTGAGTGTGTGTGAGAGAGAGTAAGAGAGAAGCAGTGAGGTTATTGATTAATGAAAACATGGATGCAGTTAATTGGACCTCTTTATGGCATATGACCTTTTCACACCATCCCCTGTTATAGGGAGTTGGAAGTGTTGGAGGAACTAATGATCATGAAAGCAGGAGTTAAATGCGGAAAGACAAGGATGCAGAGGAGGAGGGAAAGTTTTAGGATAAACATGCAAAAAGATACTTCTCCGATACATTAAATGCACCGAGCAAACCAATTCAAATTCTGTTTGTGTATTTTGTTCCGATTTCATGTGAAATCTCCAGGTGTCAGAGACTCGGTGTCCCACACCAATCAGCCAGGAAACCCGGCCCAGACACCAGAGCCCCCCGTCCTGTTGGACCTCCCTGAAAACAGGTCCACCCCGCTGTAAGTAAGAGATGTGTTTCCAAATAAGGCATCAATAACTGCCTCTTCTGTTTCTGCATTTCTTGCCCTCTCCAGCACACCCGTCGTGCACGCCTCTCCCAGCTAATCAAGGATTCTCTGGCCAGGGCCTTGGTTAAGAAGCTGGAGTGCTATAATAGATGGATGAACATAGAAAACATTAGCGAAACATAATAAGGCTTTATGGCAGCCCCTAAGTGTTGTAGCGTGGAGCCGGTGGGACGGTGTTTCACAACCTTTTCTTTTTCTCTTACAAACTTGCTAGTTTCAACATCCTTATTGAGTTAACTAACTGAACTAAGTTCAGTTATCTAACTGTGACTGGCGGACTATCCAAGGGGGATGGTCCAACAGTACTAAGTATTAAGTTCTAAGTACTAAGCACTAAGTTCTCGTCCATTGACTACTGGTTTGGGTTCCAGACGCCCTCGCGACCCCATTTGGGAATAGGAAGTTACGATAATGGATGGATAGATAACTTAGTTACAGTGAGCTGTAGTTGTCAGTGTCTTTACTACCTGCTTTTTCAGCTGAATCTGTCACAATGGATCCATCAAAAGGTACTTTTTTTTCTCATTGAATTATTTACGATGCCCCGCAATAGTTCCATCTATAAGTAGAATCAGTACGTCTGACGGGGAGCTACTGCTAATATACTGGTCTGATGGACTTAACCATGTCTTATTCATCGTTCAGGAGACCACTGAAATGAATGGTTTTTTATCTCATGTGCACGAGGTAATATAAGGATACTGTTAAATATCACGGAAATGTGCTCCTGTGAGCAACTAGTGGATCATGACACAAAGTAATTTTCCAAATTTTGCAACCATCGGAGTGTTAACTCCTCATTTGGCCTCAGAGTGTCCTAAGAAGAGACATCACACCAGTGAAAATGGTCAGAAATATGCAATGGAGCATGAATATCATTAGTGAATGCGAATTAGCAGAGATAAAGCTGAGAGACAGATTTCATTAAGGTCTTTGAGTATCTTTGTGGACAGTTTTCCATAAATGGGATAAAAGAGGTGCAGGTATGAACAGTATTAACACTTAGCAGTAATGTGTGTTCTATACATTCCTCTCACCAATAAGCTCCTCCTGCTTTTTAAAATGAATGTCAATTAAACTAACTCATTTACTTAAAGGGACATTGTGTAGTATTTTAAGTATTTTATTAGCTAAAATCCTTTTCTTTATTTATAAATGTGTCTTCATTTGGTGTAAAAGTATGATGATGTGGAAGTCATGTTGTCATTACTTGTTGATGCATCATGGCTGCTGTAGTTGCAATACCCATTTGAAAACACAAGGTACTAGAGAGCAACATTTGTTAGAATGCAAAATACAATTTCACCGTTAGATGAGAGAAATTCCTACACTGTGTACCTTTAAGGAATCAATTCAATAGGACAAGAAATAACCTTGAATATTTGCACTATAATGCCAGCAAAACCATCAAAAAGCAGATTAACCACTATTTTATAATATTGCTAACCCTTTAGTAAACTAAATTAACCAAAGAATCTTAGCTGATTCTTACATGTCAAAGTTCTCAGCTGTCAGCTATGTTTCCAGTTTAAGTTGCTATTTACCAACAGAGTTGGAAGCAAAGCTCAAGATTAAAAGTAGAACATAAAATAGAATAGAAGAGCCAGCTTCCAGAGTCATGCTTTTTTGGCCAGAGCTTTTCAGGAGAGGTTATTCACAGAGACCATGCTGCTTTTCTCCCCCTGGCTGGCAACTCCACTTAAAAATATCTGCATGCAGATATAAGTGTTGGTATCTTTGCACCACTTCGAGGCAATGCTAAAGTGCTGTCTGACACGTGTGCAAAAAAGCAGCCACAGAAGAGAGGTTCTTTCAGGAGGTAAGATGGGAAATAATTGCAAAGCACGGTCAAGGTAAAGACAACCGGACCATTTATTTTTACTTGGAATTGTATTAGGAAGGGAAAGATCCTTTGGATAATTGCCAAAGTTCCTGGGCTGACTGCAAAAGTAAACCTGACCCTAGAATTAATGGGACAGCTGGGAAAATAGATCTAAGTTTCAGAACACAGAACTGTGAGACGAAAGCTAAATACTGTCCATCACCAACTTGCTTGTTATGAATCAACGATGGCAAAATGTTTACCATGACCTAGCTGAACCAGAAAATACACAAATCCTGATGCTATTCCATCTCAGAAACACCTGAAACCCATAACTGAGACAGGACACCCATTTAATCTGAAATAACTGGAGCAGCAACTCAGATGGCGGCCCGAATCTCAGGAGGAGTTTGCATTATTGCTTTTAGTGATCGCTCTCAAATGTGTAATGCAGAAATGGAAAATTGAGGGTCAAGACTTTACTGTTTTTTAATTTTTGTCCTGTCTGTTTCCATTTTGTTGTTATACTCTGATCCAGCAACAAAACTACATGCCTTTGCTCTATCTTAGCAGACTAATGGTGAATTATTTACCATCCAGCATTGCACAGTTTTGTTCATTAATGAATCATCTGTGAACAAGTTTTTTTTGCTGTTTTCTGTTCCTCAAAGTTATAGATTAAGCTTCTTTTTTTCCCCCTCGTGAACTACTGTAAGATTATAAATAGATTCTAAGTTGGTTAGTGACAGGTCAAACTGGTCTTGGTCTGGTCAACCAAACTACAGTGAGAACACACTCAATGATTCCTGGTAGTGTAATTATACATTAACTTTTAAACCAGTGCTGTGTGTACTGATTAAAGCTAACAAGCATGCAGAAATTATACTATGTTTGACAAAGGTCACAAATGCAGACACTGGGCAGTTGCACATTTTTCTGGGGCTGTGAATAAGGACCTCTGTTGTAAATAAGAAAGCTTTGGGCCTGCAGCTCACAGTGGCGTGCCTGTGGTGCTGAAGGCTTGATCATTGGCAGGCGGACCACGTCACTTCTTTAAATCACTTATTAGCCTCAGGGCTAAATGCACCGGAAGACAGCACCAAGTAAGCATGACAGCATTTCACCTCATATTTAGCCTGTTTCGTTAAAGGGAGCACATGCACACACGTGCACATGTTCTCTCAGTAGGTAGGCACAATTACAACCTTTTCTTTATGCAAAAGATATTATGTCAAGTACTTAACACTTTGGAATAAGTAAAGCTGTAAAGAAAATGCAGGAATTTTCTGGGAATGTGTAAAGTCTCAATGCTCAGAAACCACATATGCCGTCATGCTGTTCTTTTTTTTAATGCAACTTCATTTTTTTCTTTCTATTCTTTGTCATCCTTTCCTCTACGTTCCTCTCGACTCATGCGTTTTTACTTCTTTTGTTTTTTTTTGTCTTTTTCCAGGCTGGCACAAGATGCCCCAGACAGATGCAGCAGTCACTTTGATGCCGTGGCCCAAATACGAGGAGAGGCCTTCTTTTTCAAAGGTATTCCGAGCTAAAAGGAGTGAGCAACCAAGAGCAAGAAGGAAAGAGAGAGCTCTGAAATGTTGCTTGACGATTGTTTTTTTTTTCCCTATTTATTATTAGAATTACTTCTGCTGCTTTGTATTGGTGAGTCAGACAGAGCAGTTCCGGAAGCATTAAAAAAATAAGCACTATGCATTATTGAAGCAATATAGGAACTTAACATTTAACAGATTTTTGACCAAAAACGTCTTTCCAGAGAGAGCAGATCAGAGCTAAATCAACAGCAAATTGGCCCGTTTACTCAAAACCTAAGAGCACCGGGGTCTTTCCTTTGGTGTGATGGAACGTCTAGAGGAATCTTGTGCACTGACCTGGAGCTCAGCTGGCTGAAACACTGGGACTAATTAAAGAATTACACAGTGGACTTTTTAATAAGCTCAAAGCAGGAGGGTTTATGCTGCATCCTGAATTTAATGACAGACGTGATAGTCCTCACACTGCCTAAGACAATATATTTTGACATTCATGTGGGCGCCATTTTCTGTTGTATGCCATTAATTTGATTCATGGCAACAGAGCGTTTAGCTTTGCTTCAGATGTGTAGCGTGTCCCATGGTCAATCACATATCATGGCACATGACTTTGAGCGTCTTTCATTGGCCATACCAGCATCAGATTGCAATTTTATTTTTGTTCAGCCATGCTGGTTACAGTGCACTTCTACACCTTAAATAACATTAACCTACATTGTTTTACACATATTCCCGGAAATAGTTCTCAGCAGACGATGACTTGTCAATGATAGAATCCTGGTGTTGATAAAAAAAAAACAACCTAAAGTCTAAAGGTGCGAAAGTGTCTTGATTTGCAAGAATAGCTAAATCAGGCACTTTGGGGTGCTCAGTGTAATAAATAACAGTGACATCTGCAAACAAGGGCAGGTTTGCTTATCGGCCAACAGAAATCATAGAAACAAAGAACAGCGGTGGCTTGGGGACTTACCCCCGGGGATACACCCTTAGATAACCTCAACCAGTTAAAGGCTCTACTTCCTTCTTCTCCCCCAAAACAAATTAAGTGATTATGAAAGAGTGCTACTTTTGTCAAATTCAGTTTAGAAAAACAAAAAAACTCCATGCCAAAAGAACTTCCCCGCTAAAATGAGCTTTTCAGTGCCGTCAAATGGTGAGAAAGCTTGAACCAGCCGCTGTGTTCCACAGGGAAGTATTTTTGGAGACTAACCCGGGAGAAACACCTGGTGTCTCTACGACCGGCTCAGATTCATCGCTTCTGGAGGGGCCTTCCTCCCAACTTAGACAGCGTGGATGCCGTCTATGAGAGGCCAGGGGACCACAAAATTGTGTTTTTCAAAGGTGAGAAAATTAAGCCTGATTTAAACTTGATATGCGCAATCATTATGTCACTAGTGTCTTATGTTTATATTCATCTGTGTGTTCCTGTCTCAGGTCTAAAGTACTGGTTGTTTAAAGACAATAATGTCGAAGAGGGCTATCCTCGTCCAATTAGTGACTTTGGCCTCCCGGTGGAAGGAGTGGACGCAGCCTTTGTTTGGCTGCATAATGACAAAACCTACTTCTTCAAGGACAACAGCTACTGGCGCTACGATGACCACCTGCGACGCATGGACCTGGGCTTCCCCAAAGACAGTGCCCTTTGGAAGGGGCTGCCCCCAAATTTGGATGATGCCATGAGGTGGTCTGACGGTAAGGAGCTACTATCAGGACTTTGTTCTTTCATTTTCGCTCCACTTCCACTGAATTTCACATTGCTCCAGGTGCAGCTAGCTGTAGATCTAACTGGCAATTCAAAGACTATGTCTCCGTCAATAAAAAATAAAAATTTTAACAAAGCATTTATTCTTCATGCTTTAAAACTCTGGATTAAATGGAGGTGGGTGCAGTCTTCTACTGAAGTAAATGTCCATGCATTGCCATTTTAAGAAAAACTGTCCGTATTTAACTGTTTTTTCTTTTCCTTTATAATGCTTTTCATTATTAAAAAAAAAAAACGGTAGACAAACTGGACTGAAGACGTACATCTGAAGCTCTGTTCTTGCCACTGGAGTATCCCAAAGCTGGAAATATTATCAAAATGATCAAAATGGATTTGGGGAGCTTTATGTTGCTCCTAAGGGATCCTTATAAAAAATTACGGGGGGGAAATATACTGGTAAACTCGACTTTGGGTCAAAGAGACCAAAAGGTAAAAGCATTTCTGCTGAGGATGAATTTGATAAAGGGCTGAAATAACTGTAGCTGGTGATACAAACAAAGGAATAGTTGAGGGAACATATCGATAAACGGGTTAACTTGGAACTCATCAGTGGTGTCGTTTGGTGTAAAAAGTGACCCTAAGAGGGCCTTCCAGATAGGCAGAGAAGTGAAAACACTTCAGCGTGTGAATGATCGGTGAGGATCAGCACCACTGGCCATTAACATCTCAATAGCCGCACAAACACACACCACTGGCACACAACCCATGAGGTCATTTGAACGTCTGGCAGACAAGTATCAGCATGCATGTTCAATATTTCAGTTAAATCTTCTCACAAAGATTAAATAGAATTTTCATTACTAATGGATAGATTAACTTGGTCGGTCTTTGTTTCGCCGCTAACAAGAGGTGAACTCTCATTAAAGATCACTGCCTGCCAAAAGTGAATGAAAGCCTTCTAAACTGAAAGCCTGTTACGAACTAATTCCGGGCTGCGAGTACTCTGTGCTCCTCACTTTCAAAGTCACTCCAGATAAAAGTGTTACCAAATCAATGAAAAGTAACACAGCAAAGTGTGTCCGTGCCTTGTAGCCATATCTTCACAGGCTGCCCCCAAAGTGAAGAGATACTGCGTGAAATGACACTCAAAGCGTGGGCCCTGCTGTCCAATCACTCTGCGCCGTGTAATATGAAAAAGGGCAAAAGTTCTTAACTGTTCCTCGACGTAAATTCACAAAGACTTTGAATATTCTCTCATCTATTGTTCATAATATCATCAAAAGGTGCCGAAAATTGCACAAGGGACAGAGCCAAAAAAATCGATTTTGGATGCCTGTGATCTTCGGGCCCTCAGGCAGCAGGGCATCAAAAACCATGGGCTGTGAGCACAGTCCACAAACGCAGGCCGGTGTTAATGTTGCCTCAGAAACACTGACTTCTTCTCTAGGTCAAAACTTTAAAAGATTATTTCAAACTGCCCAATGCACAGTGCAAAAAAACCCTTCTATGGTTTGACAAATAGAAAATTCAGGCCTTTCACCAACTGAAAACATTTTCTGGAACTAGGGGTTGTATTCTATCCTTCCAGTGCACTTGGCATCCATCTACAATACATACTCAACATCTATAGTATAGACATCTACAGTATAGTATAGCTCGGGGCTTGAAAGTGAAAGTGAAAAGTGAAAAGTGAATCACACAGCAGCATGTCTGTCTTGCACAGGAATGCTATCATTGCTTGTGGTGGTTGCCCAAGTTCTCCAAAACTTTTCTGACTGAAAACACTTTTCTACCCAGAAGTGTTGGCAAGACATCCATCTGAGCGTGCCAACAGTTGCTTTGACCTTTTCACCATATACATCGCAGACAGCTGTGTTTGGTGTTTTGAATCCATTAGCTGCCCCTTCATCTCCTTGGACTCAAAGCGAGAACAGAGTTTAAATAAGTTATTGAATAAAAAAGTGATATGAGCTGAAAAAAGAAAAGATCTTCAGTCTAATCAAAGAAATCTAACACAGAGTGTCTCTATGGCCTGTACCCTTGCATATTCGATTGATCTCTGTTGTCTTCGTTGATCGTCTTGTGGGGCACCAGGGCAAAGAAGAAAAAGGCAATAAAAGTGTTGATTTTACTTGTTTTTGACAGCAATGTATTTTTCAGGCCGCTCACAGCTCTCATTTCGGTATCGTTTATTCCGCAGCACCCATCGACCTCATTATCGGCTCCGCTATCGCAATCACAGTTCTCACAATCCCTTGTATGGACGCAATGTATATATCACATTTACATTTGGCTGAACGTTTTATGTCGATAAAGTGAGCTGTAATGGCCGGTGACATTTCAATGCACATATTTTGTATTTATACATTGATCTACACCTGGAATTGTACATTGGAAATAGTTTAGACATTACTTTTATCAATTAGAAGGCATCAGTAATTATCGTTTGACTATGTTGGAAATATAATTAATTTGATTAAAGTCAGTCAATATATCACTCCAACACACAACAAGGAAGATTTTCCCTTTTAACATCAAACTGAGATAAAGATAATAGTAATAATACAGCCCAGCAGTCTCCCTAATTCATTTATGCCTATCTTATCGGTGCTTGTTTGAGATTGAGGACAGACCAAGTAAATTGTGTGACTCCTTATAGAGTTGATTAAGACGAAACGAGATCTCTACTGGGTTGATTGAAGCAGGCACTTTTTCGCTGCCATCAATTTAAAAAATATATTTTTTATAGTGTTTTTACAACTTGAATCTGTTGATTTTAGGGTGAATATTTGTGTAATTTGCATTCTGGAGGCAATTACTGTAAGCTGTCTTCATTTTATCTCTGTTGTCTCTGTGTTGGTGAGCGTAAAAGACATTCACATTGGCATGACATTCATGGACTTTATCCTTTTTCTTGTTCCATAATATGATAATTGTTTATTATGCTTCTGCAAATACATCAGGGAAAGGATCTCCGAGCCAGATGGGTGACAGGATTGTTTTCTGCTAACTGGCACAAATCGGCTCATTGCCTTTATGAAAGATTGACCCAGCACTTCGCTGTTACTGGTAAAAAGCCATCACAGCCCTTTCAAACATACATCAGCATATTGTGACCTTTTGTTAACAGAGTCCGAAGTGGTCCTTGTTTATACTCAGGAGGTGCACGCTTCTGTGCCACTGACTTTTTCAAGCCTCAAGAAGCACAATAAGCATGAAATATGCAGAGCGTGCTAAGCTGTGTGGGGCACGAAAAAATTATTTTGTATTCAGGTTAGCACATAAAATGTCATCGAAACTCAAATCATACCACAAGCAATGAGCCAAAAATCAAATGAAGAAAGGAAGTTTAAATGGAAAAACGCTCTATTTAGAGTTGCTGTGATTCATTTTCAATGTTGTATTAAAAATCATTATTAAAGTTATTATTAATGGCATGATTGCCATTCTGTAATTCATTCTGTTTTGCAGCATGGCTGAAAAAGCCACCTAAAGAACAGCGAGTGTTCTGTATTGACCATCATTTCATTAAGTTGTGAAGCATTCTTCATTTTACCACCAGCTTCAGGACAGTCTCCAATATAGAGCCTCCACAAACTGAAGGAGCCCCGGAAACTTAAAGAAGTTCTGTCTCTTTCTGAATTCAGTGTAAGTGGGGCATTTCTAGCCAAGTCTACCCTCCAGGTATCTGTAGTCCTCCACATTCTACACCTCTTCTCCAGGTTGGAAAAAATGTCTGGGCCTTACCTTTTTGTTCACTGCATGTTCAAGAGGTTTAAGATAAGGTTATTGTTTCCACACAGTGCGGTAGAGTGACGGAGCAGATTCCTGTCCTCAGGCTTTTGTCCATCACTGACACATATGACATGACTCAGACTATACTGTAAGTCTGAGTGAAGAGAGTGAATAGAGAATATGAGGACCCAGTCCCCTAAGGTTCCCTGAGCTGACCACCTTCAGTCTCTTCAATCTTTTGGTCTGTTGTAAATGCACTCAATATTTCAGTTAGTTTTGGAAGCATCTACTTGTATTTTCTGCAGCTTTATGACACCTCCAACCCCAACCATAGAGCCACGAGCAAACTGGTTGGTTCTGAAAGTGTTCACGTGCCTATTTAGGTTAGCCAAAAGCAGTCTCTACTGAAAATGACGTGGGATGTGAGTTGAACTGGACCTTTAGCCTGATTCTGCTTTAGTCTTTCCAGCTGCTGTACCTGGTGCTTGGAGATGGATAGAGTGACCTCATTGTGTCTTGACGTGGGAGGAGATGCTATTGTTGCTATATGAAGCTCCGTTATTGGCCTGCATGGTGAAATTATAGCAGACATCGTTTAATTCAGGCATTCTAAATGATTGTGTTATAAAGTCGCCATAACAGAAAACCCTGCTGGTTCTATTAGTATCACAAGTTCAAACTCTTGTGTGTGCGTGTGGATTATAGTTCTCCTTCACCTCTCCATGAACTTTACTCCCCTGTTTTTGGGGGGTTTTATTTTATTTTGGTTTTGGTTCTCTGAAAGTGGCAGGGCTTTTTAGGAGGAGGTGAGGTAATAGTGATCTTTAGTAGAGCCTGTCACGCCTGAGTCTGCCGTGTCAGAAATGTTTAGAGATTATGTGCATCTGGGCCTGTAAAACATTCTGCTCCTTTACTTCCTATAAAAAGTCTAGCACCTTCTATAAAAACCTGTGCAATAGAATATGCTATAGTGTGAATGCATGTGTGACTGTGTGCGCGCACAGCTGGCCCTGTGTAATTATGTGTTGCATTAGCATGCATTACCCATTATGATGAGATATTATTAGTAATAGAGGAAAATAAACCGTAATAAATAGAAACATAATAAAACACTGACCACTAAGCAATAAAATAGGAACAGTTTTGCACAAGAGACTCTGATGTGTATTGAATAAATGTATAGAATACATAGAATTTGTGGACACGGTTAAACATTTTGAGCAAGATTTAACGCTTCTACTTATCTGGGCTCTTAAAGTTAAATTCTTCTCTCTTTTGGCTGTCTTTTAGTTGCAAAAAATCTCATATCTAGTATGCCTATTTGTTTGAAAATCAGAGCTCAAATCACTTATGATCTTGATGATTCTTGAATTTGAAGCTCTGTTTAATCACGGCACAGTATATAGGAGGATGTGCTAAAGTGGGAGACTTATTAAGTCAAAAAGAGATAAATCAATAAGACATAAGTAATCATCAGTAATGAGCACGATGTCAAGAACATGAACTGAGAATAATATCCAAATTACAATAAGATCAATTTTGAAAGAGTGGGGAATGTCACTAAGCATGCTAACACAACAAAAGAAATGGGAATATTTTATTTGAGAGATGTCTAAAAAAAGTGACTGTAAATCAGACTGCATGTCAACCTGAAGAGTTTCCAGACTAACACTCTGCTCAATAAAATTCTTCTTTTTGGATCAGAACCTGGACTCAACTGTGAGTGCAGCGAAACTTTAACTCCCTTTTTTTAATGACCTTTAATGTTTGTTTGTTTTTCTTGATAAGTTAGTTGAGTGCATTAATTAGATTGGAGAGTCAAACTGAAAACGTTAATTGGATATCATTTGGACATGTAAAAAACATGGTTCTATCGAGCTTCACAGAACTCAGGTATGAATGGATCGATGAGTTTTTTAATAAATAACCGAATACCTTCAGCTTGAGTGGAGAATTAAAACTTTAATAGTCAGTGCTGACATTTAATGTTCGATTGCCTGCTGTGATTCTGGATTTTATTGACTTTGCTCAGATTTACTTGCTTGAACACAAGTCTATGGGATTTTTTAAAAACGATTTGACCACATTCAGTAGAGAAAGAAACAGATGCCTTCATGACTAAGTCACCCAAAATCCTGGAGAAAGGTTTAAGAAAGTTAAATGAATACATTACAGACTTTAAAAGGACTTAAATGTGAATGTGCACAGGTTCCATCCTCTTGCTGAGAACGTTCGCAAGAGATGGTGCAATTCAAATATAATAAGCTAAAGTTAAGGAATATGGAATTTGAATTATTGAGATAATTGATGCAATGGGTGACACCATAGAACTATCATATCTCCATTTCTCTTTTATTTGTTTTGACCAGATAAGATCCAGAGAGCTGGAACGAGTTCCCAGACACTGGGGAATTTTCACCTGCTGCGTTTTTAGCTATATCAGGTTAAATTGTATGCATGCAATTTTGGTCCTGTGATGATTAGAAAATTTTAATTAGAAAGAATGGCAGACAAAGGCTAATTCTGATGACACACTAGATGTGTGTGGCTGGAGCGCGGTTCTCTGCCTTGATTGTTTAGTTTTCCTTGTTTTCTTATTAGGAAATTGCCAAACCTCTTTTAATATCTCACAAACGCAGAAGTTTCAACTCTAATCTTCTAACAATCAAGTATGGAGTTCTCATTCATGACCAGACATCATCAGTGTGAATGAGCAATACAAAAAAGTTTTTTATCCCTTCTGTGACCATCACCTCTTTGGTTCCCCCAGATTAGAGACTTTGCAAAGGATTGCTTTCCTGACTTTCTGCATTGCTGAAACTCTTTTATGTGTGGATCTCAAAGAGAAAAAATGCTTCTCTTTTTATCTTCACTGTTTGTGGTTGACTGCTTTTAAAATTTCTCACTCTAACGAAACGTAGCATGGAAAAGTGTCTTACAAATCAAACGTATTTACTTCTTTTATTTGATACTTTTAGTACTACTTTGTTACCTCCCCATTTGCCTTTATATTGCTCTAAGTTGTCACTACTTTTTGGAAGATTGTTTAAAACCCAAAATGCAAACCTCCCTGTTGGAACAAAGTAAGCTTTAACCTTGCCAGCCCTAAGACTTATCTTCCTGGAATGAAGAGATTCTTTAGATTCTAAAGCTTGAAAAGCTCAAAAGATCGCTGTACAGATTCCCGGAATCTTCTTTGAAACATTACCTTTGTTGATCCCTGGACTTTTGAGGGAAGAGGGGAAGGGAACACAGCTTTCATCCAGCCTTCACTATGCCGTTCACCCCATACACTTTGTGGTGTGCATTAAATATTTGTTTCCTTATTACAGGAAAACAAAAACATAAAAATTAATTGTTGGGAACAAAAAGAATTAAATACTGAACATCTGTTTTTTTAATGGAATAAGAAAGTTTTAAGGTGCCATTAAGTCCCGCCATTAGATGACTCTGCAATAGTTGAGGATTTTTATAAGCCGTGGCACATTTGATGGAAACACAACACCCAAGTTGGCACTCATTCCTGCTGATAATGCTGCAGTTGGTGTTACAAAAGCGAACGCCGGTCACATTTTTTAAATAGAAATAAATATTCTTTGAGGCTCTGACACTGGCATCAACAACCCCTCGAGTCAAAAAGAGGCAAGAATGATTGACTTTACCAAACACGGTGTAGGTGACAACTCACAAACCACATTCACCCATTCGATCACATACCCACACAGCATATCATATTCTACCACATGTCGCGTACTATTCAGGCCGTTTTCTCTACCTTACGTATTCGGACGATGATGGGCACCCTGACAGGTGGTCTGAGGTGAGCCGGATCGAACCAGCAATCTTCCCCCTCATTTACGGCGGGCCCTGAAGCAGAGGTCAGGAGCCTGCGTTGATTGGTCCGCTGCACTCTGTGCACGCTGCTACCGCCACTATTGATTGGATAGTTTCATAGTTATCTGACAAACTGTCAGAAACTTTGGTCCGACACATCCTGCAGGCTAAGTGGAACGCCCTGATATTGTTTTAATTACTGCCCCCTCCCCCCCTTGTGAGATAATGATAGTAACTACACCGAGCTCAGAGGGTAGACACACCTCTGCGGGCTGAGTGAGAGGACATAATCAACCTGTTTTAGCGAATGCAGCCAAGATAAATGGGTATAAACATGCTGCTTTTGGTTTAAAAATGGCATCGGGAGGAGTAGGAAACATCATCTCTTTCCCCCGCAGCTAAATCTGTGTGTGGAAGCTCTCCGTGTCAATACAGTGTCAATATTGGGACTAATCAGCAACAATTAGCGTCTGCAAAGTATCATGAAGAAAAAAAAATAGTAAAGCTGAAGCATCAGGAGCATAACAACATTCTGCAATTCAGTCTAAAGCAAACTGTCAGCTCCTCTGCCAGCTGTCACCAACTATCACACTGGAATTCTAAACACATGTCAAACAGAGACCGACTTCATTAGCAGCGTTTATTAGAAAGCCTTGAACACACTCACGCACAAACTGCCACTGTATAATGTCTCAGTGAAAAATAGGTTTCCATTTCTGCAGATTTTTGCACTAAAACTAACAACCTGCATAAAATCCAAGCCTCGGACCAGACCACTCAGGCTAATAGCTCATTATGTACATTGAGGCAACAACTGCATTTCCTCCTTGGGATAATGAATATTTTCCATTCATTACTTTGGTGTGATTTTTGGGACGTTTTAGCAGCTAAACAGCTCCTTATGTCGGTCTCTTTTTAAAACTATTCATCATTCTGGGTCATTTTCCTCCCTTACCTGCTGATGCATTATTTGTGCTGAGGTTTTATACAGAAAGTGAAGATTCGATCCTTCTCAAGTTTGAAGGAGAGAGGAAAGTTTCCACCTTATAAGAAATGTAGTTTTATTGGTTTTTATTGTCTGCGATGGACTGGCGGACTGTCCAGGGTGTACCCCGCCTCTCGCCCATTGACCGCTGGGATAGGCTCCAGTTCTCCACGCGAACCCATTAGGGAATAAGCGGTAACGATAATAGACAGATGGATGGATGGATGTTTTTTTTTATTGTTTTGTTGCATGTTCTGTTCAGCTGCTTCTCCTCCTCATTCTCAAAGTAGATCACATTACCAACCCTGTGCCCCTCTCTCTTCTCTTTATCTAAAAAAAGGTTCGTCCTATTTCTTCAAGGGGAAGGAGTACTGGCGGGTGCCCAGCAGCGACATGGAGGTGGAGGCGGGCTACCCCCGCCTCATCGCCAAGGACTGGCTGCTCTGCACCGAGATGCAGTCGGACTCTCCGGACGCGGAGGCCAAAAGCACCGAGACCAGGGTCAACGTGCACGGGCACCCGGACCACGCGGAGAACGGGTACGAGGTGTGCTCCTGCACCTCGGACACGGCCTCGCCTCTGGGCGCCCACCCCTCCCCGTCCCCCGTCTGGCTGCTGTCCTCCCTCTGGACGCTCTCACTGGCCCTCCGCTCTGAACTGCTATGATGCCGAAGCGCGAGGATTTGAGATGCTCAGCCAAAACACAAACTGAAAGGATTTGTTCATATAAATACTGATTGTTATATTTTTCGCTGTTATTTATTTTCAGTTGAGGTTCATGTTAAAGCGCCTTGCAGTATTGGGTACGGACCATTATCATTCCTTCATTTTAAGTACAGCTGGTGGGCGTAGGTCCGCCAAGAGTGGCAGAACCACAAATTATGTCTCCTCCTGTTGGAATTGTTAAATTGCCTCATCTATTCTTGGAGGGCTAACTGAATGACTGGTCTGGCATGCATTTTTTTGTCTGGTAATATTTGGGTACTGACACTTTTTTTTCTTCTTTTTTTGGTATTTTAGCTTTGACAAAGATATAGTTCCATGAATGAGCTTGAATTGCATATTCCCAGCTTGAAATGAAAGGCTTCCATGCACCTATTTCTCATGTTTTTCTTTTACTTGATTCAAGGTTACAGGCAAACTGGAGTCTCTCATCTCCTGGACTGGATTAGAGGCAAAATGCCCCGTGATTCAACACAGGTTTAAAGAAAACATTTTCACATTCATATTGAAAGAAAGAGTTCGGGGAGTATAGCATTTTGAAGCTGTTGAAGCTTGTTCAATGATCGTTCAGACGTTTTTCTTTGTTCAAGTCATTAGTTAACATTAGGGCTGTTACTGTTTTTTTTTTGTTTTGTTTTGCTTTTTGCATTTTAACAGTCATTTAAATGTCAGGAACTTTTTAATGTTCCTCGGGGGAACTCATTTACAGCTTGATCTGATGCATGTCGTGGTTTAGAAAAAAAAGAGGATATTGCTAATGTGTTTTCTAAGTAACTTAGAATTATATTCTAAGAGAGTACTGATAGATTTTTAAAAGATATATCTGGAAAGCAATGTCTGGAAGAAAAATAATTTATTTGACGCCCTAAATGGTGAAGTGATGACGAAAGTCTAGGTCATTCATTGACTTTGTGGGTACTGCTATCATCCCACCTTAAATAGTTCGCGGAGGAATATAAGCAAGTCCACATGACCATGTCCGCGTTCAATGTCGTCTTACACCCTGCTCTTCAGCTCCGCCAGCTACAGCACATCCTTTGCCAGAGGCTCATAAAAGTGCCATTAATAGCCGGATGACAAAATATATATGCAAGGATGCACAGCTCATTGATATCATTTAGTGAACTTCGGATGAAACTACAGCCATGATTTACGTGACAGTCGTATCCATTTGTATAAGTTCTAATCCAACAATTGTTTTTACTCTTTTTCTTTTTTTTAGGCAAAGTGTAATCGGATTTTAATAATCTTGATGCTTGTGAATAGTTTCAACCTTTTGGTGAATGTTCAGTATATGTTTTTTTTTTTCTTCTCATCGTGGTAGACTTGGACAACAATGCATTATTGTATGAATGCCTATTGGAGGATGAACCTCACATGACTTTTTCAATGGTACCAGGGTACTTCTGTCTTTGCATGGACATCCAGGCCTATTCATATTGCCAAGCTTTCTATTGCGCCCTTCTTCTTCCTCACCCTGAGAGCTTTAATGACCGTTTAGAAAACACAAGAGCCACCTAAATCTACCATCTGGCCAGTTTGTCATTTTGACACCCCTTTATCAACTTTATTTAAAATTAAATCTGAGTCTCCATTTTAAAGCTCGCCTTCACTTAAACTGTCAGTGTCCAAATATTTCTGGAGCTGTTTGAAGCAATAATGATCATCACACCTTCTAAAGATGAAGGGAGATGAAAATGTGTTGAGAACGATAGGATTTATTTTTTTCCTTCTTACTGGAAGTAACATGAAAACACCAACACTCCTTTCATATATGTTCTGGTACCAGAATTTAAGCAAAAGATCTTTGAAAGTTTTGAACTACTACTGTCCCTTTAAAATTAACAGTATCTGCCAACAACAGTATCTTAGCTTGTTGTTTACTTCATATAAAATGTAAAGCTTGCTGGCGTATTTCACTGCCTGAATATGTGATATTAAGATAGAATGACAAATACTCTATATTGGAAAGCGATAACACTTCTCAGCTAAAAGGTAAAGAGGTGCATCGTATAGAGTCTGACAACCTAAACCCCCTGCCAGGCTTCAAAGGGACGCCCAGTATTCTTCACCAGACGACCAAAAACTTCTGCTTAGTTTTCAGGTGGCTACAGTTAACATCACAGACGTGGCTACGGCTTTGAAATGGGCCTACAATTCCTGGAAGAAAAGGCAGGATTGTTTCTGAGCTCCATATAGAACGGAAGCGGGCTGAGGAATGACATCATGAGTTATCGCAGTCAGACAGGAGGCTGACACTTTGGTGCCTGTCTTTTCCGACAGCTGCCAGCTAGCTAAAGATGTGGTATGGATTGATAGTTAGGTTTACAGATGAATGGCGCCATGGGATCTTGACAAGAAGACACATGAATAGCACACCGGAGTTCGACAGGTAGATGAGTGACATTTAGGCTTTTGGAGGGGAAGACGGGCGAGCACCACCAAGAAGAATGTTACACAAGATGAATTAACGTTAGCCAGAGAGTTCAAATCCAACACTCCCACCAGGAGTCATCATCCCTGCTTAAATCTTTTCTTTCACTCCCACTCTATCTGAGGAAGTCCAACATCCACACTATTCATCATTTTCACCTGAAGCATTCCCTGCCATTACCAGAAGTGGTAGTAGTTTGTTGATTTTTTTTCTTTTTTTTTTCGTAAAAAGTATGGATATGTTGTGAATCCATATTGCTTTGAGATGACAGCTTATGGAGCATTTCCTAAAGCCCTAGTGGTGATTTCTATCAGATTCACAAGACAGCAACCAGATTTATTACCGTTGCTGGTATATATTTACCTACAATCTAAATATAGACACAGATATATTTGAGTCAAGACGTTCCATGGTTGCTGAAAGCCAAGTGGACTGTGTATATTTGAAGCTGTGTTTTCTAATGTAAAATATTTTTGTAGAAAAATAATAATAAAGAATCCGAATGACTTCATCGACTAATTGTGGTCACATGAAATTGTGATGAGAAAGAGGACTTCTGCCTTGTGGCTGACTGGTGTGCAATAATTTATTGCCATTGAAAGGAGACCCGGGCTTGAAGGCAACATCACAGCTTGCAGACACGAACTGGGAGCCACTGTCTGTCTCTGGTGTTCTTAGGCATGTTTTTGTTCTCTTTTAATGGTCATTCTCTTTGTCAAGAGTGATTTTGATCAAACAACACATCCTCTTTTCCTCCTTTTTAAGCATACATATACAGAGGTATAATACTTTTAGACTCTACACTTTGATGATCTACGCTCCTCTAAAAGGTCACATACCGCCACTAATGTTTTGGAAGAGAAACATTAAATATGAGAAGTGAATTTCAAATTCATAGACTTAGACGCATGTAGATATATGGACACCCTATGAAATAAGCTTTCTTTGTATTTCTTTCAGTGGTCTTCTGGAGTAGTTTGCCTTTGGCTGTTGGCTGTCTTTTGTTCCCTTCTCTGTCAAGAAGATCATATAAAGTTACATTATATATATATGTTTCATTAATGAGGTTCGATTTCTGGGCAGGAGTCATTAATCTAGAAGAACTGCCAGTGATTTTAGACATATTTGACGTATTTTAAGCTTTTATACCTGGTTTTCTTTCCTGAAGAATGGCTTTTAAACAAGTTTCCCTCCATGAAGATCAATTACACACATGTATTTACTGTCTTTTAACATTTACAAAAATATAAATAAACAATATTTACTGGTGCTGGTTAAAGAAATGAAGAGCACCTGAAAACCTTTGCTTTGGTATTAGCTATAATTTGGGAATAGGCCCCGCTCTGTGTCCCAGACTGCCTCATTATTATTCCCTCTCCATAGCTATCTGGTCAAGCATGGCAGGCTGAGGTGAGATGCCACAAAGAGGAGCTTTTTTTTCTTCTTTTTTATCCTTTGACTCGCTTGAGTGGTGTTGATTAACTAGTGTGACAAAAAAAGGCCAAACAAGATAGTGGATGCTCATGGAACCAGCAGAAAGCAAACTGATAGGACTGTTTGTCTGAGCTGAATATATTTAATCAGTTAGGTGAAAATAAATGGACCAGTGAATATTCTAATTTTAACAATTACACTATGAACCCTATTTAGACCAGTGAGCAGTGCTGGGCAGCGTGTCATTGGCGTTATCGGGTGTCATCAGTGCTTCGTCTCTTTGTGGAGAGTCCGCTCTGCCCTTCAGCATCTCTTATGCAAACCTTTCACGTTCTGATGCTAAAATACACAAATAATACAGAGTTTTTCAGCATGGACATTAAGCCTTGTTTCATCATCCCCTTCTTTCATCATCTTCTCCAAAGAATTCATTTGGGCACTATAAGATGCAGAAACATCTCAAGATTCATGAAAGGGACTCAGATGACCAGCTCTCAGTGGCATCTTTATGAAAGTAGGTAGGCTAAAAACTAAACTTATGTTATGTGTGGCATGAAGAGAAAAAACAACTCGTGACAAAATCGGGAAAATCTTAAAGAGTTTGAAAACTTTTAGGGTCACTGAATACTACAGAATGTGTTTAACTTTTATCCCGGTGCCACAAGACATTTTTCAAACAGCCATAATTATGAGATTTTAATGAACATCTGGATAAAACTACGGACAAAGCCACTACTACCTTTGCTATCGATGATGAGAGTTGAGTTATACAAGGTGGAATTAAAATAAATGGATGGGTACAATAGACACATGAACAGCTGGACAGGCAGATGGAAAGATCTGTTTTATCTGTTGGAACCAACAAGTGAACAAAATGTGATGGATTAATCCCAGAAACTAGCCTTTGAAAACTAAACAACAGTTTGGGTGCTGTGTTTATAAGATGAAAACTCCAGTAGTCCCTTTATCATCAATGTGACCTTAGACTGGCAGCTGTCGAACCGACAAACTTTGAATGAAACGGTAAGTAAAAAGACAGCCAACATGGTGGAGAAAAAGACTGACCGGTAGAGTTTTCTATCAAACGTGTAACCGTGCAGCTTCACTGCTGTCTGGAGTCCTGGCGTCTTGTTGAGTTATATGATTGTTGCTGAAGAGAATGTCTGAAAAAGGAGCTTACATGGTGACAGAGTTACCATGGCAGACTCATCAGATTGGGCTCTCTCAACCCTCTGCTGTCACATTCCACTGAAAGTCACATTGGAATCAACTTTAAGCAACACACTGCCCTGAGGATACAGCAGGAATGAGTCCTTATCTGTTGATGTAAAGTGTGACAAAGTGACTATGAGGGACATTGGAAACTTCACTGTAATGGAACACATGGCACCACACACAAAGTCCTGCTTTTTCTGTGGTGTGCAAACTGACATTTATGTAGCGAATGTCAGTCAGATAGCCACGTCCATCTTAATCGAACTGAGATAGAATGAGAGCAAAGTCAAAGGTAACTAATTGCACCATAACCAGCACTGGCTCAGCTAAACAGACCTCAGCCATTAATGTTACAGATGTTTTTTCTTCTCTTTTCCAGGGAAACCATATGCATAGGAAAGCATCCAAAGACTTGTGTCCACTCAATAACACAAAAGTCCTCCCCCATCTATAAGTCTTCCTTGGTTTTATTGCAGAGTATCGGATTTCCTTGAGATTCTCCGTTTAATTAACTACCATAACCTATCGGTGGGGGTCATAAGCTTGAGCATGGCAGTGCAGTATGCAGACGCAAACGTTATGCTGTTCAAGTTTTAGAGGATCATTCCGTGCCAAAGTGTGTTTGAAAGAGCAGTGACCTTCATGGTGAGATTAGTAGCCATCCATCTGCATGAAAGGCCAAAGAGATGAGGAAGGAATAGTACCGCAGTCCTTGATGGTAGCAGCATGAAGAGTGGCCTTGGAGGAGGCAGCACAGGGATTCAAATGCACAGGAAATCTGTCACTGCTTGTCTCTTGAAAAATTACTAGTTAGTCAAATTACATTAACAGCTATTAATTGAGTAATTGAGATTCAAACCACAATTCCAGATGTTTTTTCTTTCTTGAATAGTTAATGTCAACGTTAATCTATATGCAAATGCAATTATTTTTCAGTCTTTACCAATCAACTGAATTTAAAAAAAATAGAGAGGGACTAAGACAATGGTTGAAAATTTTCTAAAACATAGAACTAACATCTTTATGAGGATTTTTTTCAATCAAACAATAATTAAGTTCCAGTTTAGGATTTCAAGATTATATATATATATATATAAGCCAAAGGAGAAAGCACATCAAGGCTGTTATCTGTAAAGGGTGTCTAAGCCAGCGTCTGTGATGGTTTGTTGGTGCTTCGCTGCTCATGGCTTGACTTCTATCATCAGAATGGTGCCTTTTCCGGGACAATTTCGGCAGGAAAATGCCAGGGCTCACTCTGAAAGACATGGATCCAAAGATATCATCTTGAAGTTGTGTACATGACTGGCACGCCTGAGCCCCGGAGGGTTCTCCATCAGCGGAGCGAACACCTGAAGGCCTTCAACGCGAGGCACAAACCGAGGCTTAAAGTGGGCCAGGAGCAACCAATGAATCACTCTGCTGGAACAGCCAATAGGTAAAAGCAGGCCAGGCTCCTGCAGAGCGCACACCTGCAACGTTGTCTGCTGTGTAGCCTTCAGCAGAACAGTCCAGCTGTCCTCCTCAGTCCGACACTGCGAAACACACGGAAGGCCGGTGAAGTTAAAGGTGGATGAAACCTCTCTTCGGTATCATAGGAACTCTGCAGCCCGTGGTCAGTGGTCCGTCTACAGATATGTGATTGTTTTTCAGCTGACATTAATCACGATGACTACAGCAGTTCTGCGCACGCAGGAGCTGGTGCGGCACGCCTAACCGTTCAAGGTATAATTTCTCTCATAATAGGCTTGCAAAGAATGAGTAGAGCTATGAGCATCTTGCAGTAATTTGCAGTCAATTAAATGAATGATTAGATTACAATATTACTTAAAAGTTTAAATTCTCCAAGACACTTTTACGCCCTCAGAGTTTAACAGTGAAAAGTTGAACTTGTCTCTTTTACAGCACTCTACTGCCCTCAACTGGTTTTCCAGTTAAAGGGAATTGTGCCTAGTATGAAGTGTATGTGGGTAGAAACATATGTGGCCAGAGATTAGTGAGATTAGGTGAAGTAACTGTGTTTTCCATGACTGAGAACACAGTCAAGCATGGTGGATGTCCTGCTTACAGAAGATTCATCTGTCGTGGTTTGATTTTCACACCATATTTGTGGCATTTTTTAACATCTCATACATTTTCCATTTTTGTGAAACTTACAGAACCACTTCTGAAATATGGACTTCCCAGGAGCTCCATTAAAAGAAAGTAGATCATGCAACAATAAAGCAAGTCTAACCAGTTTTTATGCGAAGGAATGAAAAGAATAGATTTACAGATATAGAAAGGAAAATAATTTGGCTGAAGTGATTTGTGAGGAAGCCTGACAGCATAAGAAAATTGAAGTTGTTCTTTGAACAAAACGTTTCTAAAAAACAGTTTTAATATGAATTTGCATTACATTACAATAAATAGTAAAAGCAAAGGTCTGTGCAATTATGGGATTGAGATTCAAGTACTAATAATGAACTTTTTTCCACCTAAAGAATTATCTAACAATAAATGTATGTCCCACCTCTTAAACAACATTCCCTTTTTTCATTTTAGCATCATTCCAAGAATATAATGTGATTTGTTTTAAAATCTCTCAGATTTATGACATCCCTATGAATAGATTTATCATCTAGAGATACAGTAACTTGTGGAAAGACTGTCCTTAAAAGATAGTGTCTATCAGTAGACCACACAAATATCTACACAACTGAAGAAAGTTTTGTTGAGCATAGTAAGGTTACATACATATTTTTTGCCTTGATGCTGGACATTGGAAATTAGTTAGATTAAGTGAAACATTTATAGACCTCTCAAGTTATTTGTGGAGCGACATTACAAATACCTCACGTTTACAACAGGAGGAATAGATAAGACAGGGTCATACAGTGTAAAGAACCAAAGTAGTTCAAAATATTTGTGGTGCTTACTGTGGATAAAATGACTTACTAAGGATCTCTTATGACTTAATGTATCTCACGAGAGGCTTTTTAGCTTCTTCTTTCTGCCAGTAAATTCCCTTTGTTATAAAATCCCCTTTGTCCTAAGGTTCCACACCAACCCACCCAGTTGGTAATGGGATTTTCAATTATCTTCAGCTTTTGTCGTACAACTCTAACGATATTCAAATCCTTGGAAAATGACCTGCCCCAAACTATAAAGTTTAGGGTCAGAACAGGGTGGAAGATATCACGGAGTGAGAGGCAGGGTACGTCCCGGATAAGATGCCAGGTATCCTATCAAGGGAATTATTCAAACTGTGAAACATCAATATCAATTGTAAATGACTATAAAACTTAAGCGGCTGGAGATATTTTTGTTTATACCGAGGAGCTGGCTGGATCTGATTCTATGAGTGATATCAAAACTGATCTGAAGTCAGCTCTTTTTATTTCACCTCTGATCTGAAATCAGCTGCCCACACACGTATCTATTTATTCCCATCGGTTTGGGTTTCATTGCTGTACAGAGAAATAATGGACGGGAGTAAAAGTAGAACACTGTTCTTGAAGACAAATAATATGCAGAAGTCCCAGAAAATGTCCTTTCACCAGGCAACATCTGGGCCAAAGTCTACATCTTGCCTCCTCCTGAAAGCATTGCTTCCTCAGATGAGGAGAGGAACAGGTTTGATGATGTATTTCTACATGGAGCTAGCAACGTGCAGGCAAACCCACCCTCTCTGAACTAACGCTGTTAGAAATGCTGGCCACCTCCATGGAAAATGATCTCTGTTGCGAAGAAACCACACCTGTGGAGAGACTTGAAGAAAAAACATCACTCTAACAGATCACCAGAAACACAAGCACAAATACCACTCATACATTTACATGCTGCTTTAATATAACATGAAAATGTTCAGTAAATCTACTGAATTGTGTATCTCTGATTCCATTGTGTATCTCTGATTCCAGCCTTGTTTCTGTGAGAAAAACAAATGTCTTAATCATTCTGAAGTATTCCTGGTCCTAAATGGTACAAGGTTATCCAGCTTTCGAATGAAAAGTGTCCTCAGTGGTAACTGTTTCCTACAGTTTTAGTGTGTGGTTCAATCATTTGATCAAAGGGAATTTTCCGTCATCAATCTCAATATTTGCATTCAATTTGTTATGTTTTGCATGAACACAATTTGAAGCATCTCCTCCAGCCTCTGAGTTCCATACCTTCAGTATGATTCAGCCTAAATATGAGTTGAGCTTACAGTGCTGTAAACAACAATGGTTGTATATTGTAAAGATAATAATGATCATAATAAACATGATGGTAGTTCATCCTCTCAATTTCTTCTACCAAATGATGAGGTCACAACTTATAAACTACACGAAGAAAGCATGCTGTTACTACAACCGTTAATAATGATTTGCATGGGGATGAAGATAATGATCTTTTTTTGCGACAAACATCGTAACATTAATATCAGTGCCAAAAATGACACTCAGAAACCATATATAAAGCAGCTTGAAATATATATATATATTTTTTTTAATAGAACAGGAAATGGGGTTGTTCATATTCCACGCGTTTGTGCGTCTCATTCCGAGATTCTGAACTCATTTGTTCAGTGTTCAAACTTGTTTTCGCCAGCACAAAGCTAATGTGTAAAGCTGTCATTTACGATTGCAGTTCAGGGGGAAAAAAAAAAACGGACGTGTGACGTCAAGCCTACAGCTGTTAATGCCCCGCGCATGCGCGCTGGCGAAGAGCGACTCGAATCTGCTTTGTTGGAACCATCGATGCTGTGACTTTCTGGGAGAGAGCTGCCAACTGCAAAGCCCCTGCGGGGAGTCACTACGATGCCGTGGGGATAACAAAACACGGCTAACTCTGTTTAAGTTGGCAGTTAGCGTCGGTTTCGCCGTGCGGACGCTTCAGACGACAGAAGTCTGGACCTCCTGTATATAAACAAAACGCAACGAGCTGTTTTTTAAGGTGGCACGTCAAAAACAGCTGCGAGGGGCAGACTTTTTTTTCCGACTCTCGTTGGTCAACTTGGTTCACTTCTGTTTGGCCTCGCCGTGCAAAAAATGGAAGTCGTCGGACGGTTTTGTTAGGAGGTCAACTCCAAGACGTATCCGCGCGAACATGAGAGGAGAGGACAGTTTGTTTGTGGGAAGCCAGCCTTTGGCGAGTGAAAGAGGGGGTGAACATCCCTGCAGCTGCCCCCACTTGACGGAGGAGAAAGGACTTTCTAACAAGAAGGGTGACCAGGGGTCCCCCGGTCAGCAGTCCAGGTCTTAGTAGAAGAAAAAACCTGCACTTTCAATATGGAGACGGTGGGGAAATTTGAGTTTAGTCGGAAGGATCTCATAGGACATGGCGCATTTGCTGTCGTCTTCAAAGGCAGACATCGAGAGGTGATTATACCCCCCAAAACACACACACATACACACACACACTGTTCACACTGCCCTCCATAAACGCCGTAAAAACAAATTTACGGTTGAGGAGTCATTTCAGGGTGTTTACAGTACTGTGAGGCACGGTTTGCCTTTTGTTAGCCATCTGTAGCGTTTGTTGTTACTGTACGGCCTTAAGAGGCCTGGTAGCGCATACAGGATATTCCTTGAAAAACATCCAGCTAACACAGAAAAAACGCTAAAATACTTGTGCAAAGCCCGTGACAGCTTTTCAGAAATGCATTGATGGCAACTGAGTGGCTTTTTGTACATTTTCCGGCAAGTTTGTGGTGCAGATGCTGCGTGTCAGTTTGGCAAATGCAAATATAGGCCATCAGACTCGTATTGTTTCCTTTAGAAAGCCCCCCCTTCTGTGGCCATTAATAGACATGTTGGAGCATGTACCACAAGCGGATTAAACGCATATAAACTTTCAAAAGGCTATGGTTATACAGATAGTTTGATCCTTTAGCATCTGCTGAGTATGCCACGAAAGGGAGACATTATAGCATGATGATGTATAGCTTACTTTTCATTTTTATTCTCCAGGGGGTGGTTGCCTCAACACAAATTGCTAAGTACTGTAGCTACAATACAATAAAATTGAGCATGAGCTCAGAAAATCTACCTAGCAGGGCACAACATGGAGTTTCAGGAAATATAATGTAATGGAAGTGTCAAAGACAGAAGAAAACATGAGCATACTGATTTGTTACACCATTAAAGCAATGTACCAATTACCATTAGAATATCGCTCACAATTGGGGGGTAATGAATGAATATTCCTGAGCTCAGGAAATGTGGTAGAATCCAGCATTTTTCCCAACACACAATGCAGTGACATGCTGACAAACATTTGCATATCAACAGTCAGTTATAAAGGCGCAGCACAAAGCACAGTTTGGACACTTTGTTACACTGTTTTCGACTAAATCAAATCGACTTTTTTGTGTGTTTGTATAGAAACATGACTGGGAGGTGGCAGTCAAATGTATAAACAAGAAGAACCTGGCCAAATCTCAGACCCTATTGGGGAAAGAGATCAAAATATTGAAGGTAAGTCAAATTTACTGTGGTACCACCAGTGAGTGTGTGTGTGTGTGTCTGGCAATGCAAATATGGGCAACACCGACCAGTATTTGGCTTTTTGTAGAAAAACTCTTGTTGAGTTTGTCACCTTCACTTGGAGGATTCCTTAGATAGCGGGGTGTGGTGGCTCACCGTTTCCTGTTGTGAATATTTGTTTTTAGAAGGGGTGGTCAGTGTAATGTGAATCCTGGTTGTGTTTAGTTGTCATAGTTACAGTTTGCACGCAACTACCTCTGCAACAGAATTGAACCATTTGAAGCATATCGCAGAACATATTTGTTTAAGTAATGATCATACGTTTCTACATAACGTTTTCCCTCTCTCACCTGTGCAGGAACTCAAACATGACAACATTGTTGCATTACTGGACTTTCAGGTACGTGGTGCTTTGCACATTTCGAGGGCCTCTGTTTACATGATATTGTCTCACCTCTTGTCGTCCCACATTTCCTTTCAGTCTGTGCTGTAAAGTAGAGCAGACGCTTTGTTAGAGCTCTCTGTTCAGGATGACCCACTTTTGACGTGTGCAGTTAGAGCAGTTTTATTTTCCTCACTTGTTTATTCCATTAAGGTTTTCTACTTTAGTTTGCTCTGGATAAGGAAATCATACCTTTTTTTCCCCCCACTAGCATGCAGACAAGCTCTCTAAAACTTATGAACTCTGGCTCTAGCTCCCTCATTTCCTCTGTTTACATTTTGCCAGCAGTCACGTAGCCTGTTCTTACCAGCCTTCATGATCAAGGCTTCCTGGGAAGTGTAGTGTAAATGTCTTCCTGTCTCACATATTTCTTTTTAAGGCTCTCCCGAAAGAGTTCTATGCTTCCCGACAGCTTTTTTACGTGTAGAATTGCTGAAAAATTGTAACGTCCTTCAGTGAATACCTCTTAGCTGCTTCTCGTCTGTAAGCTGACATGTGGGAATCCTTAGTCACTACAATGCTGTTGCCTGTAGCCTGGATACCAGACTGAAGCTTACCAGCACAGCACCTGCTGGCTAGCTGATACATCTTGTCCCACACGTCCCCACACACAATCTTATCTAAACACGGCAGGTGTTTCTTTTGTCTTTGTAGTCCATGACCAACAGACTGCCATCTGCTTGAAAACGGGACTCTAGTTTTAATCACACCAGATTCAATCATTTCACAGCCACACTGTTTTAGTGATTGACCCAGCTTGCTCTTCATTACATTTTGTCTTACTCTTATCAGCTTCTACTTGTCCTCATACGTCATGTTTGACAGTTGAGATTTTCTCAGAAGTGCAGGTGAAATGAGCCTGGTAGCTTGTAGCTTAGCAAAAATGATTTTAGCTGCTTTGCTAGGTCATTATCAGCAGCATGAGAAAAACCTCTTGGAACAGATTGTCATGTCTCTGCCCCCACTGAACTCCAGAATGCTCCACTCCACTTTTCACTCATGGTGGTGAGTTGGCAGTGGAGAGTCGCACTCTGTTCGGAGAACGGCTCCAAGCTGCCCTCTAAGATTACGGGTTTCTTGTGGCGCGGCAGGAGGCTGGTGTAGGTGTTCTTAGCAGGGGATCTTTCTATCAATCCAGCAGAGTAGGTCGGATACTATTTGAAACCAAAGAAAACACTTTGCTACAATAAAATATATTTTCTTTTGACTGAGGGATTTTTTCGGGGTTTCTGACCTGCTGGTTTCTACAGGAAGAGACTTTGTTACAACTGCAGGGTTTAATCAACATATTGATTGAGCGGAGATGGTAACCATAACAGAATTGTTGAACAGTTTTCACTGAAAACTCTCCTAAAATTACAGTTTAAAAAAAGAAGAAGTTGCCATTTATAAAGCAGTGTTGGTGTGCAGTCCATAGCTCTGTAAACAGGATTATTCCGGTATCTCTATCATGAAAAAGTTTAAGCCGCACCAAATATTCTATTCCTGACAGCCTGTGGAAAGCCAGACTGTCAGCTTTGTGCCTGAACCTGACTGGCTGCTGTCCATCTTCTCTGAAAACTAAAGGCAACTGACTTCAGAAGCCCTGACTCAGCAGAACTACTGAAAACACACTGGCCCCTGAATGCTGCAGTCAAATAGATACTGAATTGAGGTCAGAGTGGGAGACAGAAGTCATCTGTTGGCCTGTGATAAGGGGGGGCAGGGGGTCGGAGCTGGCTGCAGTACGTGTTTGTGTTTTTTGCAAAACCTGTAGGCCTGTTTCTAAGGGATGGTGGTTAACAGCAAATCCTGGATGTTGAAAGAATTTCAGAAACTCTGACTTCCCCAAATGCACAACACTGGAAATGATCTTATCTTGTCCCTGTAGACTGAAACTGTTTAACAGTTTCTGCTTTTGATCACTGTGATGACAAAAACCTCTGCTCTCAACTGATTTGATCTCAAATCGGTTGGCAGATGCTGGTTGACGATATTTGAACCAGTTATTGAACTGAATGCCACATCCACCAGGCAGAGTTTGATGGTTGATGGATTCTGTGAGTCAGGCCTGTTCAGTACAGCTCTGCCTCCATCTGATGGGCCAGTTTCTCATTAGTCAGTCAAAGGGATGTGTTTGTTTACTCCTGCTTTTATCTTCTCTCTTGTAGGAAACTGCCAGCTCGGTGTACCTGGTAATGGAGGTAAGCTCTCTGTGGTGTTTGGCTTTGTTTGCTTAGCGCTGTATTGTCTTGGCTCTGTCAGGGCTGGCGCCATAATTAGCTGACCCCTCAGGCGTCATTAGGGTAAATGGCTGCCAGCAACACTCATTTGCTGTGGTTTGATGCTTTTAACCTGATGAGGAAGGACAGGAAATGTTGCTGCATAAGGCATAAATGTTACTTGTTTCTTTCCTGGGTAGTTTTTGGGGGACATACTTATGATATCTGTATTGCTCACATCAGTGACAATGCAAACTGATGTCATTGCCTACTTATCACAGCTTGTTTATTATTTATTATTATCGTATTGTCAAATGCAGACAGTGTATCCAGCAAGACAGTAGTATGATGGAGGTTTTGAACGTGCATGTGACATATTTACCAGCAATTTAGAAAAACCTGTTCAGGCATGTTTGCATGCTAATATTGTAAATATAATAATAATATAGCCAACAAGAGAAGTGATGCACCTGATAGTGAATCTATTAAGCACTCATAAAGAGTGAAAGCTCACAACTCCACACCATGGTCAGACTTTCCTCCCGTCTATTTCTGGATACATTCATATTAATGCGAGAAACCGTAAGAGGTGTAAATCTGTTGGCACGTCACATTTAAGCAAATCACTCCTCTGATCTCTGGTTTCCTGCCAGCTCAGAGTCAGGACTAAGGTTAAAGTCATCACACAGAAGCCGTTCACATTATCCTGTGTTTCCTAACGGTATTCCTTTTTGTTCTTCTTCCCATCCTGCCTCACTCCATCTTGTTCTCAGTACTGTAATGGTGGCGATCTTGCTGAGTACCTACACTGTAAGTACAGCGATTTATCCTCTCCTAAATTATCAATGTGCAGTGTCCCACAGAAAAGGGAAAAAAGCTACAGAGAACGTAATCATTTGCAAGATTACATTAAAGTTGGAGGTCTTTCTTATAGTCATAGTCACAGAGAAATATAGTCATGTATTTCTCTGTGCGGCAAAGAATAAATGATTTTGCAACATGATGCAGCATGTCTGAAAAACAAAAAATATATAATAGTGCTTCAGAAACTTTACATCACTCAAAGTGTTAAATTTGCAAATTCCGGTGAATCCTGCATACATTGACCCTCTGTCTGTAATCGTCGTAAATCATACCTGCTTTTACCCGTTTGTCTGCAGCCAAAGGCACTCTGAGTGAGGACACCATCCGGGTTTTCCTGCAGCAGATAACGGGGGCCATGAGGGTCCTACAGACCAAAGCCATCATCCACAGAGACCTGAAACCCCAGAACATTCTGCTCTCCAACCCACCAGGGCGCAAGTCCCACTGTAACAACACCTGCATCAAGATTGGTGGGTTTGCTGTTTTGGGACTCAACAAGCAGGGGTGATTGCGAGGTCATCTTGGTTAGATATTGTTTATTTTAATTGTCATATTTAATGGTATTCAAAGATGGCCAGGAATGATAAAAGAGACAACAATATGACTGACAGCAGAGCTTTTCTGAGTCCTCTGGGTATAAGAGTAGAGCACCAGAATCCCTTACAGAGGCTAAAACTAACTGAATATCAGGAAAATCTCATAGTGTGTTAAATCTTTTTGCAGTAATTGATGACTTATGAAAATGAGGCTGAACTCCCAACCGTTAATTGATTTTCATTAGATCTAAAATGTCCTACTCTCAGCTGTGATATACTGTATTGGGGGGGGGGGTACCAGGACGCAGTAAACCTATTAAAAGAGAAGTGAGCACATCCTGGTCACTCTGCAGATTTTACTTTTCATTTGCTCTTTGCGGGAGGGCTTGTGTTGTCTGACTATTTCTTTAAAAGGCAAAGAAATGAGAGTGGGATACCCGATCATAGCGTCAAAGTTCAGACATTCCATTTATAAAAGTCAACCCTGAAACAGCTTTTGCTCTCACCAACCTCTCATTTGATGGGCAGGGACACTGTCCATAGCCTTTGACATAATGCAGCAGCCTTCACCCTGTCTGAGATTGTCTCTCGATAACCCTGATGTCAACTCAGAAGCTTTTGTCTTTTATTAGAACGCTGTTTGTGGCTTTTGAAGACGCGTTGTGTTTTCAATCGTCTTTCACAAAGCACTCATCCCACAATTTCAAAGAAAGAATAATAAAAATGTCGTCTTTTTGTCTTTTTCTTTAGTGCTTTTTATTTTGCAGTAGGAAGATCAATGCATTCAGATCTTGTATTAAATGCTTCTTCTTTCCCTCTTGGCAGCGGACTTTGGCTTTGCCCGGTACCTTCAAAACAACATGATGGCGGCTACGCTCTGTGGGTCCCCCATGTATATGGTAAAAACACTTTGCACAGTTTTAGATATAACCTCCTGAGACCCGAGCTTTTATTTGGCATGCATTTTAGCTTTTTTTTTAAAGATATATGAGATACATATTTAATTAAATGTTTTTACAATTTTGTTCTGACAGTCCCATTGACTCATTTACAGTTTTTCTATTACACAATAAGAACATGATTGGATGGAAATGTATAAAACCAATTTACTTTAGATTTCAAACAGTGTCTGATAGCATCTGCTATGAGGTCAAGAGGTCAAAGCTGAAAGAAAAAAAGAAGTATCATGGTAAAGAGAGACAAAAATGCAACGTCCTCTTATGAGGACACAGGGTCTCAGGAGGTTAAGAGACAAATAACTGCAAGCACTCCCATATGTTTTCTATCTATTTTCCCCTGTAAGGCTCCTACAACAGTATGTTTCAGTCTTGAGTTTTATTTGTTGTTGTTGTTGCTGTGTCTTTTGAAAGATAATCTTATAACAGCAGAACTCTGACACAGGGTTTATGATAATTAGAAAGTATCTAATAGTCTATCAATCTTTTTAACTCCTTTTAACAGGCTCCTGAAGTAATTATGTCCCAGAACTACGATGCCAAGGCTGACCTTTGGAGTATAGGAACCATAGTGTTTCAGTGCTTGACTGGGAAAGCTCCCTTTCAGGTAAATATAGATCTATTGTATTATTAAGACTGAACTTGGCTGTCATTGCAAAGAACACATGCTTATTTAAAAATGTATTTCTTCTTTAACACTTTGTGTATGTAAACAATGCGGGTTCTCGGACAAGAAGACCTCAGAAAAACATGAATGTCAAATTTCCATGTTTCCTATAAGAGCCATTGGAGACATTTTCCCGTTGTTAATTGATAACAACATGCCTTTTTTTGCCTTGCTCCAAAACTGCGGGCTTTCAAGAGCTGCTCATAATGTCCTGCAACAGCAGGGCAGAGCAGCAGGCACAAAGCAACAAGAATTTCAGCTTGGCAGCTACATTTCATTCTGTCAGGCAGTTCTAGCACTGCTTCACTTCCTCTCTGCTGGGCTTCTCACCACTGATCTGACCAGCGAGTCTACAGCCTGTTTCAGGAGATGTATTTGGTCAGCAAATAAAACTTTTCTTTGTTATATTTAGAATCAATTGGCAGCTACAAGTAAACACAACAGGACATGCATACATACAGTGCACAAAGCACACAAAACAAATCAGAATCATCTTCTGACAACTGGCTACTGTGACAGGAAGTGTGGTGTCGGACACCAAAAAGGTGAAGGGCTGGATGAGACTTTCCTCCTGCTAATACACTACGCGTATCTGCCTTCAGGTCCTTTGTTTCTAGTGATTATTTTAGCTTGTTTATCTTGTCTCTTTGCTTATCTGGGAGCTAGAGCAGAAATCTCTGCGGTCAAAACACTCACAGCCAAAGTGAACCAGAAAATGCTTTACCTGGAACCAGCTGAGCCCATTCAATATTTGAATCTGGGGCCTGAGCCAGAAACACAAAATGCCTGACCACAAACTGAACCTGCCCCACTGTTACAGCCACACGCACGCTGGAATGATGCTGATTTCATATATGTTGGCTGTAAACAGTTTGTGTTATTTTGCCAAGCTTAAGATGACAAGAAAAATGTTGTTTTGCTTCTTGTTAAGTTTGGAGTCTTGGAGTCTAGTTGGAGATGTTCAGATCTGTCATTATCCAGACAGAGGCAGCATAATTAATCCTTTTGACATTAAGTATGACGGTAAACTTGTTGCCACAATAGGAGTGATAAACATTGTTTGCTTTGCTAAAGCGTTTTTTTTAACCTATTATTCTTATTGAACTGTAACAATTATTCATTTTTGTAATCGCAAACATCTGCTGTAGATACTATTTTTGCTATGTAATCTCTGGGTTTTACCTCAGGGGATATTTCATCTGTGACCTGTCTCAGTTTTCTCAGTTCAATCATGATTGTTTTGAAGGCAGGCTCCTTTCTGTCTGATTTCCTTTCTCCCTCCCAGCCAGTTTATTTTGGTCTTTGTGGCATGGAGAGCAGTGAAGCTGGCCTCAGACCCGTTTCATATGATGCAGCGTTTTACAGGCAGGATAGAAGGAGAGATAAAAATAAAAACCCACATCTGCATGTTTACACATGCAGATGTTTCCATATTTTCTGCTTTTACCTCTGACCTTTTATTTTCAGGCCAGCAGTCCTCAGGACCTCCGGCTCTTTTATGAGAAAAACAAGAACCTGAGTCCCAAGTAAGGACCTTTACTGACATGACCTGTATTCATGTGGTATATAAACTGTAATTGATGTCAAAATCTGATGTTTGTGGTAGAGATTTTGCTACCAGAAATTAGAGTCTTTAATATCTTCACATTGGATGAAGAGAAAATTAAAGCTCTGGCCACGATTATTTAGTCATTTCTTTGTGCTCTTAAAGGTGCAGATTAGACTAAACTGCCACCCGTTTGATAAAATATAATATAAGCTGACATTACAGACTTGTTTGCTAATACTAAAAGCTTTGAGTAAGAGGCCATATATATATATGATACTGGGTTTCTGCCAAAACCTAGAAATCACAATGAAAATGTTTGAATTGTGATTTCTTTTGAGCAATTGAGCTGTAAAATGAGCTAAAAATGGTGCTTTGCCTGCAACTGACTGAGACATTGTTTTTTACAGCATCCCCAGAGAGACGTCACAGCATCTGAGGCACCTGCTGCTGGGTCTGCTGCAGCGTAACCACAAGGACCGCATGGACTTTGGTCAGTGAATATCAACTCATGTGAAAATTAGTCAAACAGTCGGCAATGTGTTTTCAATATTCAATCAATGGCGTTTAGTGAAGACTGGGCAAGACTATGATATGTGAATATGATCATGTTCTACAATCACATTTGTGTCTTATTACTTTTACAACAGTTTTTAAATATATATACCCCCTGACTTGATGTTGATCATTATTCTTTCTGTGTTGGTGGTAGATGAGTTTTTTTGTCACCCTTTCCTGGAAGCGAGCTCATCCATTAAAAAGAGTAAGTAAGAAAACACTGCAACCGGAATCGTAACCAGAATTCACTTGTAATTCTGAAATCTCTTAACCTTGCCTTTTGTTCCAGCCACTCCTGCGGTGACCATGACCTGTTTGCCCAGCTCTGCATCAGCCAGCTCTTGCAGCAGCTCCTCAACCTCTCACCTCGCTTCGCCACCAGTTCGTGTTCATTATTTCCGCATTATTTTAGAGCACGCTATTTTGTTTTCTAACTTTTGCCATTTGCACTTGATTTACAAAGTCGTATTTCAGAGTGGCTGTTGTACTGGCTGTTAGTGTAGGCACCCGTCTGACCTGTCACTCTCTGGTTGCTATTTTATGCATTCCCTTGTGCATCTTTTATTTATCTTCTACCTTCTGTTTCCCTATCACTATAGCAGTCTCTTGCAGAGACTCATCACCTGCGAGCCAAAGCTCTGACCTCCCCGACCCAGGAGGCCGCTTGTTTTCTCCTCAAGGACTCGTCTGGAGGAGGTGGTAGCAGCAAGAACTCCTCGTCCTGTGACACGGATGACTTTGTCATAGTGCCGGCTCACTTCACCAGTGAGATCAAGTTTATTCTTTCTTTCCAATAAATTCATTATAACTACTAATGTCAGATGAAGCTTTAAATGTTCCCAGACTAGGATCAACGGCTTAAGAGCGACTGCTATTGTATCTTAAATCCTTTTATCGATTATTTCTTCCTCAATGAGTTTCGTATCATAGAGCGTCCCACATGCTGCTGTCATCCTTAATATGGAGATTAATTTGATTTTGTTCTTTGTTAATTTTTTGTACCTATTTTGGAATGCATAAAACAATTTATAATAAGACTTTTTTAATCTTTCTGATTTTCCAGCAGGTGAGCTGACATGTGAGAGTAAAGTGCTGCAGGACAGCCTGATGAACAGCGGGTGAGCACTTCAAACCGTCCAGAACACTACCGATTCAGTTTTTGTAACTGGAGAGGTTTTTTTAAGTAAAACTACAAAGTGACTAAGTTGTTTAGTTTGTGATTGTGTTTTTTATGCCCATCTGTCTTTCTGCACTCTAAAACAGATCCCTTTTGGCTTCAGCTGGTCTTTGCAGCCAAGACAAAACACCACCCCACTCACCGACCTACAGCGGGTCTCCGAGTCCCGTCAGGTAGCACCACACGGTTGATGTCTGGTTGTGTTGATGCGTGGGCAGCTTACAAACTGTAGAGCTGTTCGTAAATCAGAAGAATTGTGAGTCATGTTCAGAGTTACTGGGGAAGCATTTTTCAAGAATCTCACCAAATTCCACATTGAATGGCTTTGGATATTACCAGACAGCTCAGTGCTTCTGATGTTCAACTATGTCGAGTTTTTTTAGATAGTTCTGAAACATTTTCAGCCTTTTTAAAAATCATTTCAACATTACTATTGAGTGCAGCAGTTTTTCCTCTAACTAATCCCTTAGCATTCTCTTCTCATCTCGCTGCTGTTGTCAGGCCCAGTGAGCTCCGGGGAAGTACTTCTTGTGGTAACTATGGCAACCACGGCCGGTCATTGCCTATCCCAGTCCCCTCTCAGGTCCAGAATTACCAACGTATGGAGCAGAACCTTCATTCTATCAAACAGGACAGTTCACCACGGTCCGTGCACACAAATGGCAAAGATTCACATACACAAACAAACACACACATATACACGCACATCAGTCTGACCGGCTAATGTTTTTTTTTTGTATGAATTCATGCTCAAAATGACACCTGTGTGATCCCCACATCATTAGGCCGTCCACAGCGGTGCGCCGTTGCAGCAGTGGCAGTGTGCTTGGCTTTGCCAGACCCGGACCCTCACCCCCCTATGGGCAGGTACCTGCCCCCACCTCCCGCAGGCTCTCCCTGGGAGGTGCCAGACCATTCCAGCTCTCACCTCAAGGTAGTAATAAGATTCATCTTTTTTTTTTTTTTACATTATTTTTTTCCCTGATTTCTTACTATGTGGCCTCATTGCTCATTTGATTTTAAAGGAATGCTATTTAGAATGCTACTTAGAAATAAACAGTGGTGTTCATAAGCATTCACAAGAGAAAAAAGAACTATAAGGAAAAAAACTGACAGAATAACATTTTAACCCTTTTGGTATCTGGAGATTGATAAGAAATATTCTTTTTTACATGAAATATATCATTTGAAATATATTCTTGTGCACGCATATGTGTGTGTGTTTTGATAGTCAGTTGCTAGAAAACATGGTTTGTAATGTTGCATGTTTCCTGTTTGCACAGTAATTACCATACTAACTATTTCTTTTTTATTTTGTTAACAATTTTTCACATATGCTGGCTCATTTTCCTTTGCAGCTCTGCACACTGAACTGAGACCGACTACTCAGCAACTGCCACAGCCTGCAGGACTTGGCACACGGCTCCACAGTGCCCCCTGTCTGTTGGAGTGTGGAGGTGGTGGTGGTGGCAGGCACAAAATCAGGAAGCAGCACTCTGACCCAGTGGGTGCCCCCTCAACAGGGCTGATGACTGTCCGCCCCCCACACTCTTCCCCCAGGCTTAGTGAGCTTATACAGCGTAACCCCCTTCCCACCATACTGGGCTCCCCCTCCAGGGTTAGTCACCTCTGTGTTTAATTCTATTTTTTTATATATATATATACACAAAGCAAAAACTAAGACCCAGCTATTTGAACTAACCTCTTGGAGCTTTCTGTCCTTCCTTCCAACTTTCTTCAGACCATTCCTCCCTTTGAATTCCCTAAGCCCCCAAGCTCTCCCAATCTTATGACTTTCCTGACACAGACGGGTTTGGTCATTGGCTCGCCGTGCAGCAGGACTGCTCCTGGAGAGCTCAGGGACCTCGGACAGCATGTGCCCACACCTGCCACCCACACTGCCCAATGCATCCACAGACTAAATGATGAAACGAAAACCTTTGGAAGGTTAGATTTTTGTTGTTGCCATCTAACTTTTTTTAGATGACATCCCTTCTGTATTAGCAGAAAAAATTACAGATAGATGAAAAACTACAAATTCATGATAGAAGGGCCTTAGTAATTACCAACCTGTTTTATATGTTATGCATCAAAGCCATGCTCTGAAACATTTAGATGTTAAAACCTTTTTTCATTTCTTGTACATTTTTAATAAATATTGAACTTGTTTCATGCATTTTAAAGATATTACAAGGAAAATAGTAACTTACATTATGGTGTTAGTAATGAAGGTATGTAGCTAATAAGAAATAGGCAGAAAGCAAAATGAGGGAATAGGCATCCTTGAAAATATCTATATGTTTCAGAAATTATGATTGTTTCTCATCCATTTGGGTCAGGTCACATAGTGCTGGTCGTCTGTCTGACATGCTGCTGATGGCTGCTTTTGGGACCGGGGGGCATGCAAGTGATCGAGGCAGCACAGAGAACATGGCATCTGAAAAAGCCATAGACATAACAGGTTTGTATTTCTGTGAGTTAAGCTCCACAAATGCATGTATGTTCACATTCATTTTTACTATTTTATCAGGGAAAAAAAACATGCTTCTCACCTTGATGTTTTTGCTCATTAGGACCCCCAGTCGGTGGGGGAGGCTTTGCACCTGGCTCCACTAGCCCAGCACAGGTGGTTTTCACTGTCGGGTCTCCACCAAGTGGCAGCACTCCTCCTCAAACCTCCAGACAAAGAAAGTGCTCAGGTACCAAATAAAGAGCTTGATACAACTAAACACTTCACCATCGCTTGTGGGTGAAACATCACACACTACATATTCATTTCAAATGATGGGAAATGAATAGATAAATGCTTCCTAGGTAACCTAATCCTAGGTATTTTACAATATACTGTAAGGAAATGGATTAAATGGATTAAAATCTGAAAAGAATTGTTGTTTTAAGTCTTTTTTTTTTTTATCTCTGCAGGCTCGTTCAGTTCAGTCAGCCCTGCAGGCTCCTTCATCAGCCGCTACCCCCAGACGGGCACCTATGTGGATGGCTTTGAGGCCCCCCCAAGTCCTCGTTACAGTTTCTCTGATCCAATCACAGCCAACATGGGCGGTCTTGTAACCTTTGAAGCCCCTGAACTGCCAGAGGAGACTCTGATGGAGGTGAGGAGCAGGTTTCCCACACTGCGCTGAAAAACAGTGAGACACAGAGTCATCTCCAAAAGCTTTAATTTTAATTTAATCATAATCATAATCTTAAAATGCAGAAAAGAAGCACAGAAAAATCCCAGTAGTTCCCAGGGCTCTTTAACTCAAGATAAAAACGCAAATAGCTGGAGGAAAGAGAAGAAATTCTGAAAAGTCACTCTGGCTTTCTTCTGTTTCAAAAAGCAACCTCTTCATCCTCTGTGTCTGCTTTTTTGGGAGTTCAGCAGGAGCACACAGATACAGTGCAGCGGCTGCGGTTCACTCTGGAGTTCACCTACTGTCTCATGGAGGTGGCTGCAGCCCGGGGTGCTATGGTGGCAGAGGGGGACATTTCTCATCTCTCCCTCCTTCAGCAGCAAACCGTGGTAGCCGATCAGATTAGCTCCCTGAGCCGAGAGTGGAGGTGAGGCTGACTGTGTCATCAGATACAGCTCTTTGTGTCACTGGTGTTGTTCAGCCAGTTTTATAGGAACATCTTTTAAAGTAGGTTGGGTGTCTACAGAGAGTCTACTCTGAATATTAATGATTTTTAAAGCCATTATCAGACTAAATGATTGAGTGTTACTTTGGTGCGTTGAAAAAGGAAAATAATATCATACAGCAGCAAACTAAGAGTTCATTACATATGTTTAAAAAGAACTCCTGACTGAGGAAAAAAATGGAAATGTGATCCCGAGATGTGACGAGCTCAATACTAAGACATGACACCCGCCAGTTATGATCAAAATGTTGTTTGTGTCACTGCTGACTCAGTGCTGAGAGTTGTGTATCTGTGTGTGTAATTGTCTCTTCAGTCACGCTGAACAGCTGGTCCTGTACCTTAAGAGTGCAGAACTATTGGCTACTGCCTTACAAACAGCCATGGAGCGAATTAAGCGGGGCAAACTCTACCCATCTGCTACCGTCAAACAAGGTACACACCCCCTTCCTCTTCTAGGCCTTTTTAAATGATTGATTAGAAATGAAAACGCAGTATTGTGTATCATTCTGTACATTAACAGTGGTGAGGCGGCTGAATGAACTGTACAAGTCCAGTGTGGCATCCTGCCGCTCACTTAATACACAGCTGGAGAAATTCTTCAGCAGGAAGCACCGTCTTATGGACCAAATCACCTCCATCACAGCTGAGCGGCTGCTCTTCAGCCACACTGTGCAGATGGTAAGCAAAAGCACACCGCGGGAAAGATTCATACACCAGCAGGTTTACAGTAAAACACACCTGATGTGAGTTTTTATAAAGGTATGGAGAATAGAGCAAACAGAAGGAAGTGAATAATGCACATGAGGTTCTCGATATTTCTTTCCCTTTTAAATCAATGCACGTTAGCTCTTTGATAACTCATTTTGTCATTTTCAGGTTCAGGCTGCTGCACTGGATGAGATGTTCCACCAGGGGGAAGCGTCGGTCCTGCGTTACCACAAAGCTCTCTTGCTGATGGAGGGCCTGTCTCTGCTGCTCACTGAGAAGGATGACATCCTCAGTGTTAGCAAATGTAGGTTTCCCATTCTGCTCCGTTTACAAGCACCCAATGCTGTTCATTTGGGACTTGCAGATCTCACTGTTATGATTCTTTTCTGATTTTCCTTCTGTCTCTGCAGGTAAGGAGTGCATCGAACGCCGCCTCACAGCTTTGCAGTCAGGGCTCTGTGTTTGAGGGTGTCAGCCTCAGTTTATAGAGTGCAGACACGATATCAGTCATTTGCACCCAGTGCATTACTAACTAACCAAATCTCCAACCGCATCTCATGGTTTCAGGCTGGAAACGCTTTCGTTTTTGCAAGAAAACCGTGACTCTCAGGTCAAGACTGAAACTTGAGGGTTTTGTGTTCTGAAAATCTTTCAGTTCATAAGTTATGGACTGTAGCACTGACTTCATTATTTTATTTGTAACCAGTGTTTGACTTCAAGAGGACTTTGCTCCTGATACTCAAAAAAGCCAAGAAGAGGATTTTCCCCCCACTACTGAAGGCGTAACAGAAGCAGGAGCAGTTATTGCCAAGTAGTCGCATTCCTACATCGTTGTTACCTGAACATGAATACAAAGCTTTTTTAAAATGCCAAATGTTCATGCGATCTATTTAGACCACATTTAATCTCTGACCAACATCAGAGGGTTTTCCATCAGAGTGCAGGCTTCAGAGGTTGTCATCACATGCGTGTGAATTACACCTTGTTCGTTTTCATGGGGTTTTCTTATCCAGGTTTTATCAAGTTTCCTTGCTTACTGACAGAAACGTATAGCAACACTACAGTTAATGACCAGAAATGCTACAAAACTGTTGCCAAAACACCCTTAGAAAAAATATGTTTTTGTGTTTTAATGTGGATTCACTGCATGTTAATACGCTGTCTATGAAAAAAAAGAAAAAAACTGTGTGACACTTTAATGATTCTATACTTGCTTAATATCCAAAAACTGTGTCCTGTCATTAGCACCATGTGGAAGGGATTCATTTAATCTGGCCTATTTTCTTTTCTTAAATAAAGTGGTTGTAAACGGGGCAAAAAAAAGGGTCCAAAGAACTCCTAAAGCACCCGCTGCAACTTGAAATGTAAACAGTAGCTTTTCATTCCAGTGGGATTGAAAGTAGTCGGTCAGTATCTTCCACTCACGATTACTTCAAAAACAAAATGCTGCAATATCATAAGATGTATTCTTTCAGCGCACGTAACTTTCTGTGCTGCTGTTGCTGGTCATTTTCAATCATGATTCTATTTCCTGTCTTTTATGTGTTATCTATCAATCATGTTGGTGTTTAGCAAGTATAATCAAATATGAATGTAGGGCCGTCGGGAGAGAAGCCACGTTGCTATTCGATTAACATTTAGGCTGATCCGAGGGCTGAGGTCTGAATGTTTTTGCACTGTTTAAGTACTGTACAGAGAGAGTCAATCACGCTTAACTTTCTTTTTTTTTGTGGCTGTGTTATTTTTAGAGAGTTGACTCGCTTTTAGCACAGTTTTAGTTGTGTTCCCTGTTAAAAAGTTATTTGATGTGAGCATTGACAAGGAGGTGGTATATAAGCTATGAAACCTTTGGAGGTTTTCTGGAAGGAGAAATAAGAAAAGATTATGTATTTACTGGAAGAAAAAAAAAAAGATGTTTGCATTGTTTTGTGCTTTATCTCAGAGTAGTTGGATGGCTGTTGTTTGCTTTTGAAAAGTCACATCTTACTTGGGAGTGCTAGTTGAAAATGTGCATTTTTACCTGAATTATTTGTGTTGTTGATGTTTACCTTAGCCTTACGCCTGCCTCCTCCCAAAAGGAGACTTCATAACTCCTCTTGTTTATTGGACCAATTGGAAATCCAAACAGCTTCTTTAGTTGCTCTCACATACTTTGTATGCATGGTTGGATGTGTAATTCGATGTTGTTTGAATTGTTAATGGGCAGTGGGATGTGTTCACCACAGAACCAGCTCTGTAGCTTTAGTAAGTAGGATACCACTTTTACTTACAAAGCTGAAACGTTGTCAGGAGATCTCGTGCTTTTCTGGTGTAAGCCACTTCCACCCTTCCTGTCTTTTAACTAACTCCTTCAGTTAACTTTTTGTTTTTTAACTTGATGATGTTAAATAAGTGCATCTTTTATAGTTATAGGCTGAGGGTGATGTAGTGATGAGCCCATAGAGTGGCTTTCAGTTGAACAGATTGCAGAGAAGAGTTATTAAAGTAGATAGTGTATTTACTTTGCTGCCTTTTAATCTTTTGTCTGGAAAAACAATTCCACGTCTGTGAGTGTACATTCCATATATCAGTCTCTGACTATACGAGCGTCGTGTCTTATATGAAGCAGGTGGCTGAAAAACTGATGGATGTGTTACTTTTTATTTTTCCATGCAATCATTGCTTCCTGACGCTAGGGCCATGAGGGACAGGGTGAGCGTATCGCCCGTTCAACGTATCACATACACATAAACAGAAACAAATGTAATCGTCATGAATATTTGGTCATAACAGCAGTTCATCACCCTCTGATTTGCGGTGTTAATGTTTTTTTAATTGTTTTGCAAGAAGATACTAAGATCTTTTCACTTTACATTTTCACCTGACTAATTCCGCGTTGTCTGTCCATATTGAACATTAAGTTATTGTTATTGTATATACAAAGCTTCAGGCATGAAGAGAACGGTACACACCACCTGTACATTTCCAAAGACAAGGCTCTGTGCTTGACCTTCCCTTTTGCTCCTCCTGTTGCAAAAAAGCAGTTTAACGTTGACATATCCAGAACAGACGCACTATCCCAGTGTTCCTGTGTGTGATGTAACCTTTACTGTTTGGGAGCTGAATTATGAATAAAGTAAGAAGGAAAGATCATTTGGCTCAATAAGTTATCAATTTCTTCTGCTGACATGTTGTCTTCCTCGAAGTAAAAGTTTAATTGATCTACTTCATCATTAACCTTTCTAAACACGACATTCACAAGGAAGGATCCAGGAAGCGCTTAACACCTGATTTCCTTGTTTGTTTACTGTAACTCACCACCCGGTTGTAAAAAGGTTAGAATAAGATGACATAAAGTACAGCAATGAAGTTTTTTTCAAACCAAGTAATGAATAGAAAAAAATATTTGCAGTTGTGTCAGTTGTTGGAATACTTGGGAAACATTGGAGCAGGATGGATTTAAGCACACAAATTTGGTGGTGATAAAATTTTGTATGAATTTTTGTCAGAAGCCATATGTGGTACAATTTGTTACGCATTCATTTTTGCTTTTTAAGTGAGTGTTCCTTCAGAATTTCTTAGTTGTTTATATATTTGGGTTTAATCCAAGATAGCTATTTGACATTTTATCAGGAGCTGGGTTAAGGAATACTATTCTGGGGATTATCTTTTCCTGTGTCAGTGCCACTTAATGTCTACCACAAAGTCTACAATTCAAACAATAATATGGTCTATTTTTAGTCCTTTTTTTTTGTTAAAGATGCGTCGCCAGTTACACAAAGCAGGTTGGGTGTTGCTTCCATTTCCACAGAGCACCTGATGGCCTCATCAGGGAGAACGGGTACCATGGCAACGTTGTGTGTAAGTTGTGCGCATGTCAGTTAGTGCCAAAGAAATCTAGGATAGGCCTACCTAAACCAGCCAAGTTCTCACGTTAGCTATTTAGTTGTTTTAAGATAATAATGACGAGTTAACCTATCCAAATTTTAATAAATAGGCAAATAAAAACGGTTGGTTATTGGTTGCAGGCTAGCTCGAGTGGAATGAAGTTCCCGAACTTTTTTTTTTTTTTTTAATTTGAGGTTTTCAGGGAGCAGCTCGTCAGTCGCTTGAACCAAAAAAGATGTCAAGCAATAACCTCCCGCCGCTACAACATTTGCCACACTGGACCAGGGTCGGACACCTCGGGAAAGTGCGCTCTCCGCGGCGTTTACCGGAGAACCAACGTCCAACCCCGCAGCCGCTGCCTCCTGTCCCGCTACCGGACAGAGGAGTGGGGGCGGCGGCTGTGAGGAGTCGGACGCCCCGTCCCGTGGGCGCGGACCCCCGCGTCGCCTCGTTTCAGAAGAACATCCAGTTCCTCCAGCAGCAGCACAGGGACACCCTGGAGAAGCTCCACGCCGAGATAGACCATCTCAGGAGGGAGAATAAAGGTGTAAGCTCAAACGATAACGTCGTTAGAGAATGTGCTATCAAAGTGTCCATAGCCCAAAGAAAATTGTAACGTATGTAATTCTAACCTGTTAGTTAGCTAGAGTAAAAAATACTGTTTTTTTAGAGTTAGTCTCATGATGCTTTCTCGTCAGCCAGCCTCTTCCTCATTTACTTGTGGGTTCATTATGCCATGAGGGAGCCTGGGCATTATGGCATTCATTAAAGCCAAATGTGTTACTCTTGCAGACAAAAATATAATCCAGTAAATCTGCATTATTTCCCTTTTACAAAGGGCGGACTTGTTTAATCCATCTGCTTTGAATTCAAGTTTGTGGCAAAGACCTTACTGTGTCCTGATAAGGGACAGTCAGTTTTTCTAGGTATGGCGGTTGCATGGCAACCCCAGGCTTTTGACAGTTTCTCAGCAGGAGGTGGACAGAGATCCTGTGTCAGAACAGGCCACAGCATCTCACCACCCAGCCGGAGACACCCCAGAGCCTGTCTGCCCTCTGTCAGAGCAGTCGGCTCCTCACTGACATATCGGCTGCTTTTGCTGTCTTCTCTCAACAGCATCATGTAAGATAAAATTCTCTTGTGATGGATTTTGCAGAGCTGAACTACAAACTGATTATGGAGCATCCCAAGTCCAGTAGGAAAGGTAAGACGCAACGCTCACCTATGAAGATAGACCAAGTATCAGGTATATTCTTTAACATATAAATAACTGAATTTGTCACATTGTAAGGTTACGTTCACATATATACAATTCAAACAGGCCTGCTTCTTGACTTCCACAACCATGTGCAAAAGCACCTAAATTAGCAAATTATGGAATACGCATCTGTGTGTTGTTTATCAAAATGGAAAATCTGATTCTTGGCTTTTTGTATCACAGACTAAACCGGTACAGGTAAACTTCCAAATAGCAGACAACATTTAGAGACCTAATCGGCTCTTCCTTTGGTTCCTCCTGCTTGTTTTTAGGACTGACACACAGCCAAGGAGCCATTAGACCACCCACTCAGGGCAGTGAAGCCCACACAGGTCTCTACCTGGAAGAGCCACTCCAGGACACACGACCCCTAGAGGACCAGACCTTTAGGTGAGTAGTTATCCAGATGAGCCTACATCATTCCACAATAAAGCATAAAGGGCAGAAAAGTAAAAGGTTTAAATTCACTCATGTCGTTGTCTTGGATAAGGTTTCAACATCTCAGCTCCTTCAAGAGAAGAATACTGCAAACAGAAAAAAGGAGTGTTAGTCAATTGTGCACAGGAGGCAGGATACCAAGTGTTAGAATAACTGGACGGCATGGCTAAAAATACCCATGATAACATTCCTGGTAGCTTGTTAAACAAAAGATCATGCAAAAAGGTGGTGGCATTATTCAGTTTCCATTATTTATACAGTTCTAAATAGGGTACAAAGACAACCTCTATAAAACTTTTTCCACAGCTGTTAAATGCAGATGATGGTCAGGGTGACCATGAAAACGCTCCCTTTATGTAGGCAATGCAAAACATGGCGAAGTTATGAGGCTGTCAGCTTTGTGTCGGACCTGCTCACAGCCAGGTCCGTCTTTAAGAAGGAAGGGAAGTTCTGCCTGTGATTGCTATTGTCTCATGTAACTCCTGAGAAGCTTTGGGGATGCCAGTGAGGCTCTGGGCTCAGCCCGGCAGGACCATGGCACAGACATGAGGGGTCGCCTCATCACTTCCTTGCAACCTCTGCGGATCCAAAGCAGTCCGTCCCAGCCGCCGCGCCCCCCCACCCTGCAGGAGTGCGAGGTCATCATCCGGCAGCTTTACAACGCCAACAGTCTGCAGTCTCAGGAAGTAGGCTCCCGCCGTTTTACCCTGTAAAGTGTTGCACAGGCTAACATGTTAGGGCTCTTACCACACGTCTCAGTAACATCTTCACGTCTTGGCGTCCACCAGATCATGCGCGTGAAGGCGCTGCTGCGGGATATTGTTTTGAGCAAGAAAATCACCCCCGAAAACTACATCCTGACCAAGGCCTACCTCGTTGATGGAACTCGGTAAAGCTGCGCCATCGTGCTCTTCATCAACAACATACAGGAGTCTTTAAAAAAGAGTGTAGCACACAGCAGCAGGGTGTGAAAATGTATCTGTTCTGTGTGTGTTTCAGCAAATTCGTAGAGGAAAAGAAATTCCCCAAACTTGGTCTTCACTCCTTTCCAGAGAAAACGTAGGTGCTCCCAACGAATAACCTCTCGTCTTTCCTTTGCTTGTCATTTTTCGCCTTGAATGTCTCTTTGCACAAAAGCTGCTCTTGGTTGGCCTTATAAGTGTGTTTCACACGTGCCCTCCCAGGTTTGGACCCTCTCAGTCTGGGGTTGTTCTTCCAGCACTCAAGCAGAGTCTCAGCTCCAACATCGCTGACCGACAGAGGCGTGCTCGCGCCCTGCAGAGGGAACGCCTCAAAAGGACTTTTCGTTGACACGATCAAAGCCACCACAGCTTTCAATGGTCCCAGAAACCTTTGTCACGAATAAATCTTCTGTAATGGTTGTTCTTTTGATTTATTTGCCATCCATAAAAACTGGATAGGTTTAAATCAGTCTGAAGTCAACAGATCCTTTTATTTGTTATCTGGGCTCAGTTCTTTTTTAACTTCTATGTAAACCTGATTATTAACCTGCGTTATGTGTGGCACGGCCCGCCTTAAACTGAATGCAGCCATTATCGCACACCTGTGCTTGTCTGGCTGCGACATGACAGCATAAAAAGCTTTTTCCAGCAAAGCTGTGGCCCAGTTGCCTTCTCCACTCAGAGGCGTGATCGCTAAACCCTCACCAGCATCAGCGACCTCACAGCTGTAGGGCTGCAGCACAGCTCTCTCTGAAGGCTTAAAGCGGAGTAAACAGGAGGAGCACAGCGAGCTGCTGTGGCACAACATGAAACAACGTGTCAGAGACAAAAATAGAGAGAGAAAGCCTCAGCCCCTGTTGTGTGTTTGCTAGTTGCGCTGTGAGTTGAACTTGTGATAAGCCCCGCGTGTGACATTTTAGGCACAAATGTGATGAAAATAATGTGGGTGTTTCAAGTGAAAATACACTCATTTGATGAATGCGCCCAAGGAAATGTCTCCCCCTTACCATTTCTGTTTGTTTTGTATGTGCCTACAGTGGGATCAGGACACCCAGTGGACCCACATAAATGTGCGTATTTTGAATATGTATGATTTTCAACACATTTTTAAAGGGGTTGGGGGTATGTAAGTAGACATTACCAAATTCCACTCACTGCTTCCTTTAATGGAAGTATCCTCTTTTTTCACTGCACTTCTTCTTTTCTGCCAAGTCAAATGTGGGACAGCTGTGCTCATTTACACAACATGCAGCTAAATACCTCTCAGTTTTAGAACAGCAAAGAGCCCAAAGTGTCTGGAGTGGCGCTGGACGCTTGTTAACAGTCATTCACTTGTAGCACAAGAGGAAATCAAAATGCGCTTGATCAACACAAAATAGCTGATGGGTTCTGTTTAGTCTTGAGGGATGCCTCTTCTTATTTTTTATTTACTGAGAGAATACTTTACAGAAGAAGAAGCTGAAACATGAGGAATGAGTATAGTGGATGAGTGTATGAATGCAAGTGAAGCTGTTTCGCATGTAACATATTTCTATTCATGCCTGTAAGTCATTTTAATTAGTCTATCATCTCAGCTTAACCTTAGTGATTTTCAAGAATAATCATGAGCTGAAAACTCTGAATGAAATATGCTTTAGAAGTAATCTTTAGAAACCGTACGAAGATGAATTATTTGGGGTGCAACTGCTATGTGTTCATTTAGGTCTAATAGTTTGTCAGGACATCCTAGACCTAGAGAGCCCTCAATAGTTTCAGTGTTGATCCTTTGTGTTTTTCCAACTCTGGGTATTAGGAAAACACAAATACCATGAACTTGGCCTTATGGTAACTAAATCTGAATTGGTTTTAAAATGTATGAATGGAGTTCATATCATTTGCCCATGAATATGAGCAAATATCTAAATGGGGAAAAAATAAGTTTTCCCTTTTACGAATTTGTTGCATCACTGCCTCTTTGTCAAAATGCCTGAATTGTAGGCCTCCTCTGTACTAACCCATAGGGAGCGAATCTATTAAGATTCACACAGTGTTGCAGCGATGAGAGCTGCTCTGTGCACACTGGCCATTGAAACTAAAAGCACAGAACTACTGCTTTTCTTTATTTTACTTTCATACGCAAGCAGAAGTAGTTTTGCTGCATTTGCCAGTTTGCCGCAGTCAGTCAGCATTGTTTGAAACACTCTTTCTTTTTTTGGGATGCTCAACATTTTATAAGGACTTTTCCCTAAAGCACTGACCCTGCATTTAAATAGACTCAGCCCCATTCAGCATATTGTGCTGTGGGTTGGGAAGGAGCTCCAAATCGATGTGTCACAGCTCTGTGCCGGAGAACTCTTATTATGACTGAAAGGAAGGGGAAGCAGAAGAACAACAGGAAATGAAAATAGGGAAATATGCAAGAAGCTTCTTCTGGTGACATGAAATAGATAACAAAGCAAATATGCACTTGAAAAAAATAATTAAATCAAAAAACTTTTTAAATGTGCAATAAGTGATTTAAATAGGGTTTATTTTTCCAACTTTATTAGTTTTTTGTCTTGTTCATAAAAGCTAGTACATTCTTTTCCCGTCGCGTTGCTGTCATTACTGAGCCTGTCCCATATTCCAACGTTTTATGGAAACATCGTTCCCTTTTTCGCCCTTTCGGTCTCTCGCTGCTCCCCTTATCTGTGTCACGGAAATATGTCTGACGCCGAGCTCTGTACGTGAGGGCGAAGGCCTGTCCTCAACCTCCACAGCCACCCACCCCCTTCCTCCGCCCACCCCCCACCTCTTGTCATCAGTGACGTGCGCATAGAAAGCGGGACCTGCCCTCCCGTCGCCATTTTTTCGGTCTCGTACTCGCACTTCTGCTGGCTTGAGTGAGGGGAGGACTAACCGAAAGAAGGCAAAGTACGAAATCTAGTATTGCGAGGTTAGGATCCATCGCGAGCGGTTGGGAACGCACGCGGGATTTCCGTTGCACGGCGCCGGCTCCTGAGATGCACGCGCAGCAGACGAGCCGCTGCTCTCAAATCATTTTTTTGTGTGAAGACGTGTTGCGGGCCGCCATTTTTTGCTGTGTTGCCTCAAAAGTCTGCGTCGACCCGAGAGAGGGGACTAAAAAAGCAGTCTCCATGACGTGTGCCTTACCATAAGACCAAGAGGATTTTATCTAATCATCTTCTCCGCTGCCCGCGGCCACTGCCAGCCTTTTGTCAGACATGGGGATTTATCAGACGAAATACTGAGACCAACCTTTTCCGTTCTCATAACTGACACTGATTGGAGGAGATACGTTATTTGAAAAGAAACCTGGTGTTTTTCTCGGAAGGCGGAACAAAAAGGGGAAGCTTAATTGATCATTTGTTGCTCCAGTCTCCGTTGGTTTGTGCCGCCGTGGGTTTTGTAATTTTTTTTTTCTTTCGACCGCTCGAGCAGTTACTCAGCCATTCTCTGCTGAGGACAGGAACCACATTATGCTCCAAAGTTGGGTCAAGTGAGTCGTAGCCTTTCCCTGAAAACGTCAGGTTGATTTGTACCTTCTTCTTTTGTTTTTCCCCCCCCAAAGAGGGCTGCGTTTGTGTAGAAATCACTCGAAACGACCTCACAGGGCGGCTAATGCCCTGAACCGCATCTTCCAAGTCCTGCCATTAGCTGTCACAGGCCCGGCGGAACAACGCTTTTAACTTATTTTATAGCCTGGTGTTATTTAGCTTTTTTTTTAATTTAAATTATTTTTCGAACAGAAATGTCAACGGCTCGGTTTGACTCCTCTGATCGGTCCGCCTGGTATTTTGGACCCGTGTCACGACAAGAGGCACAGAATAGGTTACAAGGACAGAGACATGGCATGTTTCTGGTTCGCGATTCGTCCACCTGCCCTGGCGACTACGTGCTGTCGGTGTCCGAAAACTCCAAGGTGTCGCACTATATCATCAACTCTTTGCCCAGCAAGAGGTTTAAGATAGGCGACCAAGAATTTGAAAACCTCCCCGCCCTCCTGGAATTCTACAAAATCCACTACCTGGATACGACCACGCTAATAGAGCCAGCTCCCAGGTATGGAAATCACCCTGTGCTGTTCCAGGAAAACTATTAACTACTAGACTGTTCTTTGTGCAGAATTTATTTGCTCAATTTGCATTTATTGGACACATCACCATCCACCACAGGACCAATTTGCTGATTTGAACGGGTGGTGTGTGTATGTGTGTGTGTGAAGTCACATTGTTTAAAAAATAAGCATTAGCTAAGATGCTAGCTTGAAGTTCAACAGCATTAATTATAAATTTTAGTTAATCTGGAATGCTTTTTTGTGTCATATATATGAAATCTAGATTTTGTTTACAGGCCTAACATAGGTTTTGATTGGTTGGCATCCCCATTGAGAGAAGCTTCCATTTTAAGCTAACTTACATTTAAGTTGTTATGTTTCAAGGTACCCAAGCACGATCAGCGCTCCCATCCAGCCAATGCTCGGCCCAGATGAGAACCAGGAGTACGTGCGGACACTATACGACTTCACCGGCAGCGACGCTGAGGACCTTCCCTTCAAGAAGGGGGAGATCCTCATCATACTAGAGAAGCCGGAAGAACAGTGGTGGAGTGCCAAAAACAAAGATGGACGTGTGGGGATGATCCCTGTGCCCTATGTAGAGAAATTGGTACGACCCTCTCCCCACCCGGGCCAGCCTCCGCACGGATCTCGCAACTCCAACAGCTACGGCATCCCAGAGCCCTCCCACGCCCTCGTCCACGCCTACGCCCAGCCTCAGACCCCCTCTCCTCTGCCCCCTGGTACACCCGGAGCAGTCATCACCCCGCTGCCCTCCATGCAGAACGGCCCCGTCATGGCGAAGGCCATCCAGAAGCGAGTCCCCTGTGCCTACGACAAAACAGCTCTCGCTCTAGAGGTATTGTTGAAAAGTTAATGTTTTGCTCCTAACATGATGTTGTTAGTGCATTCCATAGTCTCATTACTAATACATCAGTTTAGCCTTGTTTGTGTCTGGTAATGCAACATAGTCCTGTACGTCTTTGTAAAAGCTTAGAACAGAGTTAGGATTCGACTGAAACCACCTCGAGATGTATTTAAATGGAGATGTCCAGTTGAAGCTTTTTAACTCTATTGATAACTTTGCAGCTTTAGGTCACAACATGGTCAAAACTGACGTCAGGGTCTAAGTAGTTAAGTTGCTGATGAATCCTTTAAACCTTAGGCGTAACGTGGTTAAATGCCACCCAGTTGCTCTGAAAAAGTTATCTGATTGTTTGCGAGTATCTGTCGTAACCTTTTACTAAGAAGAATGGCGGAACACTGTGAAAGAGCAGGGGAAAACACCAGTGCTGCCCGAAGAGTTACCATGGCGCTGTTTGCGGGTGTGAAAGTCTTTTTGAGAAAAGTCCCACCACTGCAGCAGCACTTTGACGTTTGTTACCTCATTTTTGATGTGTGGTCAAAACGGCAGCTTCCAAACCAAAGACTGGACGCTTTAGTCACTTGGTGGCTGTTGTTGTCTCTACTCTACAAAAAAAAGTTTTTGGCGTCGGGAAGAATCAAACTGTTTAGCATAAGAGCTTCCTCTTGTTGCCGTCATGTTGTGCTGTGGTCTGGGTGGTGGCATGTTGGCTGATGCAGGCTGCTGAAAATGAATGTGTATTACGTGTATTATTAGAATTAAGCCGCTGAAGACCTTGTTCTCTTTATGTGCTGTGAGTCCCATCACAGTCTGTTGAAGCCCAGTTGGTAAAGGTATGTGTTGTTAAAGCTCTGTGTTGCCTGTTTGTTTTGGTGGAGTGATGGATGCAAAGTGCATTTTGGCAGCTGTGATGAGAGGTTGGGCGGAGGCTCTGCAGTGAGACTGGCCGCAGTTTCATGATCTGATTGCTGCTTAATTCTACCTCGCTGCCACACAGGGTGCTCGGGGTCACTTTTCCTGGAAGCTGATGCTGCCGCTCGACGGCATGCACGTCTGACCACGGCTGCTTTTCACCCGGGTTCCATTTTTTGCAAAGTCTCCCTTGACTAATTCAGCTCGACTTCTGCAACATGTTAAAACATGTAATCCTGTGTGCTCAGTGCATGCCTCAGATAGGCTAATACTCCTGAACCCTTTGCTGAGCCGCAGAGATTTCCTCCTAGGGGCTGATAAAAATGGAAGTTATAACTAGCTTTGCTATCATTTACTGGCATCAGTTGGTCAGCACTTGTAAGAAGAAAACTAGGCCACTGGTTTAAGGCCTCTGTTGTATCCTTGTTCTGTATTTGTTTCACTTTTATGGAAGCTTGAGTGGTCTAACAGACACATGAGCTACCTGGAGTATGAAGCTGTAGCTTGCTTTCAAGAACCACGATGAGTGAATGTTAATTTCTTAACTAATGAGATGCAGGGGAAGGGCAGCTATCAAATGGAGCACGTGGGAGTTGAAAGTGACACATTACTTTTATCACTCTTGCAATGCTTTAGCACAACGTAGCAGTGAAACATGCAAAGCTGCAATGGCGCACTCCAGGCTGCAAATAAATGGATAAAAATAACTTTCAACCACATCAGTCTTAACTGCATCGGCCCCTCCAAGAGGCGAGAACATCTTCTTTACAAGCAAGACAAATAGAGCGTCACTGAGCAGCAGTTCAGAATGTTTAAATAAATAATTAATTTTAAAGCATTTTCACAGTTTTTGCTAATACTTTTTTGATCATCCACTGAGGCTTTAGACTGACTGTGGCTGTCTGGATTAATCAGCACCCAGGGTATCTGGTGTGGGTAGAAATGGGTTCAACCTGTTGATTTGTATTGGTTTTACAAATTCCCATTTTCCTTCTCACTGACCTAATATAAATTGAATTGGTATTGTATGTTTAGTGTCCCTTAGTCATGCGAAATTAAGCTTGCACTCATTTCATTTTCTTTTTATAACCTCTACGCTTGCTCTCTACTGCCTTACAGACAGAATTAGAATAGAAAGATTAAGACAAGTCATAATCTTATTCGAAAGAGGAACTAGATGTCATAAAAATGTTTCACCCAAAATCTTGCAACGTTGTACTGCCTTATGAGTTTTTCCTCTTTGTTGCTCGTCACTTCAAACTGCCTCCCAACGGCACCAACCTTTTTCTCTAAATGTGCAGCTCAGGCTGTCATCTGCAGACGGGCCTTTTTAGTGGCACAGCAAACACCGGAGCGTCGCTCGTCTATTCGTGACGTTTGCTTCAAACAGGCCCCAGCAAAGTTTTGGGAGCAAGCGGCACCCCTGTAAATGCTCACTTTGAGGAGAGCAAACAGAACCACCCACAGGCTCCCAGTACCCTCTCTGCAATGCAGCACAGAGGCCTTCAGCCGCCACTCTGGAAGGCTTTTGTGTCTCACTTGTCTCCACCTTGCTGTTGGGGGCGCAACAGCAAGGTGTTTTTCTTATTTTGTTTGTCACCAAACCGGAGTTTTGGTGCTCGTCTCTATGCAAAAACTCTTTTGATGAACCATGATTTGTAACGGGTTGATAGCAATCCTTTATTTTTCCCTACAATGAAATTTGAGCTTTTATTTGAAATATCCTCCCTCGTATTCTTATAACTTAAAGTAGCTCATTAAATCCATTCCCATTGCTTGTAATAACGTGGTTACACTTATATTGATCAGATCTTTTTGTGGGACCTTAAACGCTGATTATGTATTTTAACACCATGACTTCTAAATATGAAGATAAACTGCTAATATGGGAGTCTCCCCCTGGTGTGAGAGCTGGGTGGGTAGGCTGTGGCTTTGAGGAGCATTTCCTTCAAGCATCAAGTTCTTAAAAGTAGTCGCCAGCATAGCGTACAGATTTTTATTTATTTTTATTTTATTTTTGCCAACAAGTTGCTACTATCAGTTCCAGAGCTCTTGATGATAAGTTATCTTCAGTTTATGCAAAGAAAAAAAGTTGGTACTTACATTAAAATGCTGTGGACAGCCCCCCAGGTTTTCACTGTAGCTTTTAATTAACGAAAGAGAAAAGAGCTTCAAGAAGCCTCTTGGTTATTTTGGACATAGTGGTCTGAAAGCACATACCTTTCGCATCCCGCCGTCTCTTCTGCTGTCTGCCGTGGGCTCAGAATAGGTCATAGCTCGAAACAAAAACTCTTCAGGTTCGGGTCGTGGGTATTTTGGGACCATAATGGTTCTAGAAACCAGAAGCTGTGACTCATTGTTTATTTATTTAAGACAAGCAGGTGAAAAACAGGTCATGTGCTCCGTGTTTCAACTGATTTTTGTTATTATTGTTGTTATTGTCAAGTTAGATTATGTTTGGAGTGATAATCCGCCTGCTAGCTGCTGCTAGCTTTATCAGATATGGAGCTCTGATAAGTCATATGCCCTTGGAGCTTTGCTGTTAAAGTTAATACCACCAATGATGCATTGTGGCGTTAATCACGGTTTGGATGGTTGAGACTTTCCCCCTCTAATCCCACCAAAGATCACATGGCTATTGCAGATCTGGGTCACCCTGAGGGCCACGCTTAAGCCCCAAGTGTCCAGATCCGATGCTCCAGGGGTCTGTTTTAGGAAAAAGTGCGCCTCTTTCTCAGTATTTTTGGATGTGGTGTAACCCACCAGATGTGCTGTCACTGATAGCTGAGGCTTTGGGGACTCGTTCTCAGCCGCCCTCTCATCCTTCTCTCCTCAGGTGGGCGACATCGTCCGGGTGACGCGGATGAACATCAGCGGCCAGTGGGAGGGGGAGGTGAATGGGCGGCGGGGGCTGTTCCCCTTCACCCACGTCAAAATTATAGACCCCCAGGACCCGGACGAGAGTGACTGACCGCAGAGTCCCGTCGGAGCCCCTCACCAGAACCCCCCCGTGCGCCTGAACCCGCCGGCCGCCGCCGCCTCTCCCGCCAGCGCCACGGTTACGCGCTTGCCTGCTTGGGAGAGGCTCTGAACCACGATAGCGACCCCCCGCCCCCACCCCACCCCCCACCTCTTTGCAATTGCGAGGCTTTTCGACTGTTTACAGCTATGGGCGTGAGGTCCAAATTAACATCCAACCCTGCTTCTTCCTGTTGGCATGTCAGCATCTCAGTTCGACTGCGCAGTGTCTCTTCCTTCTTATTCTGCCCCCCGTCCCCCCCCGAAAAAACAAAAACATTTCCACTTCACTGGGTATCAGTGAGTGTGTGTGTGTGTCTGCTCACAGTGGATATTTGCCATGTCACATCTCGTGTACCCACCCACCCACCCCCGCGCGCGTCTTTCTTGTTTTGATGTTTCTTGTTTTGTATTTGTATGAAACGAGGGGACACACCTTGGGAGAGCTCCAATGCAACACGGAGCTAACCAGCCAGTTCAAGTTACTTCTCCTAACAATCAAGTCACTGTTGTACCTTAACCATAAGCACACACGCATATCGGCCGTGAGTTATCAGGGTTGATGGATTTTCTTTGTCCTTTTTTTTTTGCTTCTTGTAAGAGTGTGTTTGTGTGTAAGTGTTGTGATGCTTGATACGTATAAGGAGCAAATGTGGAGCATCAGAGTGGAACTGTCACTGTAGATTCCATCCCATCCATTCACTACCCCCCCCCCCCCCCCCCCCCCCCCCCACCCCCGTTTGCTAAAGAGACTTATTTATCTCCTGTTTTGCAAGACACGACGCGGCCATGTGTGATCCTATTTTTCCTTAATTTTGTGCCATATGATCAAAACGTTTGCCTCCTGGCCTTCTGCCCCTCGGCCGTGTGGTCGGATGAATGAGCGGGTGTCCGCTCGGCTTCACCTCTAACTCCACTTTAAACTAGAAACACCACGCTTAGAGATTTGCAGGTTTGCTGTGCTACCGTCGCCAAGCCCTAAAAGAGACATTGCCGCCATTTTTTTTTTTTTTTTCTTTTTGTGTCTGTATGCGCGTGTGTTTATAGGAGTGCTTAGCTTTCAGCAGGTCTTCAAGTGTCCTACTAGCAATGGCAGCAGCCCTGGCCAGCACTTCCAAAAACCACCCGACACGGTCAACTAAAGCCGGCGTGTCGGCGGCGTGGGCACGAGGACGGCTCCAGAGGAATGTCTGAGTAAACCAATGAGATCCCATCAATGCCTTCAGAGTAAGATGCGTCTTACTGTCAGCGCATGCAATCCCATCTCTAAACCTTTTTTTTTAGCGGGGGGGATATTTTTCATCTGTTCGTGTTGTTTGTTTTTTTAACCAGCTTTACTGCTTTTTAGATATTTGTTCTGTGCACAATTTTTATGGAAAGTGTCTTTGTGGAGTTGGTGGGAAGAAGCTTTGTTGTTGTTGTTGTTGTTGTTGTGCTCCGGCCGGTTCTGCTGACCTGTAGGAGCTGAGGATTTAACAGACGTCGCAGATTTCTGCTGTAAATCCAAACGCCCCCCCAATCTGTTGTTTTTTTTTAATGCTTGCTGTTCAAATCATTGTTCAGCCATTCACTCAGAACTAATGTTGAGCTTGATTTGTATCACCCTTTCTTCCCCCTCTTAGTTTTATTTTTTTCTTACGGTCAGTTTGTAGTCTGCTTTTAAATGGAGCATTTGAAAATGAGTGTTGGTCAATGAAAAAGTGACGCGTACAAAAGGGAAAAATGCCTGCTGGTTGCCTGTGTGCACGACCTCCTGGCCAGGAAGGTGGTTTTACCTGGTGGGATGCTGCTTATTGTCATTTATCTCCTCACTGAATAAAGGTTTCTCACTTTCATCCTCGCTGGTCTGTGCGGACCAGAATGGGTTTTCCTGATCAGGCTTAATGAAATCTTCTAATTAAGCAATACATCCTGATTATGTCCTTAAGGGGATTTTATTCCTTTTTATTTTTTTCTCCCCCCTTGCTTCTGAGTTATTTTGTAATGGCATTAACAGTATTACTGTGCTCTCTTCACATACTCTAGGAAAAGCCTGTCTTTTACTTAAGAATTGAAAATTGTGCCTTTTTATTTTCTTATACCATTTACATGTGTTAATATTTCCATGGTTAACACTTGTGCTGGTATTGATCCTTTATGTACAGAACGAGTAAATAAAATTTACGTCTACTTCTTTAAGCCGCTCTCGCTGGTGTCTGTGGGCTCCTCTGTGTGTGTGTGTGTGTGTGTGTGTGTGTGAGATGTGTGTGTGTGTGTGTGTGTGATGGGTGGGTGTGGACGTGCTTGCACCGGTTGTGTTTCTGGAGCAGCGGGACAGTTGCTCTAGTTTTTTTTTTTTTTTTTTGACAGCTCCAGTTTGGATCCTGCCCCATGCCCAGGAGAAAGGAAGCAATTAATGAATTTTAATGAAGTGCTAAGAAAAGCGCGTCAGCTGACCCGAGGGCCAGGGACCGCAAAACTTTTCAAGGGCGACGCTTCAGATGCTCGTGTTTGGTGTGTGCCTGCAGCTCTTTCTTATTTATCTATTTATTTCTCCAAACCAGCAGATCTTAAAATGCAAAATCTTCAAGCGAGGTGAAGCTCATGCTGATACAGTTTACCATCCGGAAAAGCCTGGCCTTTGTTACCAAGCCTCACATGCCTTTATTTAATATATATTTTTGAAAAGGGATAGTTATTGTAACATTCTTTTTTCGATTTTTTTTTTTAACAACTCTGCAACATCTTTAGAATACAGACAACTTTGACTTTTGCATCTCATGGTACTTTGTATCCATTTTACTTTTTATTTTACTGAATAAGAATACATAATTGTGGCTGGTTTCTATTATCCTGCATTGAACAATCAATATATCAATGTAAGCCCCAGATCACTTTTTGTGTGATGAATACGGAGCAAACGTACCATGAGTGAATTCTGCTTTTCCACAAAGACACCCGTGGTCATTAACCTCCATAAACTTAATTTATGCTGCATATTTTTCCATCCTCCAAATTTAATTGAAATAAACTTGCTCTGTTTCACAAGAAACAAATGTAACAAATAAGTGTCTGACCTAAATCACAGCTAGGGTGTTCTGATATTTGCTTGGGTGGTTCATTTTGCACAGCTTCCCACCCCTCAGCCCTCCGCGTGTCCCCATGTGTGGCTGTTCCTGGACGTGTCCGGTTAAACTGTTATTAAGCCGATCGATGGATTCCTCTGGACTGCGTGTCTTTGGCTCCGGTGCAAATGACCATAATGAATCAGGTTTAGCTGAGTCTGACCTCTCCTCAGGCTGTGGTGCGCGTGGATGTGTTGGTGGGTTTTCTTTAATGGAAGTGTATCCTGGTCGATGAGAGCCTCTCTACAGTCCATTACCAGCACTGCCCTCCGGCCAGCCTGGATGGGGGGGGGGGTTTTATGGCCTTTGTGACATTGGTGAAAATACGGAATCTTTGCTGCATCAAACTATGAATTTATAAAAAAGCATGTGATTTGTCAGTTTTGATGAGGTTTTCCCAAAGATTTTATAATAATTAGAGTTGAGTTTCAAATTTTCACAGCCTAAAACTTTGATTTATCAGGACTTAATGATAAGAGATGCACTCCCCCGGGGTCTTAAAACAGCACATTAGGGCATGCAGTTATTCATTGAACACAATTTATTCAAATCTAACTGCATGACTCAAAAGACTGCACAGATAGCTGAAGATTTTAAAAAGTTATTATGTTGAAGTTTGCAGTGTCATGTTGAATTATTTCTCTTTTTTTGCACAGTTTCTTAATCTCACTGATGTTCACAGGAATTCAGAAAGCAAAACCGGAGCTTTTCCATCCGGTTGACATCTGGACTTTGACCGGACGGTTGCAACAGCCTGCTTCCACGCCGCTGTAATTCGGAAGCCCCGTTGCATAACACAACTTCAGCCGATTTACGCGTTAGAGAGGAGGCCGCAGTTTAACGTAAGTCTAAGCAGATACTGTCACAGGACGAGGCCAAATAATCACCTCCTTAGCACTGGGGTGTAGTTGGTGGGGGGCGTGATACCTGACATTTAGAGCTCCCTGTGTGGTGTGACCCTAACCTCTTTATTGGTCGTGTATGTGGAAAAACATAGGCCTATGTGACTGTTTAGATTTGAAAAAAGCAGCAAAAATTAGCAGGAGCACATGCAGCCATATTCCACAAATTGATGTACAGAGTCAGTTCTGGGGCAACTTTTTTTCTTTTTTAACAATTGAAAATTATCCCCGCATGGGACCACAGCCTGCACTTCAATTCAAATATACATTTTAAAATAACTGCTTTCCGAGTGTAAGGCATCTTCCACTTCTTATTTTTATATTTGAGCCTCAGAAAAGGGCTCAGAATTTCCTTTGTGGATCGTAAAAATGATCTGACTAACATTTACCAGCTTTAACCTTTTGGAAAGGTGGATGTGATGATGAACGCTGTAAATCAGCCGTAAGTCGACTGTGAGACGGGTCAGACTCGGAGCGATAAGTCACTCCCACACCTCCCTCTGGCAACGGCAATTAGTTTTAATGTGCAAAAAGCTTTAGTCAAATCTTGAGCCCTTTCCATTTAACAAAGAAACTGACCCCATCTGTCTTCGTGAAAGATTATGGGGCACGGGGAGAAGCTGAAGAGGATGAGCTCTGGGGTCCTGGAGGTTTTGAATGCACATCCAATTGTCACAGTTAAAAAAAAAACTTGTCTCGTCTGAATAGTGCCCTTCTCAATCAGACGTTAACTAAATCTGTTCACATTGTATGTCCCTTTTTGTCTTAGGTTACTTTCTTTTTTAAAGCCCGTACACCAACGTAAACATGTTGGTGTACGTAGCTCTCAGAAACTCCTTTACAGCTCCGCTCCCTGAAGCTTTGTGAGTGTCCCAGATATGGCTTGGCCCTAGCTCTCTCTTTCTCTCTCGTAAAACATTTACAGTGCAGCCTTCTGCTGGGGAAACATGCCAGAACCCTGATGGTAATTCCACACGAGCTGTCTGTCGCCCGCCTCACCAGGTCAGACACCAGAACATTTCAGGACACTTTGTGAAAAACTTAATTGGCTTTTCTTTTTTCTTTTTTTTCAGCCAAGTATCTGGTGCATTGCAGGAAAAACAATGCTTTACCAAAGCAGCGTGGAACCAACAGGGAATGGTGTCTGTATTCCTTGTCTTGTTGCCACTGGACAATCTGGAGCTGTCAGGTCAGCGTGAATTGATTAATCAATTTGCCGTTTTAAGGGCGGCTTTAAAAATAGCTGAGTTTGAAAAAAAACTAACATCAATATGCTCTCTTACATCTAATTGTACCAATTAGATTCAGATGTTTAGTGAACATCTAAATCTGTTTGCTTTTTTATTAAAAGGCAACTAATAGCCATATATATATGTCTTAAAAGCTATGACCTCATCCTGATAGATGTGCAATATTCACAAAGAGTATTATAGGTGAGAAAACATTTAATTCATGGAGGACAGCTTCTGCCTTCAGAGAAGTTAGCTGACAGAACTACGGGGAGTAGATTAATTGCCCCACAAGGTGTAGGGAATCTGCTTCAGGTTGATCTCTCCAGAGATCCAGAAGCACAAGTCCTACTATTAATAAGGCGCTAATGCTGAGAATAAGAGTCCACCGCGCCGCAGAGAAATAAAACAACGCAGAGTTGGGGACAATCCCTCTGAGAGTGGTGTCACGCCGTCAGACTGAATGCACCAACAGATACCAGTGTGCCCCTGTCCTGTTTTATATGGAGGTCAGTTTGTCATAAGGGGTTGAACAGATTGTTCACCGATCACGGAGGCTGAGGAAAGCAAAGGCTTTTTTTAAATCAGCTAAGGGGAAACACTCAGTTATGTTCATTCTAACAGTTTCAGCTCATTCGACGGCAGGAACATGACAGCTATTTGTTTTGAAAATCTGTCAACTCTTGCTCAAATTTCTTTAAAAAAAGTTTAATCACTCTATTCTTAATGTCTCTATTGACTAAGTCCTGTCATAAAGCTAATCTATTGGTAGTGCTTCTTACCAGAATAGCCACTCGCACCTTTTACAGGGAACAGGATCTATTAGTCCTAAGTGTCCTAAACCTCCTCCATGTGGATGTGAGACCTCACTGAAGCACTATTATAGTCATGGTCCACTATGTATTCATGTTTAAAGATATGCTATATGAATCACTGCGGTTTTCTCGATATCATTGCAAACATTCAAAGGTAAATACCACACATGAGATCTGATACACAGTAAAGCTATAAAGATTTCCAAATCCTGAATACTGTTTTATTTAACCTATTGAGACAAAACCTTTATTTAATGTGTATGTTTTCTTTCTGAAATATATCTGGGATTAGTAGGAACTAATAACTTTAATAAGTGGACACTGTTTTGGAACAGAGGGTGGTACAGAGGGTTTATCTTTTTATTAGAAATGTAGATTTATGCATTTTCTTTGCAGTTTTGTTGTGAAGTTCCAAATGACTTGATAACAAAATCTTCAACACAATAAAGACACGGTTGGTTGGAAACGCATAAAAGCATTTTATTTTAGATTACAAACATTAGTGTCCGATAATGTCTACTATGAGGACAAGATGTTAAAACAAATAAAAGACGCATCATGGTACAGAGAGGCAAAAATTTCTTCATATGGGGACGCAGGGTCTCAGGAGGTTAAGGAGTTACAGTGTGTAGCCATGCATGAAAAGTTTAGCATATTTTGGGCACTTTTGAAAATGGTTCATTGCTTTTTGTTAGCACAAACGTGAGACTTGCATTTGTGTGTCCACTCATAATAGAATATTTTCCCTCTTCCTTTGATTCTGTTTAGGATCTCCTCATTTGTCAAAGATGCTGCCATTATAAATGGTAAAAATTCACCAATTGGAATAGGAGAAAAGTGGGTACTGGCTCCAATCGACTGCATTGCTGTGTTGGTGGGGATTCTGTTGGTAGCCCTGCTGATTCGTGGCCTGTTTAGCTGTGGGAGGGGGGTGAGGTGGAGGGTGGATGTTAGTCTGTGTGGGATCTGAGTCACTGTACGACGAGAACGGGAGTCTGGCATATTCCAAAGACCTGGAGGGATAAAAAAAAAGGCAAAATAAAGCACAGTTGTCATGCAACATCACTGTCATGTATCTTCTTAAATGTAAAATGACATATTTCATCATTCCTTTGTTTACTTTTTTCCCACAGAGCCATTGCAGGCTAACTTTCCGTACATGATTCATATATATATGCAGACCTGTAAGGCGGATAGGGCAGTGATGCGGGCACCATCTGCTCGTCATAGCTGTAGTCGTACTCCTGTAGCTCCAGGGGCTCAGCATGTAGACTTTCTGATAAGTCCTGCTCCAGGGTCCAGTTGGGGAGGTGACCTGACTTCTGTGAGGAAGCCTGGTGCTTCTCTGACTGCACTGACCGAGGTGGAGAGGGCCTCCCCTGCAGGTCTGACATGGAAGTGCAACATTCAGGCCAGTGAGCGACTACAAACTCATCCGGCCGGTCGGCATAGTGTATTTGTTTGTATAATTGAGAAGATGATTACCTGGAGAATGACTACAAAGATCTTTCCTATCTTCTGTGGACCTTTTTGCAGGAGGGCTTTTACTAGAACGACACCTGGAAAAATGCAAATTACACCTTTTAAATGGACTTAAAACCAAACATGTTACAAGTATTGGCACTGTTTTATAGATGTGCCAACAATGTACACAGGATATAATTACAAGGTAAAAAAAATAAAAAGTTACCTTTTCCCATGAGAATGCGTGCCTCCTTCTCTGAATCCTTTAGCAAAAGGGTTGTGGTCAATCTTTAATTTGGTAATCTAAAGAAGTGGGGAAAGCATTACTATATCACATAATTTAAAGCAAAGAGAATCACCCTTGTTGATTAAATGGTTTGCAGAACTGAAATACACAAAAACATTTTGTGAGATTTACTAATGGGGCCCATTAAATTGAAATATTACAACATGGCTTAACTTTCTACCTTTGGATTTTGGTAGGCGGTGACGGCTGTGAACACTGTTTCTGGGAAGGAGAAGGTCTGAACGGAGCCCCAGCGGACCGTGTACGGACTGTCTGCCTGGATCAGGTGAAACCGCGGGTAGTAACGATGCATGGAGTGGAGGATGATCTGATGTTTAGAAAAAGGAGGAAAGGATGCAGATGTTAAATGAAAGCAGAAGAAACCTGGCACGGTACAATCAAACTTCAAAGAGGAATTTGCTGTCTTACATGGCCATGCTGGTCCAAGGTGTTGTTCGTGAGCTTCATCTTAAGAAAGGACAGCGACTGCTTCATCCAGTGACCCCCCACGGCCGGGGAGTCGGGGTGCATGTACGTCCGACACGGGGGCTGGGGCTCTGCCTTCCCCGCCACTTCCCACTGCTCCCTCTTCCACTACAGAGGAGCGAGGGGGGAGGGAAACAGGCAGCGTTACCAAGTGTGAGACCTCAGGATACGAGTGATTAATCTCAATCTGCCAAGAAGCCACAAAAACAAACAAAAAAAAAACCCCTCTCTTTTTATGTCAGCTAGCACAATGCGACCTATGAGTGTGTGAGCTATGTTTATTCCAGGACTCTGCCTCACTTGCGAAAAATAAAAGCAACCGCGTTCCCTTAAGGCCCTCCCCCAGTATTTGGCGTTAGGATTTGTATGACTTTTTTTCCTAAGTCTGCGCTGGGAGCAATACATGTCACCAAATGGGGGCACGACAGATAATAGGAGCGGCCGAATGTGTGGACGGCTGACCTGACTTCAGAGGCAGAGAATGAGGGGAGGATGCTAATTGATTGGGCTTCCAGCTGGGAGTACACAAACAGGAAGCAATGAAAGGCTTTGATATGCAGCCGCGGATGGCCTCAGCCAGAGAGGCCAGAGCAGCGTCTGACCGCAGATATCCGCCTTTCACACGGTGCAAATGAAGGCATGTGATCGGACCTTGTATTTGAAGCCGTCCACAGGAACCATGTCCACCATGATGACGTAGCTGGTGAAAGGTTGGAGGCCCGACAGGCTGATGCAGCAGTGTGGAAACATTCTCCTAAATCAAAAGCACAGAGTTGGAAACATGCAGTTTTTCTTGATGTCTTGTCAGGAATAATCGTATTATTTTCTGTTGACCTTAAAACACAATCAAGCTCATGTACAAGCTCAAAATATCTGCCATGAAAATGGTCTAGAGTGTGGTATAACATAACTTTAGGGGTATCTTAAAGGGTGAAAATAGTCCAGCTGAGCAAGCACTTACCTCCCATGCTTTGTTATGATCATTTCTGTTCCGATGCGATGGAAGGACTTCCACAGCTCTGCGTTCTCCAGAGTCATCCTGATGGAGCCCTGCTGGTATGAGTGGGCCACTGACTGGGACAGGGGCATGCTTAGGTTCAGTTTGGACTCTGTGAACAAATTGGGAAGGATACATTTGTAAAAGTGCTGCAATTTCTCATAAAAATCAAGAAAATTCCTCAAACACATTCAGCTTTAGTGGCATGATACACAAGTGACTAGACAGCAAAGTTATTTAGTCATATGGAAACAAAGAGAAATATCTATAGTTGCAAAAGCCTAAAGAAATCATCACATGCCATTTTGAACTCTTCCAATTAGATTGATTTTCCCAATAAAATATTTAAATAGCATCATACATTAGCTTTAATTATTTTTAAAGTGAGTAAACATTTTGAAGACCAATTAATTACACATTGTATACAATGAAAAGAAGCTGTTTCCTCTGGGTTAAAGTTACACAAATTCAAAATAAGTCAATAATATCCAAATGTAGGCCTTTTTTTTCCTTTTTCTTTTGTTGTGCCTTGCTCAGCAGTACAAAAGAATTTCAGGACAAAATGCAAATCATGCTTAAGCTACTACACTCTATCAAATATTATTCATCTTACCAGATATATTAGGCATGTTTCTGTGTCCTCACAACAAATCCCAGCTCACAGAAACTACTGCTTTATGTTCAAGCTTCAGTTGTGTGCTTCAGGGCTCTATATCCTGGAATGGTCTGAGCCCTTAACTTGATTGGCCAACACAGGGAGGGGTGGCCTAAAAAGCCAGTGAAAGGTGTGGTCAAAGACGACAGTGAAAGCAGGTGAAAATATCACCTGAAGTCCTTTTTTTCCTTTTTTTTTGTTGTTATTCTTCTTTTTAACAACCAACTTCAGGCAAAATGCTGTAAAATGCTGCTCGTGTTTAAATTCCCTCATAGGCAACTTGCATGTTGAGGCTCACATTTCCCACATTTAACGCGCTTAAGGCACTTAGTTTATATTTTGAGATTAAAATAAATCATGTTTAAACGCACTTTTGGGGACGCGAAAACAAACAAAAGGCCTGCTCAACTGATATCTTTATCAGCTTAGCTTTATATTACTCGTATATACCAGCCACAAAGTCTGCAGACATGAAATCAAAAATATTTGTCCTGACCTTTTTCTCTCCCAGTCCACTTAGCAGCAGAGAGATCACAATTTCAAAATGTCTGGGGGACAAATAGGCCCCATTTCAGCTGCTTTGAATGTGTATTGAGAACTAGATGAGAGGCCGTAGAGGTAACAGGAGTTCAGGTTGGGGCTTTGACAATGGCTGACAATGCTCTTAATCCTACCAAATGGCCTCACCCCCTGCAGCCCCCGCCCCCCCCCCGCCTCAACTCTGAGTCGCGCTATCTTTCAAGTGTCCTGTGAGGAGATCGGCCTCTCCAACGGAGCCAGCAATTAACAGTCAGTTCACATGAAAGAGTGATGGGAGGAAGGGTAGAGCAGGAGCACTGCAGAGGACGGAGGTAAATGCTAGCAACACGCTGAATTCATCTACTTTTATTTATCAGAAAAATGGTTCTGGGTCTGGGTGAGCCACAGGGAAAAGCAGCTCACAGCCATTTACGCATTAAAAAGCCCTCCATTTGAGGACAAGTGTCCGAAGGATGAACAGGAATGAAGCTTTTCAGCAGCACAAACAATCCCGGGCACCCCCGGGAATCCGTAAAGGGTGGCACAGAAAAATAGAATGAGGGCTTGTGGAAAGTCAGACTCTTGTCTCAAATCTCATCTGGGAAAAGGCAAAAAAAAACCTAATGAGAAAAAAGGTAATCCACAAATAGCCTCATATCGGGAGGAGTTGTCCATGCAAAAGTGAGGTTTTAAATGTCACCAAGAATAGTGGATGATTCTAAACAAAAAGGTGAGAAGAAATGGCTAATGCTCACAGGGGCTTCAGGTTTTTGTGGCAGATTTTTCAGAAACTGTGGCAGTTGTAACCATGTTACATGTCTATTTGAGCTGCTTCCTATTCAGCTAATGCATTTAGCAGAAGCTTTTATGCAAAGATACTTACAATTCAGATACAACATTACAGTTTGCATCAAAGCGACAAATAGGCTACAAAGAAGGAAATCACTGATCAGACTCTGGTAGAGGCGACAGTGTAGAGATGGAGGGAAGCAGTGAAAAAGAAATTCTGAATGTTTGTGTGACATATAGAGGGCCTGGGGTCCACTATCTGAGCGTACTGGTGAAGAAAATACAAGAGAACTGAAGCTTCTAAAGTTCCAGAGCATAGACCCAATGTTGGGGAATACTGAGATGTTTCTGCTTAAGATACTGTGGAACAGACTGTACAGTGAGACCACAATATCCAACACATTCTGTAGCATTGAGAGCGTATTTGTGGAAAGGGAGAGGGGGTTAGGGTGAGTAAGTGGCACGTTGCCTCTGACTGAGGACGTGTTGAAACATTTCTCCTACACTTAAAACAACCTTGGGCTTGAAGATGGAATTTGTTCTGTTTCTGCCTCTGGCATGTGTCACCTCCAGAGCTATGTAACAACATCTGCCTCCAATAATTATCAGCCAGGGCAATAGTTCATTATCCATTTGCATAGACACCTGTTAAAAACACTAGCTTTAAAGAAATGAACTTCTCTTTTTTTGTAGTACTGCTCTGAATATATATATTTTTATTCTACGAACTGTGGATAGCAGATTTGACTGTCAGAGTGAAAGCTACATGGACTAAAGATGCTATCTTTAGCCACTCTGCAAAGCGTTCACTTTCCGCACAGTAATGCATCAGCTTTGCAGTAAAACTATCTGAAGGCACAGGAAACGCTGTGGTTTCAGCTCACTAGGTTAAACTGCAGCAGAGAGATAGAGAGCAGGACCCCAGCGTGGTAGGTCACAGATGTGGCTGTTTGGTTCACCGCGTGGTTACGGCTGAATTGGGAGTGCGATGGAAGCTGTCCAAATATCAAGAAGTTCCGATAAAGACACTAACAGATGATGGTATAGTTAAACTGCAATGCATCATGGAATCATATATGGTGAGTAGTGGGAGGTACGTCCATAAAACACAACAAAGCATGAAGTATGCAAAAAAATGAAAGCAAATTAGCTATTTGATAGGACTAAAAGGTATGCTTACAATAATATATAAACAATATAAAGAAGTTCAGTACACGCAATTCTGAAAGATGCAGTTTAAATAATGGAAGGTACAGACTAGAACAGAAATAGGAAGATGAAAAGAACTTGATACAGCTGTCAAACTAAATCAACCCAAAAAAACGCCTTCATTTTTGTCCAGTTTCGAATTGTATTTTCTGGGGGGGGAATTTAAGTTTCTTTTTTATCAGTTTCATTTTTCAATATATATCTTTTTCAGTTGCAAATGTATTTTTAAGTTTCAAATGATATTTTCTTTGTATTAAATCACTTTATCAGTTTCACAATTTGCCTTCTTATTTGAGATCAGTCTGAAATGGTTTTATTTGTTTTCTGTTCAGAAATTATGTTTACAGTTTCAGTTTCACAATTCTTGTACACTTTAATGTCTTCAGTGTTTATTATTTTTATTATTTAAATGTTCTTTAGTTTAATCTTTTTTTTTTAACTTTTAAAACAGTTTAATTTTAAGTTTCACTCTTTTTCTCAATTTTAAATGCATACTTTAGCTTATTTCTTCATTTGAAATCTTTCTTTTTAAGTTTAGTAAATGATTGTTGTCAGTTTCAGTTATTTTTCCATTCCATTTTCAGCTTCAGTTTTAAGAACAAAAATCATTCTAAAATCTTTTTATAATTCCAACTTTTCTTTCTGTATTTTTTTTCAGTTTGAAGGATATTTTTTATGTTTCAAATATCTTCTTTAATTTTCAAATGAAATTGTCCGTTTCAAATTTTCAAAGGAACAAACATTATGACTCTCATATACCTTCATACACCTATTCTTTTAATCCATCTTTAGTGATTATATGACAACATAGATGGTTATTTAGACAGTGGTATGTTCCCTTTACTTGTATTAAATCTACTCTTTGTAGATTTAACACACAAAGTTCTCCTCTTCAAAGTCCTAAAAAGCCCTTCCCATGATGCACAGCACCAGGGCTGGGCTTTGTCTGTGTGCCTGCATCTGTGGACTCTGGTCCACTCTCAGTAACAGGACCTTCAGCTATAGTCATTCACTTTCAAATTACTTTTTGTCACATTTCTCATGTGGTGGAATATCACATTCCAAAGACAGTGACTGCCAGCTAAGCCCACATTCTAGGATCAGTGGACAACATTCATTCATGTGAGCAGTTCTCTGACTCTGAATGTCTATGTGGTGTAAGATAATATGAAAGACACTTCCAAATTCAGAGGGGAAAACCAGATCATCAGTATGGTGAAGTGAAACTTGTAAGGGTCATGAAAGGAGAGTGTTGAGAGAAACTGTTTAAAGATTTGAAAATAGCAAAAGGGAGAGCAATACTGACAAGCAGAGACTAATGCGACAAAAAGAGAAAGCTGAAAACACAGGAGTAAAAGAAGAGGAAGGAACATTTGAGAACAATCACTGAAAAGATTAAGATAAAAATGAGGAATGGGAGTAAAATGACAATTTCATAAAAGACAATAACTCCTAAGGCCGACTCAATGCCTTCAGAAGCAAACTGCAGAACTATAATCATATTAAACATTTCCATCAACGCCTTTCGATAATAATAAAAAAAAACATTTTGACACGTCAGACATCCAAAGTCAGCCTGCTGTGTGTAGTAAGACACAGGGGGAGGGGGGGTTTAAAACCTATGAACAGAAACCCACTAAAAATTCTTAGCTTTGAAGCCCGGGGGAAATGAAAACTGAGACTCCTGAGTTATATGCAGAGCTTCTGCTGGCTTAGAAAGAATGCAGAAGGAGTCCAGTCAAAGACTGGAAAGGCTTTACCCAGAACTGGAAAGGCTTTAACCAGGCAAACTCAATCCAGTTTAATGGTTTTGACTGGGATGTTAACATTTCATGTGGAAAATAACCTGAAATGACCATAAAACAGAAGATTTTGATGCATTCTGTTGGAGCACCTACCTGGACAAGCAACTTCATGATTGATCACAGGCAGCCGGGCAGTATTCAAGATGCTTTGTTATGCTGTTTTGTGGTCGTTTTTACTAATCCAAACCTCCCAGCAGGGGGCGCCACAGCACAGACAATGGGCAAAGAAACGTTGGTTTCACTCATCTGCACACTCAGCTGAACACAAATCTAACATTTCCTAAAGTATAAACTGTCTTACTTAGGATGTGTATGACATACTCAGTTTCAACCTTCAAGAAAGTTACTCAGTTATTCAGATTTCCAGTCCTCTCAGATAAATACCAAAATGTTCAATTTCAATTATGCTCCAAACAGGGTGAATGATCATGATGGCAGTATAACTTTCCTGCTTTGGTCATTTTTACACCTTGGATGATTACAAAAGTAAGATGTTTGCTGAGTGCTGCATCTGCCTGTTAACAGACCATTGGGAACTCTCAATCCCCCAGTCACGACATTCCAGTTTTTGCAGAAAACAGTTTTTAGCAGCAAATATTTCAGCCTCTGGTTAATTTACGACTGATCTATTGGCTTAAAGGACCTCTAACAGTGTGATGGGTGTAAAGAACGTCAGGTTTCACATCTGATTATCGGAGAGGCTTCACAGCTGGCCAGCAGTGGCTCATATATTTAAATAAATGTACTTACCTGATATGCACATAATTTTTTTCATAGACTGAGGAAGCTAGATGTTGGGATTTATAATTCATACATCTCTGATGTTCATTTATTCCTGCCTGTGATACTCTTGCCTGCCAATTTATGATGAAGGCTTCAGGTTCAGCCTATATTTCATTTCAGGGGAAGGTGTATTTTTGTTTTAAAAAAAAATATATATATAGCTCACAACCCATTTACCACATGCAGTCTGCAGGGACTGAAACATTTTACTTCGTCAAGTGATCAGGAGACCGTGGTGTGTTCTACTCGTACCTCAGGGGTTCTGCTCCTGGCTCTATGATGTGAACATATGATGACAGGAGGAGGGGTTAATGGACAGTCACAACAACTTCTGTCCCTGTCCTCAGCGATCACAACCCCTCCACCCTCCATGTCTGAGGAGAGAGGGCTCGACACGGTCCTGAAAATGCAGACGCACACGCTTACACAAATAAGTCATCAATGTTTGATAGAAGAGGGCAGTTTGGAATTCAACTCAACTGAGCATGTGTGCACTTTGAAACGAGGTGATTAAAGGGGCTCTGAAGCTCACAAATACAACTGCAATTTAAGTTTCCAGTATTTTTGACATCTGACCTAAGAAACAATCGCCAGATTGAGTCCAGACCTGAATGATTGATTTGAAAACCGAGCACACACCATGAACATAAATTGGACATATCAAAACAGGATTACATAAAAGAATGGTTAATCTAATTGATATAACTAAAGCAATTTCCTTTTCATGTTGTAGCCTAAGAGTACTTCCACATGTGAGAAGTTTACATGTCTATTTTGGAAGACTTAGCAGTAATTGCAAATTGCTCTGTGACATAACAACAGCAAATATCACAATTAGTAGTCAGGGTTTTTAATCTTCAGCTGTCTCACGATTTCTCCAAGGTCCAATTATTTTTCTCAAAGTACCAAAAAGTAAGATGAATGAAGAGGTATAATTACTGTCTGAACATCTGGTCATCTGTTCGGTCCCGTTTCAACCGCAAGCTAAAACTGGAAAATATTAGCAAACCATTTCAGCTACTGTGCAATTGTGAATCAGAGTCTGTGGCAAGCGAGTTCATTTAACATACTCAATATTCTGTTTTCCTATGTTCATTTTGGTTTGTGACTGCAGTAAAACTAAATCAAATATAAACCAAAATGACTCTCGTACAGCTGAATTGTGCCAGCAGATGGACGAGTGGTACATGTGATTTCTTTGTCCTCATTGTGCTAGCTAAGGGCGAAAAGATGCTAAAAGTGTCAACTCCACATTATAGGAACTTTATAATGGTATCAAGTGAAAGCAGGACTTTGTTCCCAGTATTAGAGCCACGGGAATGTGCTGGCTGTGTTTGCTCCATTGCTCAGACACCTGTACCGCTGAGCACTCTAATCCTTTGTCAAGGGCAGAACCACACACTCTTATATCCATCTCAGATACAAACACACATAAATTAAATTTGTGCTCAGAGAGGTGTTTGGTTTCAAAGAGCTTTTTTTCACCCCATGCTTGTCAGAGGTCTAATATTTGGTATATACTTCAACAAAAAAAAAACTGTGCTTTTAAGATAAAACTATCACCAGTTTTCAGCATAGCAATTTAGCTTTTCAAGCCAAATTCCAGTGAATTTTATCTTAATTATTGTGTCATTCTTTGCCATTTTTAAACTGAGCAAAATATCCATAAAGGAGGCATCTCTTCTAAGACAAAAACAGAACGCAAACAGTCAGATGCTGAAATGTAACAATCTATAAGCTTACTGCTGGATTCTGCTCTGATTTATGGAACTTGTGTTGTTGTGTTGAGAGCTGACTGATAAGCAATCATTAACAACGCTGCCAGTCGTTCGAGGTTTCACCTTCAAATAAATGACTCTGGCTAAACACCTCGTTTTCAGCCCGCGCAGCTGTTAGAAAATGTATAAATGAAGTACAAGCACAAATAAACAACTGCTCTCCCGCAAACTCGACCAACAGTGTGGAGACATATTCCTCACGGAGGCTGTTTGCTTTAAGCCAGATTGCTTCCTTATCTTTGCCACTGTGTCTCCAGAGATGACATTTTCTCTCTCTCTCTCTCTCTCTCTCTCTCTCTCTCTTTACTTGTTTTCTACTGTTTATTAGCAGTTTAGGCCTCTGGCTAACAATGTTTAAGTTTTCCTGTGTATCTCTGTCCAACACTTACACCACTTACTGACCATCTCTCCATTGCAGTATTGTTGGTGGTCCTGAATATTGCACATACAGGATGAACGACATTCGTTTTTTTCCCACTTAAAGTGGTGACGGCAACACATATCTGTGATAGACATGTCCAGAAAACACCTTCTCATTAACATTCCGGTGCATGTAGCTGGTCCAGAAATGACCACCCCATTAGCCACAAAGCACGCACAGATCGTGACCCATCCTTGCCCTGTTTTCTTGCAAGTGCAGGTGCTCTCCAGCGGATGCCCAACCAGCCCAGTTAATTAATACTAGTGGAGGGAGTCAGAAAAAGAGAGGAAAAAAAACATGCTGCCATCAGCGGAGGAGGTAAATGAGTGACTTTTTAAACTTTTAAACTTCATCTTACCGCAGCACAGAGTCAAGTTGTGGACCTGAATTCCATAGGTCTGTTAGCGTCCATAGCTGTGGGGTAGAGAACAACAACAAACAGCCACACAAACCCCACACTGAGTGTAGATGTGTGTGTGCACGGCCTTAAAACACTGGTGAAATGTGATATGCAGAAATGATTGCAATTATCTTTCTTCTATGCGAAGAAGAAAGCATCCTGTTGACTTTCATCTTCGAGTTAGACGAATCTAAGCAGGTGAATATTTTTTTGGTGATGTGACATTTTGCCACTGATATTCTATCCTTGAGAAACATGAGCACCCCGTTTAATCCTCTGCCAGCAGAGCTAGTAAAACGAGGTCTTGGATGTGACTGATGGTCCGTGATTTGCATTCCCCATAAACAGCAGTGACCATGACAAGACAAAAAAAGAAAAGAAAAAAAAAAAACACACGGCAAAGAACATCAGAAAAGTTACGAGTAGTTCCCAGCTGGTGTCTACAAACCGTATCTTCATCTGCCGTATGGTATAGTTACTACACATAATTACACACTCAGCCTACACGCTCACGAGAGTGTTTCCTCACAATAACTTCTCACGTGACTAGCCAATTCATTCATGTTTATTCTTTTCAGTTTTCTACAAAAATATTTTACATTAAAAAAACACATCTTAAAATATACACAGCCCACTTGGTGATGCAACAATTTGCAAAAAACTTTAAACTGAAATGTAGGTAAATATATATTTTTTAGAGCAAGAATAAAATCGAGAGTCCACGATGACGGAGCCTGGAGGCGATATGGGAGACTGCCCATCACGTAAGACTCTTCAACTTGATCAAAGCGATGCAAAATAAAAATTCAAACGAGTCTGCGTCTAACAGAGAGGAACGCGAGCAGCATTCCTCCGTCTGCAGCCAGCAGATGTGAAGAAGGAAACTGGTCCATTCAGGGGCATACAAACGTGGATGTTCATCACAGGCACGCACAAGCTGTTATATGTCTCTACGCCCAATCAAAATAGAATCAATCAGATTTATGCACATAGGATAATATTTTAGATTCAAAGTCAAAATTACTCTGAATAGTTTCATGGCTTTTTTCTGTAAACAATCTTTATTTCAGAAAAGAAATAACTGAATGCTGTGTATTTGTGAGTTATCCTGGATAACTTGGACATTTTCTGAGGTGTTCTTCCGTTCATCTCCGGCGCGTTGGAGATCTACAAGATCTAAACTTCTACATGATCGAATAACCTATAAGGTGAGTGAGAATATCTTATTTTTTGGTCGTTTTTCCCGAAAAAACTTTGACCCAACATCTGCACATCTCTGAATGTGTGTGAGAGGCTGTGTTACTGTTAACCCGCTTTGCCCCTTAAACACACATCCAATCAGTCGCAAATCTGTCTGCAGAGATGCAGCTTTAAAATAAAAAAAAAGGAAAAAAAGATTAAAAAAATTAAAGGAAAGATGTAAAAAATGGTAAAGGGTTAAGATTTGGATGGTGCCTGTACTTTTGTTGGCCCCCCCAAAAAAACTGCACATTAAATAAATAACTGTGGAACCGGAGCAAAAAAGATACAAAAATTCTTGGTAACGGCAACATTTTGTTTCAGTTGTTGGTTTGTACAGAAACCCTGCTCCGGGCTTCGGCATCATAGCAGTTCAGAGCGGAGAGCCAGAGAGAGCGTCCAGAGGGAGGACAGCAGCCAGACGGGGGACGGGGAGGGGTGGGCGCCCAGAGGCGAGGCCGTGTCCGAGGTGCAGGAGCACACCTCGTACCCGTTCTCCGCGTGGTCCGGGTGCCCGTGCACGTTGACCCTGGTCTCGGTGCTTTTGGCCTCCGCGTCCGGAGAGTCCGACTGCATCTCGGTGCAGAGCAGCCAGTCCTTGGCGATGAGGCGGGGGTACCCCGCCTCCACCTCCATGTCGCTGCTGGGCACCCGCCAGTACTCCTTCCCCTTGAAGAAATAGGACGAACCTACGAAGAGGGGCAGAGGGTTAGGACCACATGGTGAACTTTACTATACGGTAAGTAAAGAAAATTATCTATATTTGCGCTCATCCGGAGTGCACAACAAGCACAAAGCCGATAAAGTATCAAGGGCCCCCTTAATTTCATGAATCATTGATCCAGAGTGCAGACAGTTTATGGCCAGTATTTTCATACCGGTACTCCACAACACACAGCTGGAGTAATTTGACTCCCTCAAACGGCTTTTTTTGAGAAAGAGCATCCGCATCTTGTACGCAATCTACCACGCACCCTGACATGGCGCCTAAGCTAGGTCTACCAAAGAAAAAAAGAAATGCGATGGACGCAAAAAAAAACAACTAAACGGGTGATTACAATCATATGCAAAAATTCGCCCAGTCTGTTGACAGCTCTGTTTCACAGTTTTTTCTCTGAGGTTCACCAGTGTTTCACACACCATCTGTGTGAAAGAGAGTGCTCATTCACCCCTGACACCTCCTGCAGACTCAGGCTAACACAGCAATTACATTTGTCACAGGGGAAACAATTTATTAATATGCCAAATATATCTCGCTGCGACAGCCCTACACACTGCTGACACAGGAGCAGTGACACCTGTGGCGCAAACCGTAGGCTGTCACAGGCTTTAACTTCACGTCATTGTCAGATTGGCGTTGTGTTAAAGTTGCAATTCAACAAGGTGGAAGGCTAAGTACTCTTGGACCAAATCTTAGGAGGAACTTCTGTTCTTAGACCTAGATGCTAAGCAAAATAGTTGAGCCGTTGCCAATAACTCGACTATTTATAGCTCCAATACCGAGCTCCCACGGTGAAAGACTGAGGATAAGCATTAATAGGAGGTTGCACAAACAAACCTTAATGAGACTGTGGAAGATACATGCACATGCATGATAGACTGCGAATATATTCTGATTTCACACTGACTTATGGAAAAGGTCAGAAATGATTCTTTTTGTGTGTGCTGGCCAGCGAAAAACAAAGGAAACCCTTATGGGCATTTTGCCCACATGAATGCACTGTGCCACCGATGCACAGGCGGCTCGCTCCGTCCTCTCACTCCGGGGCACTTCAGTTAATTAGAGCCATCAAAACAACAAATGGACTTTGGCACTTTGTATATTTGATGAAAATGCCACCTTCTTGTGTGCCAACATCCTATGATGTGCATGCTGAAAGAAGCCTTTTCACCACAGCTTTGCTATTGCAAGTCAGTTTGATCCAACAGTGATAAAAAAATACAATAAAACAATTGACAGGAGAAAGAGAAAACTCAGCAGAGTGAAGTCACAGAGTTGATGGTGAATAATCAATCCACTGAGGTCTAAATTAACTGATTTTTATGGGCTAAGAATTCATTTTCGTACAGCTCGGAGATTAGATCTGTTAAGAGGAAGGCTGACTTGTCCAAGGCCATCCACCTGATTCCTATTCATTAACTTCATTAGCTGGTGACAGAGACAAACATGCAGCCAGAGAAGCAAACATGTGGACTAACTGAGACTCATTAATTGCAAGCAAGAGGCGAGAACGAAAGAAAAGACAAGGTAAAGTGAAGAATGTCCTCTTGCTCGTAATGGCTTTGGAGCGCACATAGAGGAGTTCCAAGGTCCATAACTCTGCAGCCGTTGAGTGAGTGGTTTTTCTGTCAGCTAATTGAGAAAGAGCTGATGCCCTTGATTTGCGTTCTAAGCTTTTGCCTTGATTTCGAATGGAAAAATAACGTCAAAGCATTTCGAGAACAAAGATAGAAAAAAAAATACCATTCTTAAAGGTAGCTTTGCTTGAAATTAGGATACCAAAAATCTTTAGTGTTGGAAGTCTGAACCACAGTGCTGAACACTGAAGTCAAATTCCTGTGCATAATCCTGGTCCTGATAAAATCGAAAGTTGTAATTATTCGCCGGTGCCTTTATGTGACATTTAGTGATGTAAGCTAATTGTTTAAGATCTGGTGATATGTATGCTCACGTACAACATCGATTCAGTCATCTATTAACTAAGAAACACCATTTGTAACCTTCGCATTATTTTGTTGCACAAAACAGCTGGGAAAGTCGCTCAGATCCACATTTGTTTAGGTTCCAACTCATCCTACAAAACAGAGAGATTTCAAACAGATTTGACATTAACTGTTCATTTAGGAATCATGGGTAAGTGTTTACAGCGTTACTTGTGCCATCGGCCAATGTTGACCAAAAGTACCAAGTTTTCCCCTCCCGATGTCCTCTTTTTAAACACTTTTCAATCGCTTTTCTCATATGTTTTCATTCACCACTGCCTCATAATCTATCAATTAAAAAAGATGGAATTAAATGTTATATAGCCACAGGAAATGAAAGCTTTGGCCTACGGGTAGGTTCCTACAGCTGAGATCTAACTATATAAGAAGATAACTCACTTTACGGTTAAAGACGGGGCTCATTAGTGTGTATTCAACATGTAGGCTGTGCTATTTACAGACAGAAATTGGGAACTGTGTTTAGTTCACTGTGGAGCATTGTGTCTGTCAAGTCTGTCAATTTGTCTCTGCCTTATTGTTTTTCTGTAAAATCCATTTTTCACCCTCACACAGTTCTATCAGATATGAGGACTGCTGTAACAATATCGCATTCACTTTGCAAACGAGTTCTCACTTTGTACAATCACAAAGTTTTCTTCCTTAACCATGTCAACATCCTCTGAAGTCCTGCCATGTAGGCTTGAAAGACCCATCCCCCCCCATAAAGTTGAATCTTTCTTTTTCTCAAAGAGCAGAAGTACTAAGGCTGTCAAAAGTGTGACGATGCATTTCAGATCATCCATCTCTGCCTGAAGACATCTAGTCTATAGATCCCTTCACTTTGCCAATTTTTTAAGATTTCTTGTTTAAACTGTCCTGTTGCACTGGGATACCATGTCAAATTCCTGCTTACTCCGTACATTTGGCCAACAAAGAGATTTCTGATTCTGACTCTGATTTCTGATCATGAGGCATTTTTGAATATTTTCTCTTTGCCTGGATTTATGATTTCTTGAGCGTTTTTCTGAACTTTTACAAGTAATTCTTGTTATTTTTTGGGTCTAAGTGCTAATTTCTGCTGTTAAATACACCAGGATAGGCTAAGTAAACTTAGTACAAACAAGAAAGTGATCTGGAAAGAGACTAAAATGAGCAATTGAAAGTATGAGACTTGTACAGTCTATGTTAAATAAATCAATGTGTAAAAGAATGCATTTGTTTTATCACTGTGAGCGTCTGCAGTCTGCAAGTTTCACAAAATTACACAAAATAAACACACTGCATAATTTCCCTTGTAAAAAAGAGCGATGGTTTTATTACTTAAAAAGAAAATAAGAGTGAATAATGTGTTTATTTGGGTCTATTTCTGCAGCTGAATAAAACATGTGAATACATTTAACATGTATTGTGGCAGCAGACTTACACAACAGTTTTGTAGGCCGGTAAAGAAGAGGGTAAAAAAGCTAGAGAGAAAAAATAGATCAATAAATAGTAACATCATTAAACTGATATGATGTCTGGATGGCTGTTCCAATAAATATGCTGACCCACTTTTGATTCTAATGCACATTCTACTTTCTGTTTATACTGATTGCATACTTTAATGAAAGCTTTAATATGTATATGCTTGATTTGATATATAAATCTCTTTTTATTTTTCAGAACATCATATATCCTTTTCAAGGACATTATGAATAATAGAAGCAAAGTCTCTCTCTAAAAAAAAGACTCTTTACAGTGACAGTGTGGCCTACATTAGAAAATGTGCAACACATCTTTACAAATTCAGAGAGATGGTGCTAATGATTGTTAATTAGAAATCTCGCCTCATTTAAGCCTTTTGCCCGCCGTGACCCAAAAACTTGATCTTATGTGATCTTGGTGAAGAGTTAACACTGTTAGCACCACAGAGACAATGTGGAGAAAACAGATAGCGACTTTGATGTGGCCAACACGTAAATCGTCTCTGCTAATTAAGGTTGTTAGATAGATGATGAGGATGCTTAAGTGACATCAGTGTAAGACACTATGGGCACATTATGTTTTATGTGTTTCCTGAAAAAAAAAGATTATTCGGTCATCTACAGAAAAATTGTGTATTAGATATCAGACTATTTAGTCTTTTTTGTCTCTTACAAGGGTGGGAATGGTTATCCTGACAAACTAATACAAAATCACACATGCTAATCTAATTAATCTCTATGAGACCAGAAGGGGCTGAACTGTTCTTTGTTCTTTAATGTTCATAACAGCTGCTTTTATCATCATTACAGTATGCATTTCCCACACAGCCGCTTTATGGAACATGGTTTAAATACGTTAGATTTTATTTTTTGTCTGTTCTCTGAGTCAAATAATCTCACTTAACATTTTTTTTTTAATCCATAGTATTTAATATTATGATTCTTATGTTTCTTGGTATCTCATTTTTCTTCTACTTGTCATCCATATACCCCTGTCTTTATTTTTTCCTTCTTTTTAATAGAACTAATGTCATTGTATCTCCTCTTTTCATCCAGCTGCCATATCACTCTTTCTGGTCCTGCGTCTGTCTCCATTTCTTTTTTTCTTTTTCATACTGAGCTGGTGAGGCAAACAGAGAATAGGCTTTGATGTGGCTCCAGTTCCCAGGCCCCATGGTCTGTCTATGTTCATTTGTGCATGCAGGTTCACCCTCCCGGGCTCTGGGGTGATAATGGCCGGGGGTGATACTGGGTGAGAACCATGCAATTGACCGGCTTCCCCTCTCTCAATCTCTCACACACACATGCTATTATATTCCAAGAGCTGTGAGATCTGGGGGGGGGTCGACAAGTTCAGTAGATAGAATAGAGACCACTAAATATCTGACCACTACAGAGAGAACATCCCAGCTCCAAATGACCAAAGACCAAGGACCAAGTGGATGATGTTTTGGGGTTTTGGGGAGGGATTAAGTAGGCTTAAGGGAGGAGAACTGATTCCATCCTGAATCAAAGGGTGTTAAATCATTTAAGTCCTGTAATCTCCATGTGATCAGATGACTGGAGCTATGATGTTCAGATGGAGGGGACCACTCTGACCTTGATACTCAAGCTAGCCAAATGGAGCTGCACAGTATGATTACACTGGGCCGGCTCCAAGGTTTGAGTGTGTTTGACTCAGTAAATGGGAAGCAGAGTGTTGGCAAAATGCGAGTGTGTGAGAAAATACAAGATATACACACTAAAAAAAAAACAATCCTGTTGATATACACACCCTCCACCCCTTCCCCTGAAGTTGAGTTATTATCATTAAATCTAGGAAAGACCTACAAAAATTCTCAAGTGAAATAGAACTTTAATGTGACTCACCGTCAGACCACCTCATGGCGTCGTCCACGTGGGAAGGCAAACCCTTCCAGAGGGTGCTGTCTTTAGGGTAACCCAAGTCCATCCTCCTCAGGTGGTCATCGTAGCGCCAGTAGCTGTTGTCCTTGAAGAAGTAGGTTTTCTCGTTATGCAGCCACACAAAGGCTGCGTCCACTCCCTCCACCGGCAGGCCGAAGTCACTGATTGGACGAGGGTAGCCCTCCTCCACGATGTTGTCCTTAAACACCCAATATTTCAGACCTAACGGAACAAATGTGAGCACAAAAAAAGGCCCAAACTTTTCATTCACAACACAAAGTTGGCAATCGAGGGAATGAAGTTGCTTTGAAAATTTGAAAAGACGTTATGCAAAAATCGACCTAACAGAACAATTGTGCGTACAGAAACGGCCCAAACTTTTCATTCACAACACAAAGTTGGCAATCAAGGGAATGAAGTTGCTTTGAAAAATTGAAAAGACGCATTCCGGCACATTCCTTTCACTTTATTAGGGTCAACCTCCTCTGCTGATTAGAAAGGTAAAGACACTGCAACTGAATATCATCTTTGTTCCTGCCAGCCATGTCTGGTGGTTGTTGAAAATGTGGAACCAGAAACATAGAGTCTAGTTTCTAATTAAATGATAAAAGGAAGAAGAGAGTATGAGGGATTATTCTTTGACTGTGGTGTACCTTCAACAGGTGACTACTAACAATCTTCTTTTTCTTCCACATAAGCCTCCTCCTCTTACCAAAGTTTTATCCGTTTCCTCTTTACCACTTAGTTAAGTATTTGAATACAATTATTTTGATACTGTACCTTTGAAAAATACTATTTTGTGGTCCCCAGGCCTCTCGTACACAGCATCCACGCTGTCCAGATTATTTGGCAGGCCCCTCCAGAAGCGATGGATTTGGGCAGGACGTAGTGACACCAGGTGCTTTTCTCTCGTTAGTCGCCAGAAATACTTTCCTGTTAGAAAGACATAGATCAGCACCACTCCGGATGTCGGTCAATGCATCACTTTGGTGAATAAATACATCAAAATTTTAAATAAATTAATAATAAATAATGAATTAGGTGGAAATCCTCTCACATTTGTTTTTGTCACTGGTGACTTCAGCAAAATGTACTCAGTTCTTCCAAAAAATAGCACAAGATCAACTTTGAATAAGGGGATTGTGAATTAAATGTTGTCAGAAAAATATGAAATTTAGAGAAAAAAAAAGCTCCCAATGTCAAAGGCTGGCTAGAATACCCGGCAACACTAAATCCACTACAACCGGCTCAACACACTTCACGAACACTTTTGCTGCATAAGTATGAGTCTGTTTTTTGTCTTCATTGTTAGTGGGAAGGCTGGGGTCATTCCTCCACAGAGCAACCATAAAAGTCTGACGTCATTTCTGAGCAGTCTTTCAGCAGCTCGGCTGTCTCGTTTGCCATCTATAGCAACCTTTCCTTCCACTCTCACTCTTTATGTTGTATTTTAATTTAGCTCTTTCTCCTCCTGTGCCAGTTTAGCTTTGTCTTTGTCTTTTCTTTTTCCCACACGGCTCTGCAGCTTTGTCTTCCTCTCTAAGTGTCGCTGTACCTTTGAAAAAGAAGGCCTCCCCTCGTATCTGAGCCACCGCATCAAAGTGGCTGGTGCATCTGTCTGGGGCATCTCGAGCCAGCCTGAGCAAAATACAAAAAAAAGAAAAAGAAAAAAGGAAAAAAAAGTGGGAAAAGGAGATGTTACAAAGGTGAAGGGGGGATAAGAGCTTCTTAAGTGAAAGTGGACATTCATAACACATGGAAATTTTAAGCACCGCTAATGATCTTCTTCCAGTGCTTTTAGGAACATTGATCATTTAACATCCTCTAAAATGCCCGCAATTTGGACGAGCGTTTCCCATAACCCACTGCTACCGCGTCCCTGTGCAGGTATTAGTGACGGCAGGCTAAACAAAAGAGGAGAACCTATCAGGCAGATGCGGTGACTTCCCCGGGTGCGTTTACCCCAGAGGTTTTAAAAGTGATTTAAAGCGCCGCCGTGGTCTTCCTGCCAATGATGAAGCTATTAGCACCGCAGGTCTGAGAGTGGGGGCCTGCCAGATTCTATATTATACACAAGGCTCTCTACTCAGGGCTCTATTAAAAGTACATCACCGCAGAGTGGCCCGATTGGTGCCCTTGTCAGGTCTAATCCAGCTTTCTTGCTGATGGTGGCCTGATATAGTTAGCAGGAAATAATTAATGGAACCAGTGATGGTCTGAAACTGGGAAGAAGTGGGATGTAAGTGTTTAGCCATCTGCTTTTTTTCACACCTCCATCCTTCCTTGCAGTTGATGTTTGTGAGTGTGGTTTCACACATAAGAAATTGTGGTAATAAGAACACTTTTGTATTGTGTTTAGGCTCTGATTCTTTTAGGCTGCCTTAAGGTTAAAGCATGCAAGGCTGCAAGGTGCACGAGTGTGTTTATGGATGCTCAAAATGCATAAATGGACAAAATCGAGTCTGATTATGCTTGAAAAACATTCAGAGCATCTTGGGGGAATTATTTAATTAGGTGGGCAGGCTCCCAAGCTCAGTCTCTCAGTCGTTGTTAATTTGCTTTGTTGGCACCGCAGGACTCCAACAAACTCATATTTTCAAGAAAACCTATGTGGTCTTGGGTAAATTCATTGGATTTTGCCCCGGAAAGAGGAAACGTAAAAGCACCTTATTGCAATGAGTGTAAAACAAACAAAGACAATGAAAGATTTACCGATGGAGCAACAAAACCAGCAAAAGGTTTTGCTGATATGTCAAGTTTTACTTTTGCTTAACCTAAACCAGAAGCAAAACCATTCTTGGACACAATTTTACACACGGAGTGAGTGACTTTCATTGACATTCCTCTCTGTTGCTGTTCTTTGGGCAGTGTCATGTCAAATAGGATTTGCTGACTGAATGTCAGAAAGTTGGGAAACATCTGCTACATCCAGCAGGACTGATGATGCAAGGCTTCTGCATTTGATCTAAAGGAGTATTCTCAAGAAAGAGACTAAGGGATTGCTGAAGAGGCTCAAGGAGATTTTTTTAAGGACAGCTGCTCTACACAGTTCCTTTCCTCCACTATAGTCTATAGTCTTTCTATCGCATGATAGACGTCTGCTTCTTTTTCTTTTTGAACTTACAGGACAGTGGATCTGTTTTCCGGAAGGTCCAGCAGCACAGGGGGCTCAGCTGTCTGCGAGGGGTTTCCAGGTTGATTTGTGTGAGACACAGAGTCTCTGACTCCTGTAGAATGAGATCAGACGCATTTTAGCCATACTATATACCACTTTATTTAAAATGCACTTTAAAAACAACAGTAATGCTGATGACTGTGCTACACAGCAATGCAAGAGGGGCTGAAAATGGTAATAAACACAAGATAGAATGGAAAAAAATTAACAGAAGAGAACAAAAAAAGATCAGAAATATGATGGTGAAATAAAATTACGATGATCTTCTAGTCTAATCACATACCTGCACATGTAGGCGATCCTGCAGTTAAGTGGCAAGATCATAGTTACAGTTGTCATCGCAAGTCTAAACATCCTGTTATTGGTAGATTTGTAATATTGTCATTCTGCAAGTCCTCGTTTTGTTGACCGTGTTTATTATCTCACACTAGGTTTTGTTTATAACAGATCTCCCCTTAAACATCACTCAATATCTATAAAAATGTGTTTAAATGAGGTTGATGGGCTTAATATCCAAATATCTTGATTTTACGGGCTGTGACTGAGTTTTACACGGGCCATATACTTATCATATAAATGTGGTGTAATTGTATGTAATAAATGTATAATGAATGTATAATAAACGCTGGCACTTCCTGTGTGAAGGCGTGTACGATAAGGTTTCTTACCATAACAAAGGTCAATTTAGTCCATCCGTGTTTTCATTAAATCAATATCCCTGCTCTGCAATACTCATCAACTGCTGCTTCCTACACAAGTAGACCTTTCTGCATTGAGTGGCCTCATCTCACACCGATAAACAGGTGAGTCCACAGCTACACTGAGAGACTGCATAATCACAACAGAAACTCAAGAGTCAAGAAATCTGCTAATATGGATATAGGCCAGAGAACATCACATTTTTCAAGAATTTGCTCAGGAAGGTATTTACAACAATGTCCATGTGATAAGAATGAGTAAAAAGGAATTGAATGACCATTGGTCGATGGTACAGTGTGAAAGAAGTGTTGAAAGGCGACGACCGGGGATAAATAAATAATTCCTCATAAAACAGCGTCCTTTTGAACTCATGTACAGTATGTTGTTACTCTTATGCTGTTGGGAGGGCCCCGGATTGTTATTCTACCAGCATTTCCCCATTACTAATGAAAAACAGAGTAAAAATCTTTAATGTGTGGCTGCTTTTCCTCGCAAAGGTAGGTTCAATACAGGAAATGTATGTTTTCCTACATTTCCATCTTTCACTCCGACACACACACACACAGAGGCAAGTCATTTGACGAGTGATCCTTCATACCGTAAAGCTGCCAGACGCGGACTTTGTCCTCATAGGGAAGATCATATTTCAGAGGGTCTCCCACCGGCCCCTGGTAATAGGGTCTCATGATGGACTCCATGGCTGAGGTGTGGACCAGGCCGATGGCATGACCGAACTCATGGACTGCAACCGCGAAAAGATCCATCCCATGAGAGTCTACGAGGCAAAAACAGTGATCAGGTTAAAAGTTAGTCGCACTTTAATTCTGCACAAAAAAAAGAAACAATAAAATCTTTTCTCTTCTTAAACTCGTGAAACCAAAGCTTTTATATTGTGTGCATTTTTGCTTTCTCAAATGGGGACAATGGGTTAATCATTATTGTTAATATGTGTATTTCTGTATTTAAAAGTTTTCTTTGTAATGTGTTTCTGAAGGTCCAAATGAATTATAAAAACTTAATATGCAGTGAAGACATGATTGGATGAAAATGTATAAAACCGATATATTTTACATTAAGGAGGTTAATTAAAAGAAATAGGAAAAAAAGACATTTTGTTCGATTAAATCCATCCATCCATTTTCTGAACCGCTTATTCCCTAATGGGGTCACGGGGGGACTGGAGCCTATCCCAGTATTCAATGGGCAGAACATCGTCGAGCCACACATATTACACACTAAAATGAACAATCACGCACACTCACTCCTAAAGGTAATTTGGAATGTCCGATCAACCTAAGAACCCGGTGTTTGGATGGTGGGAGGAAGCCGGAGAACCCGGAGAGAACCCACGCAGACACAGGGAGAACATGCAAACTCCACACAGAAAGCTCCTGGTTCCCCTGGGGACTCGAACCCAGAACCCTCTTGCTGTGCTAACCACCACACCACCGTGCTACCCTCATTTGATTAAATATATTACAAATACAATCCATCAAATACAGTCCAAAAAGGTTCCATAGCCTTGCAGGTTTCACAGATTTACATCAATGTATACTTTTATTTAACTTTAAAACGACAATTCTCTACAGATGACGTTTAAGCATCTTGCATCATAATAGAATGATTTCCCTGAGCATTATAACGTTTGGTATGGCACTTGAAATTGCATTTTGATTCACCTGACCTATATCAGCGGCCTTTGTGTCAGCAATTTGACTAGAATCAACCATCTTTGTGGAAGATAATTACGCAAAATGTTCGACATTCTTGCTATTCAGACAGCAAGCACCTTTTTATACAAATAAATCCAACAAGCCTCCTTCCCAAAAGAAGAAAAAATTCATGTACTGTAACAGAGAATGATTAAACTTTACAGCAGAAACGATTACAAAAAAGAAAGTTTGGTGAATTTTAGAAGACAGAAACATTCACAAGCAGATAACAGATAATGAGCATAAAAGCTAAAGCTTATTAGGCTTCCTGGTTTGGCTTGTAAATGAATCCAGGGCATGAGGGGACGAGTTTGGGTGATATAGAGAGGAAGAGGGGTAAGACTGAAGAGAACTTTGTGAGGCATCTATACAGATGGGATTTTTGGTTGTGTCCAAACAAATCTCCACACAGCCTGGACGAGCTAACCTCCAAAAGAATTCGATGTCTAATCCAATCACACACTGTGCCCTGCAATTGTTTTTGGTAAACTCCAATGAGAAGATCCATTGTGGCTCTCCTAGTTTTCTAAATTGACCTAGATCAGGTACTTTCCAGCCATACACTTCCAGTGTAAATGAAGAGGCATGACAGACGCCTCAGGAGGCTTTGACTGCTGTTGGGCGTGTGCTGTAGGGAGATAACTATGGTAATGCTGCCTGAGTCCCTGAGCCACCAATCACAACCTGAGAGTGGGGCAACGCTCAAAGAAGCTACAAAGCTATTAAAGCACCTTCTCCCCATGTTAAACCGAAAATATGAAAGAATGAACCTGCAAAACTCCTTGTCCGTCTCTGTGAAGCAAGCCCAGGCCTTGAGCTTGGAGATTTAGATTTGCAAGTATATGAAGAGGCGTGTCACGCAAGCTGGCTTAGAGTTCCTCGGTGGCTCGGCTCAAGTCGGCATTCAGTTAACCTTGGGTTAGCCCCATCTTGGGACACGCGCTCACGCTTACGGTATTCACCTGAGGTGTGTGGGAGACAAATGGCAATTCTAATCTGCAGGAGCACATGGTGCAGGTGAACAAAAGGAGCGGAGAGAGAGAAAGAACAGGGGCTCAGAGCAGAGGATCTACCGAGCCATCGTATTTATGGTCCGTGTGAAGCTGACAGAATGGATGAAATGACTGTGGACAGATTCAGAGCAAAGCGAATTGTTATGGTTGAACCAGATTAAGAAATGCAGTGAAATACCGAGGTGGTAGAGTTTTGGGCAGCTCTGCTCAGACGGTTCCATTCTCAGGGGTTCAGTTGTTTAAGTTTTTTTTTTTACTCATCTGTGACCTATTAAGCAGCTTTTTATCAACTCAAATGGCTCCACTGCTCTCTTCTGAGAACAGATTAGGGGCATGCACACACACACATACACACACACACACACTACATGCCTGCACCTTCTTCTAACTGCTATTCCTACAGGGCTAAAAAAAACTGTTGCAATTTAGTTGATCTAGTTCACAGAGACAATAAACAGACATATGCTGGGCTGTATAGAAAAGCAGACCATTGGCCTTTATCATCTTCCCTTTTGTCACTCTGTCACTGAGCAGCATCAAACCAAAAACAGGAAGGGGAAAACTAGAAGCTTGAAAAATACTAAGGGCTGAAGGAGATCTGGAAAAAGAGACCACTGCTTTTCTCTCCCGGACCTGTTGCCACCACAATTCAACCTCGGAAAGGTGGAATACATACGATAAAAATGCATTTTTTCCTATAAACTCTTATGTGGACAACTCTGCAACAGCTGAACAGCATGCATGGTGATCTTTTTGCAGAAAGATATTAAGTGTACCACCTCCTCAGCTCAATCATATCACCCGGCTATTAAATGCAATCGTCCTCTCCAGGTATTATCTAACAAAAATCGAAATGGCGCGTATTAATAATAAAAATGGTTGTGAATATTTCAACAAGTTTTAGCATTTTACATATATTTGAGGTTCAACACACATCCTTTGAAATTTCAGTGTGAAATGACTGCACTAAATCATTGGCGTTTCTCATTTGTAACCATTTCCAGAGCCCCCACCCTGAAGCCGGGGCTGTGCAGACGTGTGCCGTGTGCAGTCGAGCGAACGGCCAGCAGCTTGCTGTTCCCATACGATAACTCTACGGAACGTTTCTACGTCTGCACAGTGGCTGTTTTCCCTTTGGGAGAAGAGAGTGACCCCTCTACGGTGCCAGTAGTGTCAGGAAAAGCTTTAACACCTGGTTTTGATGCAGTCTGCAACTGGTGACAACACGTTCAGTCGCACACACTCTTACACGCTTTCACATGACCCGTGTGAATTTGCACCGTCTCCATCATCTGAGTAATTGTCAATGTGTTGTCAAGAATGGCAGGTAAAAAAACACTTTGGGTGTAAAATAAGACTGTTTTAATCAGTTAGGTATGAGGGTAAACATAACCTCTGAGGAATAAACATGAGAGTAAGAATTAACTTTTGATTTAATGCTGAAAAAACAATGTTTTGGGCACTAAAAGTGGAATTACAAGTGTTCAGACATCATGACAATTTCTGAGGCTGACATGGACCTCAATTTCTGAAACAGACACATTTGTTGGGTTGCTGATTTGCTTGGTTGCGTTAACTTACAAAAGCAATTTTCTTGCATCAGCATTCACAATCTGCCTCGTAGAGAACATCTGAACACATAGATAGTCTCATAAATCAGATTTATTCCCCCCACTGCGAGTTCTGTGATCACGTTGAATTTTTTGTGAGGATCATTTGCTTTTTTTCCATAAATGAGACCTGTGGATTCATTTATAAATCACAAAAAGTGCACACTTATATGTGCTCTAAACCACACTTACAAAGAAAAATAGCTAGAATTTCTGCTGCTTGATGATGGTTTTGTTTTAGTTGGGGTAATCATTTTGGAGAAGCAGACAGACTGATGATTAATAGAAGCAATCTGGTGGCTGTCAAACTAAACAACGCTCTCAGACCTTCACTTATTTGATCTCACTGCGATTCTGCTCCTCACAACTTTTAATGGATACCCAAGCCATTAATCTACACAGCAGGAGTGAACAGTTCTTCCAAATGTGATGCTTAATTTCCACTGTTCAGCTTCATCATACACATTAGGCATTGGCCTAGGCGGACCAGGATTTAGGGTCCCAGCGAGAACATTTCACCAGGAAATTCGGAAATGGAATTAGCAAAGGCAATTACTTAGCAACTGATAAGTCTGATATGTATTTTTTTCTCCAAAAGATGATTACAAAAGCTTCACAGTGATTATCGCTGAATTAGCAACTCTCACACTTTATTGCCAGGGCTGACCTAACTATTTAGCATCTTTTAAAGGGATAGCCATGCCTTTGCCGACAAAAACAATGCACCGTACTCATCATTTTTGTGGCAGCTGCACAGCATGGTATCCCAACAAGATGGGGAGAATCAAAAGATACTGTATCAGCCAGGGAAAGATCATTGTCACAGACTATCCAGTGACGTCGGAGGAGGAGGCTGCCAGAAAGCTGCAAGGTGAGAGCCGGAGAGTGTGACATGAAGAAAATGGGAGCTGTTTAATCAATTTAGTGATACGCTATGAATCTGGTACCCATGAGTTTTGCAAATGAATGTATTCTGTTTTAATTGACATTTTACAGTCTGTTGACTGAAAAAAGGAGTTTAAGGACTATATATAACAATTCTACTCTTGAGTGGATCTATCAGTTATGATGACTCATGTCCATTTCCAACTGTCCCTCTTCCACACTGAAGGCCATATGATCCTAACATAATCATCCATTGTTTTTTCTTTAATTATTTATGGTATTATAGTCAGAATTTTGCTCAAAATTGGCACATACGAATTTGTAACTCAGTACCTCTGCTTGTAGTACGCTTATGATTGTGACTTACTGATTGTTGGAGCCTGAATTTAACATTGAGAAACCCTCGTGTTGCACTCCAGTCAGACTGTAGCGACATAAACAATTCTCAGTCATAAAGCCGGGCTGACACCTACGACCTGCTCCGCCACTCATCAGCTTCTATCCACTAAAACCTTCATCTGCGCAGCTGTTGCTGGTCCCAGCGCCACGCCGAAA